AAAGGCTTCTTTTTAGCTCTAGAACGTCAGCAAACACTTTTTCTCGATCTATTTTTGATAAATACAAAACATGAAAGAACTTCAACTTTTTGACCAAAATCATGCACTATCCCCTTTGCAAAAATGCCAATTTTGCCTTCTTTTTAAATCATGTGTATATTGTCTAGAAAGGCTTGTTTTCTAACGAGAACGTCACCAAATACTTTTTCTGGGTGTATTTTGCATAAAACGAAACGTTCACAAAATTTCCAATTTTTGACCAAAACCATGGACTAACCCCTTTGCAAAAATGCCAATTTTGTGGGTTTTTGAAACCGATGGTTTTTTTTGTTCAGAAAGGCTTGTTTGCTATATAAAACGTCGAAAATCGTTTTTTCACGATCTATTTTCACGATCTATGACATGGGAATACACGGGGTTAGAAAAGGGGTTACCGGGGGTTACAAGGGGTTACCGGCGGTTACAAGGGGTTACAAGGGGTTACAGGGGGTGACAAGGGGTTACAGGGGGTTACAAAGGATTATAGAAACTTTTTTCTAACTAGAACGTTCCCAGATACTTTTTCTTGGTCTATTTTGCATGAAAATCAAAGTTGAAGAAATCTCTATTTTTTGATCAAAACGATGGACTAGCCCCTTTGAAAAAATTCTAATTTTGCGTTTTTTGTAAACAGCTGTTTTTATAGTCTTTAAAGGCTTCTTTTTTTATCTTGAACGTCAGCAAACACTTTTTCTCGATCTTTTTTTGATAAATACAAAAGATGAAAAACCTTCAACTTTTTGACCTAAATCATGGACTATCCCCTTTGCAAAAATGCCAATTTTGCCTTCTTTTTATTTCCATGTTTATATTGTCTACAAAGGCTTGTTTTCTAACGAGAACGTCACCAAATACGCTTTCTGGGTGTATTTTGAATAAAACGAAACGTTCACAAAATTTCCAATTTTTGACCAAAACCAAGGACTAACCCCTTTGCAGTAATGCCAATTTTGTTGGTTTTTGAAACCGTTGTTTTTTTTGTTCAGAAAGGCTTGTTTCCTATATAAAACGTCGAAAATCGTTTTTACCCGATCTTTTTCCACGATCTATGACATTGGAATAGACGGGGTTACCAGGGGTTACCGGGGGTTACAAGGGGTTACAAGGGGTTACAAGGGGTTACAGGGGGTTAGAAGGGGTTACAAGGGGTGAACGGAGGTGACAAGGGGTTACAGGGGGTTGCAAAGGATTATAGAAACTTTTTTCTACCTAGAACGTTCCCAGATACTTTTTCTTGGTCTATTTTGCATATAAAATTAAAGTTGAGGAAATCTCTAATTTTTGATCAAAACCATGGACTAACCCCTTTGCAAAAATGCCAATTTTGTGGGTTTTTGAAACCAACGTTTTTTTTGTTCAGAAAGGCTTTTTTGCTATATAAAACGTCAAAAATCGTTTTTTAACGATCTATTTTCACGATCTATGACATGGGAATACACGGGGTTACACGGGGTTACACGGGGTTACCGGAGGGTTACAAGGGGTTACAGGGGGTTACAAGGGGTTACAAGGCGTGCTAGGGGGTGACAAGCGGTTACAGGGGGTTGCAAAGGATTATAGAATCTTTTTTCTAACTAGAACGTTCCCAGATACTTTTTCTTGGCCTTTTTTGCATAAAAATCAAAGTTGAAGAAATCTCTAATTTTTCATCAAAACGATGGACTAACCCCTTTGGAAAAATTCTAATTTTGCTTTTTTCGTAAACAGTTGTTTTTATAGTCTTTAAAGGCTTCTTTTTTAATCTAGAACGTCAGCAAACATTTTTTCTCGATCTATTTTTGATAAATACAAAGGATGAAAGAACTTCAACTTTTTGACCAAAATCATGGACTATCCCCTTTGCAAAAATGCCAATTTTGCCTTCTTTTTAAATCATGTTTATATTGTCTAGAAAGGCTTGTTTTCTAACGAGAACGTCACCAAATACTTTTTCTGGGTGTATTTTGCATAAAACGAAACGTTCCCAAAATTTCCAATTTTTGACAAAAACCATGGACTAACCCCTTTGCAAAAATGCCAATATTGTGGCTTTTTGAAACCGATGTTTTTTTTGTTCAGAAAGGCTTGTTTGCTATATAAAACGTCGAAAAACGTTTTTTCACGATCTATTTTCACGATCTATGACTTAAGAATACACCGGGTTACAAGGGTTACCGGGGGTTTCAACGGGTTACAAGGGGTTACAAGGGGTTACAGGGGGTTATAAGGGGTTACAAGGGGTGAACGGGGGTGACAAGGGGTTACAGGGGGTTGCAAAGGATTATATAAACTTTTTTCTAACTAGAAAGTTCCCAGATGCTTTTTCTTGGTCTATTTTGGATAAAAATCAATGTTTAAGAAACCTCTAATTTTTGATCAAAACGATTGACTAACCCCTTCGGAAAAATTCTAATTTTGCATTTTTCGAAAATAGTTGTTTTTATAGTCTTTAAAGGCTTCTTTTTTTATCTAGAACGTCAGCAAACACTCTTTCTCGATCTATTTTTGATAAATACAAAAGATGAAAAAACTTTAACTTTTTGACCAAAATCATGGACTATCCCCTTTGCAAAAATGCCAATTTTGCCTTCTTTTTAAATCCATGTTTATATTGTCTAGAAACGCTTGTTTTCTAACGAGAACGTCACCAAATACTTTTTCTGGGTGTATTTTGCATAAAACGAAACGTTCACAAAATTTCCAATTTTTGACCAAAACCAGGGACTAACCCCTTTGCAAAAATGCAAATTTTGTGGGTTTTTGAAACCGATATTTTTTTGTTCAGAAAGGCTTGTTTGCTATATAAAACGTCGAAAATCGTTTTTTCACGATGTATTTTCACGATCTATGACATGGGAATACACGGGGTTACAAGGGGTTACCAAGGGGTTACAAGGGGTTACAAGGGGTTACAGGGGATGACAAGGGGTTACAAGGGGTGACAGGGGCGACAAGGGGTTACAGGGGGTTGCAAGGGATTATACAAACTTTTTTCTAACTAGAACGTTCCCAGATATTTTTTCTTGGTCTATTTTCCATAAAAATCAAAGTTGATGAAATCGCTAATTTTTGATCAAAGCGATGGACTAACCCCTTTTTAAAAATTCTAATTTTGCGTTTTTCGTAAACAGTTGTTTTTATAGTCTTTAAAGGCTTCTTTTTTTATCTAGAACGTCAGCAAACACTTTTTCTCGATCTATTTTTGATAAATACAAAAGATGAAAAAACCTCAATTTTTTGACCAAAATCATGGACTATCCCCTTTGCAAAAAATGCTAATTTTGCATTCTTTTTAAATCCATGTTTATATTGTCTAGAAAGGCTTGTTTTCTAACGAGAACGTCACCAAATACTTTTTCTGGGTGTATTTTGCATAAAACGAAACGTTCACAAAATTTCCAATTTTTGACCAAAACCATGGACTAACCCCTTTGCAAAAATGCCAATTTTGTGGGTTTTTGAAACCGATGTTTTTTTTGTTCAGAAAGGCTTGTTTGCTATATAAAACGTCGAAAATCGTTTTCTCACGATCTATTTTCACCATCTATGACATGGGAATACATGGGTTACAACGGGTTACCGGGGGTTACAAGGGGTTACAAGGGGTTAAAAGAAGTTACTAGGGGTTACAAGGGGTTACAAGGGGTTACAGGGGGTGACAAGGGGTTACAGAGGGTTGCAAAGGATTGTAGAAACTTTTTTCTAACTAGAACGTTCCCAGATACTTTTTCTTGGTCTATTTTGCATAAAAATCAAAGTTGAAGAAATCTCTAATTTTTGGTCAAAACGATGGACTAACCCCTTTGGAAAAATTCCAATTTTGCGTTTTACGTAAATAGTTGTTTTTATAGTCTTTAAAGGCTTCTTTTTTCATCTAGAACGTCAGCAAACACTTTTTCTCGATCTATTTTTCATAAATACAAAAGATGAAAAAACTTCAACTTTTTGACCAAAATCATGGACTATCCCCTTTGCAAAAATGCCAATTTTGCCTTCTTTTTAAATTTATGTTTATATTGTCTAGAAAAGCATGTTTTCTAACGAAAACGTCACCAAATACTTTTTCTTTCTGTATTTTGCATAAAACGACTCGTTCACAAAATTTCCAATTTTTGACCAAAACCAGGGACTAACCCCTTTGCAAAAATGCCAATTTTGTGGCTTTTTGAAACCGATGTTTTTCTTGTTCAGTAAGGCTTGTTTGCTATATAAAACGTCGAAAATCGTTTTTTCACGATCTATGACATGGGAATACACGGGTTTACAAGGGGTTACCGGGGGTTACAGCGGCTTACAAAAGATTACAAGGGGTTACAGGGGGTTACAAGGGGTTGCAAGGGGTGATACTGGGTGACAAGGGGTTACAGGGGGTTGCAAAGGATTATAGAAACCTTTTTCTAACTAAAACGTTCCCAGATACTTTTTCTTGGTCTATTTTGCATAAAAGTCAAAGTTGAAGAAATCTCTAATTTTTGGTCAAAACGATGGACTAACCCCTTTGGAAAAATTCTAATTTTGCGTTTTTCGTAAACAGTTGTTTTTGTAGTGTTTAAAGGCTCCTTTTTTATCTAGAACGTCAGCAAACACTTTTTCTCGATCTATTTTTCATAAATACAAAAGATGAAAAAACTTCAACTTTTTGACCAAAATCATGGACTATGCCCTTTGCAAAAATGCTAATTTTGCCTTCTTTTTAAATCCATGTTTATATTGTCTAGAAAGGCTTGTTTTCTAACGAGAACGTCACCAAATACTTTTTCAGGGTGTATTTTGCATATAACGAAACGTTCACAAAACTTCCAATTTTTTACCAAAACCATGGACTAACCCCTTTGCAAAAATGCCAATTTTGTGGGTTTTTGAAACCCCTTTTTTTTTTTTTTTGTTCAGAATGGCTTCTTTGCTATATAAAACGTCGAAAATCGTTTTTTTCGATCTATTTTCACGATCTATAACATGGGAATACACGGGGTTACAATTGGTTACCGGAGGCTACAAGGGGTTACAAGGGGATAAAAGGGGTTACAAGGGATACAGGGGGTTACAAGGGGTTACAAGGGGTGACAGGGGGTGACAAGGGGTTACAGGGGGTTACAAGGGGTTACAGGGGGTTGCAAAGAATTATACAAACTTTTTACCAATTAGAACGTTCCCAGATACTTTTTCTTGGTCTATTTTGCATAAAAATCAAAGTTGAAGAAATCTCTTATTTTTGATCAAAAGGATGGACTAACCCCTTTGGAAAAATTCTAATTTTGCGTTTTTCGTAAACAGTTGTTTTTATAGTCTTTAAAGGCTTCTTTTTTTATCTAGAACGTCAGCAAACACTTTTTCTCGATCTATTTTTCATAAATACAAAAGATGAAAAAAACTCAATTTTTTGACCAAAATCATGGACTATCCCCTTTGCAAAAATGCCAATTTTGCCTTCTTTTTAAATCCATGTTTATATTGTCTAGAAAGGCTTGCTTTCTAACGAGAACGTCACCAAATACTTTTTCTAGGTGTATTTTGCATAAAACGAAACGTTCACAAAATTTCCAATTTTTGACCAAAACCAGGGACTAACCCCTTTGCAAAAATGCAAATTTTGTGGGTTTTTGAAACCGATATTTTTTTGTTCAGAAAGGCTTGTTTCCTATATAAAACGTCGAAAATCGTTTTTTCACGATCTATTTTCACGATCTATGACATGGGAATACACGGGGTTACGAGGGGTTACCGGGGGTTACAAGGGGTTACAAGGGGTTACAAGGGGGTGACAAGGGGTTACAAGGGGTGACAGGGGCGACAAGGTGTTACAGGGGGTTGCAAGGGATTATACAAACTTTTTTCTCACTAGAACGTTCCCAGATATTTTCCTTGGTCTATTTTGCATAAAAATCAAAGTTGAAGAAATCGCTAATTTTTGATCAAAGTGATGGACTAACCCCCTTTTAAAAATTCTAATTTTCCGCTTTTCGTAAACAGTTGTTTTTATAGTCTTTAAAGGCTTCTTTTTTTATCTAGAACGTCAGCAAACACTTTTACTCGATCTGTTTTTGATAAATACAAAAGATGAAAAAACCTCAATTTTTTAAACAAAATCATGGACTATCCCCTTTGCAAAAAATGCTAATTTTGCATTCTTTTTAAATCCATGTTTATATTGTCTAGAAAGGCTTGTTGTCTAACTAGAACGTCACCAAATACTTTTTCTGGTTGTATTTTGCATAAGACGAGACGTTCATAAAATTTCCTATTTTTCACCAAAACCATGGACTAACCCCTTTGCAAAAATGCCAATTTTGTGGGTTTTTAAAACCGATGTTTTTTTTGTTCACAAAGGCTTGTTTGCTTTATAAAACGTCCAAAATCGTTTTTTGACGATCTATTTTCACGATCTATGACATGGGAATACACGGGTTACAAGGGGTTTTCCTGGGTTACAAGGGGTTACAAGGGGTTACTAGGGGCTACAAGGGGTTACAGGCGGTTACAAGGGGTTACAGGGGGTTGCAAAGGATTATAGAAACTTTTTTCTAACTAGAACGTTCCCAGATACTTTTTCCTTGTGTATTTGGCATAAAAATCAAAGTTGAAGAAATCTCTAATTTTTGGTCAAAACGATGGACTAACCCCTTTGGAAAAATTCTAATTTTGTTTTTTTTGTAAACAGTTGTTTTTATAGTCTTTAAAGGCTTCTTTTTTTATCTAGAACGTCAGCAAACACTTTTTCTCGATCTATTTTTGATAAATAAAAAAGATGAAAAAACTTCAACTTTTTGTCCAAAACCATGGACTAACCCCTTTGCAAAAATGCCAATTTTGTGGGTTTTTGAAACCGATGTTTTTTTTGTTCAGAACGGCTTCTTTGCTATATAAAACGTCGAATATCGTTTTCTCACGATCTATGACATGGGAATACACGGGTTTACAAGGGGTTACCGGGGGTTACAATTGGTTACAAGAGATTAAAAGGGGTTACAGGGGGTTACAAGAGGTTGCAAGGGGTGACACTGGGTGACAAGGGGTTACAGGGGGTTGCAAAGGATTATAGAAACTTTTTTCTAACTAGAACGTTCCCAGATACTTTTTCTTGGTCTATTTTGCATAAAAATCAAAGTTGAAGAAATCTCTAATTTTTGATCAAAACGATGGACTAAGCCCTTTGGAAAAATTCTAATTTTGCGTTTTTCGTAAACAGTTGTTTTTATAGTCTTTAAAGGCTTCTTTTTTTATCTAGAACGTCAGCAAACACTTTTACTCGATCTATATCTAATAAATACAAAAGATGAAAAAACTTCAACGTTTTGACCAAAATCATGGACTATCCCCTTTGCAAAAAGGCCAATTTTGCCTTCTTTTTAAATCCATGTTTATATTGTCTAGAATGGCTTGTTTTCTAACGAGAACGTCACCCAATACTTTTTCTGGGTGTAATTTGGATAAAAGGAAACGTTCGAAAAATTTCCAATTTTTGACCAAAACCATGGACTAACCCCTTTGCAAAAATGCCAATTTATTGTCTTTTTGAAACCGATGTTTTTTTGTTCAGAAAGGCTTGTTTGCAATATAAAACGTCGAAAATCGTTTTTTCACGATCTATTTTCACGATCTATGACATGGGAATACACGGGGTTACGAGGGGTTACCGGGGGTTACAAGGGGTTACAAGGGATTAGAAGGGGTTACAACGGGTTACAAGGGGTTACAGGGGGTTACAAGGGGTTACAAGGGGTGACAGCGGGTGACAAGGGGTTACAGGGGGTTGCAAAGGATTATAGAAACTTTTTTCTAACTAGAACTTTCCCAGATACTTTTTCTTGGTCTATTTTGCATAAAAATCAAAGTTGAAGAAATCTCTAATTTTTGGTCAAAACGATGGACTAACCCCTTTGGAAAAATTCTAATTTTGCGTTTTTCGTAAACAGTTGTTTTTATAGTCTTTAAAGGCTTCTTTTTTTATCTAGAACATCAGCAAACACTTTTTCTCGATCTATTTTGATAAATACAAAAGATGAAAACACCTTTACTTTTTGACCAAAATCATGGACTATGCCCTTTGCAAAAATGCCAATTTTGCCTTCTGTTTAAATACATGTTTATATTGTCTAGAAAGGCTTGTTTTCTAACGAGAACGTCACCAAATACTTTTTCTGGGTGTATTTTGCTTGAAACGAAACGTTCTCAAAATTTCAAATTTTTGACCAAAACCATGAGCTAACGCCTATGCAAAAATGCCAATGTTGTGGGTTTTTGAAACCGATGTTTTTTTTCTTTAGAAAGGCTTGTTTGCTATATAAAACGTCGATAATCGTTTTTTCACGATCTATTTTCACGATCTATGACATGGGAATACACGGGGTTACGAGGGGTTACCGGGGGTTACAAGGGGTTACAAGGGATTACAAGGGGTAACTGGGGGTTACAAGGGACTAACCCCTTTGCAAAAATGCAAATTTTGTGGGTTTTTGAAACCGATATTTTTTTGTTCAGAAAGCCTTGTTTGCTATATAAAACGTCGAAAATCGTTTTTTCACGATCTATTTTCACGATCTATGACATGGGAATACACGGGGTTACGAGGGGTTACCGGGGGTTACAAGGGGTTACAAGGGGTTACAAGGGGGTGACAAGGGGTTACAAGGGGTGACAGGGGCGACAAGGTGTTACAGGGGGTTGCAAGGGATTATACAAACTTTTTTCTAACTAGAACGTTCCCAGATATTTTCCTTGGTCTATTTTGCATAAAAATCAAAGTTGAAGAAATCGCTAATTTTTGATCAAAGTGATGGACTAACCCCCTTTGAAAAATTCTAATTTTCCGCTTTTCGTAAACAGTTGTTTTTATAGTCTTTAAAGGCTTCTTTTTTTATCTAGAACGTCAGCAAACACTTTTTCTCGATCTGTTTTTGATAAATACAAAAGATGAAAAAACCTCAATTTTTTAAACAAAATCATGGACTATCCCCTTTGCAAAAAATGCTAATTTTGCATTCTTTTTAAATCCATGTTTATATTGTCTAGAAAGGCTTGTTGTCTAACGAGAACGTCACCAAATACTTTTTCTGGGTGTATTTTGCATAAGACGAGACGTTCATAAAATTTCCTATTTTTCACCAAAACCATGGACTAACCCCTTTGCAAAAATGCCAATTTTGTGGGTTTTTAAAACCGATGTTTTTTTTGTTCACAAAGGCTTGTTTGCTTTATAAAACGTCCAAAATCGTTTTTTGACGATCTATTTTCACGATCTAAGACATGGGAATACACGGGTTACAAGGGGTTTTCCTGGGTTACAAGGGGTTACAAGGGGTTACTAGGGGCTAAGAGGGGTTACAGGCGGTTACAAGGGGTTACAGGGGGTTGCAAAGGATTATAGAAACTTTTTTCTAACTAGAACGTTCCCAGATACTTTTTCTTGGTCTATTTTGCATAAAAATCAAAGTTGAAGAAATCTTTAATTTTTGATGAAACAATCGATGGACTAACCCCTTTGGAAAAATTCTAATTTTGTTTTTTTCGTAAACAGTTGTTTTTATAGTCTTTAAAGGCTTCTTTTTTTATCTAGAACGTCAGCAAACACTTTTTCTCGATCTATTTTTGATAAATAAAAAAGATGAAAAAACTTCAACTTTTTGACCAAAACCATGGACTAACCCCTTTGCAAAAATGCCAATTTTGTGGGTTTTTGAAACCGATGTTTTTTTTGTTCAGAACGGCTTCTTTGCTATATAAAACGTCGAAAATCGTTTTCTCACGATCTATGACATGGGAATACACGGGTTTACAAGGGGTTACCGGGGGTTACAATTGGTTACAAGAGATTACAAGGGGTTACAGGGGGTTACAAGGGGTTGCAAGGGGTGACACTGGGTGACAAGGGGTTACAGGGGGTTGCAAAGGATTATAGAAACTTTTTTCTAACTAGAACGTTCCCAGATACTTTTTCTTGGTATATTTTGCATAAAAGTCAAAGTTGAAGAAATCTCTAATTTTTGATCAAAACGATGGACTAAGCCCTTTGGAAAAATTCTAATTTTGCGTTTTTCGTAAACAGTTGTTTTTATAGTCTTTAAAGGCTTCTTTTTTTATCTAGAACGTCAGCAAACATTTTTTCTCGATCTATTTTTGATAAATACAAAAGATGAAAGAACTTCAACTTTTTGAGCAAAATCATGGACTATCCCCTTTGCAAAAATGCCAATTTTGCTTTCTTTTTAAATACATGTTTATATTGTCTAGAAAGGCTTGTTTTCTAACGAGAACGTCACCAAATACTTTTTCTGGGTGTATTTTGCATAAAACGAAACGTTCACAAAATTTCCAATTTTTGACCAAAACCATGGACTAACCCCTTTTGCAAAAATGCCAATTTTGTGGCTTTTTGAAACCGATGTTTTTTTTGTTCAGAAAGGCTTGTTTGCTATATAAAACGTCGAAAATCATTTTTTCACGATCTATTTTCACGATCTATGACTTAAGAATACACCGGGTTACAAGGGTTACCGGGGGTTTCAAGGGGTTACAAGGGGTTACAAGGGGTTACAGGGGGTTACAAGGGGTTACAAGGGGTGAACGGGGGTGACAAGGGGTTACAGGGGGTTGCAAAGGATTATAGAAACTTTTTTCTAACTAGAACGTTCCCAGATACTTTTTCTTGGTCTATTTTGCATAAAAATCAATGTTTAAGAAATCTCTAATTTTTGATCAAAACGATGGGCTAACCCCTTTGGAAAATTTCTAAATTTGTGTTTTTCGTAAACAGTTGTTTTTATAGTCTTTAAAGGCTTCTTTTTTTATCTAGAACGTCAGCAAACACTTTTTCTCGATCTATTTTTGATAAATACAAAAGATGAAAAAACTTCAACTTTTTGACCAAAATCAGGGCCTATCCCCTTTGCAAAAATGCCAATTTTGCCTTCTTTTTAAATCCATGTTTATATTGTCTAGAAAGGTTTGTTTTCTAACGAGAACGTCACCAAATACTTTTTCTGGGTGTATTTTGGATAAAACGAAACGTTCACAAAATTTCCAATTTTTGACCAAAACCATGGACTAACCCCTTTGCAAAAATGCCAATTTTGTGCGTTTTTGAACCCGATGTTTTTTTAGTTCAGAAAGGCTTGTTTGCTATATAAAACGTCGAAAATCGTTTTCTCACCATCTATTTTCACGATCTATGACATGGGAATACATGGGGTTACAACGGGTTACCGGGGGTTACAAGGGGTTACAAGGGGTTACAAGAAGTTACCAGGGGTTACAAGGGGTTACAAGGGGTTACAAGGGGTGACAGGGGGTGACAAGGGGTTACAGGGGGTTGCAAAGGATTATACAAACTTTTTTCTAACTAGAACGTTCCCAGATATTTTTTCTTCGTCTATATTGCATAAAAGTCAAAGTTGAAGAAATCTCAAATTTTTGATCAAACTATGGATTAACCCCTTTGGAAAAATTCTAATTTTGCGTTTTTCGTAAATAGTTGTTTTTATAGTCTTTAAAGGCTTCTTTTTTAATCTAGAACGTCAGCAAACACTTTTTCTCGATCTATTTCTGATAAATACAAAAGATGAAAAAACTTCAACTTTTTGACCAAAATCATGGACTATCCCCTTTGCAAAAATGCCAATTTTGCCTTCTTTTTAAATCCATGTTTATATTGTCTAGAAGGGCTTGTTTTCTAACGAGAACGTACCAGGGGTTACCAGGGGTTACAAAGGGTTACAAGGGGTTACAAGGGGTTACAAGGGGTTACAGGGGGTTACAAGGGGTTAAAAGGCGTGACATGGGGGTGACAAGCGGTTACAGGGGGTTGCAAAGGATTATAGAAACTTTTTTCTAACTAGAACGTTCCCAGATACTTTTTCTTGGTCTATTTTGCATAAAACTCAAATTTGAAGAAATCTCTAGTTTTTGATGAAAACGATGGACTAACCCCTTTGGAAAAATTCTAATTTTGCTTTTTTCGTAAACAGTTGTTCTTATAGTGTTTAAACGCTTCTTTTTTTATCTAGGACGTCAGCAACCACTTTATCTCGATCTATTTTTAACAAATACAAATGATGAAAAAACTTCAACTTTTTGACCAAAATCATGGACTATCCCCTTTGCAAAAATGCCAATTTTGCCTTCCTTTCAAATCCATGTTTATATTGTCTAGAAAGGCTTATTGTCTAACGAGAACGTCACCATATACTTTTTCTGGGTGTATTTTGCATAAAACGAAACGTTTACAAAATTTCAAATTTTTGACCAAAACCATGGACTAACCCCTTTGCAAAAATGGCAATTTTGTGGGTTTTTCAAACCGATGTTTTATGTTCAGACAGGCTTGTTTGCTATATAAAACGTCGAAAATCTTTTTTTCACGATCTATTTTCACGATCTATGACATGGGAATACAGAGGGTTACAAGGGATTACCGGGGGTTACAAGGGGTTACAAGGGGTTACAAGAAGTTACAAGGGGTTACAGGGGGTTACAAGTGCTTACAAGGTGAAAGAGGTTGTGACAAGGTGTTACATGGGGTTACAAAGGATTATAGAAACTTTTTTCTATCTAGAACGTTACCAGATACTTTTTCTTGGTCTATTTTGCATAAAAATCAAAGTTGAAGAAATCTCTAATTTTTGATCAAAACGATGGACTAACCCCTTTGGAAAAATTCTAATTTTGCGTTTTTCGTAAACAGTTGTTTTTATAGTCTTTAAAGGCTTCTTTTTTTATCTAGAACGTCAGCAAACACTTTTTCTCGATCTATTTTTGATAAATACAAAAGATGAAAAAACTTCAACTTTTTGACCAAAATCATGGAATATCCCCTTTGCAAAAATGTCAATCTTGTCTTCTTTTTAAGTCCATGTTTATATTTTCTAGAAAGGCTTGTTTTCTAACGAGAACGTCACCAAATACTTTTTCTGGGTGTATTTTGCATAAAACGAAACGTTCACAAAATTTTCACTTTTTGACCAAAACCATGGACTACCCCTTTGCAAAAATGACAATTTTGTGGCTTTTTGAAACCGATGTTTTTTTTGTTCAGAAAGGCTTGTTTGCTATATATGACGTCGAAAATCGTTTTTTCACGACCTATTTTCATTATCTATGACATAGTAATACACGGGGTTACAAAAGGGGTTACCGGGGGTTACAAGGAGTTACCGGGGGTTAAGGGGGGCTACAAGGGGTTACAGGGGGTGACAAGGGGTTACAGGGGGTTGCAAAGGATTATAGAAACTTTTTTCTAACTAGAACGTTCCCAGATACTTTTTCTTGGTCTATTTGGCATAAAAATCAAAGTTAAAGAATTTTCTAATTTTTGATCAAAAAGATGGACTAACCCCTTTGGAAAAATTCCAATTTTGTGTTTTTCGTGAACAGTTGTTTTTATAGTCTTTAAAGGCTTCTTCTTTTATCTAGAACGTCAGCAAACACTTTTTCTCGATCTATTTTTGGAAAATACAAAAGATGAAAAAACTTCAACTTTTTGACCAAAATCATGCACTATCCCCTTTGCAAAAATGCCAATCTTCCCTTCTTTTTTAATCCATGTTTATATTGTCTAGAAAGGTTTGTTTTCTAACGAGAACGTCACCAAATACTTTTTCTGGGTGTATTTTGCATAAAACGAAACGTTCACAAAATTTCCAATTTTTGACCAAAACCATGGACTAACCCTTTTGCAAAAATGCCAATTTTGTCGGTTTTTGAAACCCATGTTTTTTTTGCTCAGAAAGGCTTGATTGCTATATAAATCGTCGAAAATCGTTATCTCTCGATCTATTTTCACGATCTATGACATGGGAATACATGGGCTTACAACGGGTTAACGGGGGTTACCGGGGGTTTCAACGGGTTACAAGGGGTTACAAGGTGTTACAGGGGGTTACAAGGGGTTAGAAGGGGTGAACGGGGGTGACAAGGGGTTACAGGGGGTTGCAAAGGATTATAGAAACCTTTTTCTAAGTAAAACGTTCCCAGATACTTTTTCTTGGTCTATTTTGCATAAAAATCAAAGTTGAGGAAATCTCTAATTTTTGATCAAAACCATGGACTAACCCCTTTGCAAAAATGCCAATTTTGTGAGTTTTTGAAACCGACGTTTTTTTTGTTCAGAAAGGCTTGTTTGCTATATAAAACGTCAAAAATCGTTTTTTAACGATCTATTTTAACGATCTATGACATAGGAATACACGGGGTTACAAGGGGTTACCGGGGGGTTACAAGAGCTTACAAGGGGTTACAAGGGGTTACAAGGGGTTACAGGGGATTACAAGGGGTTACAAGGTGTGCTAAGGGGTGACAAGGGGTTACAGGGGGTTGCAAATGATTATAGAAACTTTTTTCTAACTAGAACGTTCCCAGATACTTTTTCTTGGTCTTTTTTGCATAAAAATCAAAGTTGAGGAAATCTCTAATTTTTGATCAAAACCATGGACTAACCCCTTTGCAAAAATGCCAATTTGGTGGGTTTTTGAAACCGATGTTTTTTTTGTTCAGAACGGCTTGTTTGCTATATAAAACGTCGAAAATCGTTTTTTCACGATTTATGACATGGGAATACACGGGTTTACAAGGGGTTACCGGGGGTTACAAGGGGTTACAAGAGATTACAAGGGGTTACAGGGGGTTACAAGGGGTTGCAAGGGGTGACACTGGGTGACAAGGGGTTACAGGGGGTTGCAAAGGATTATAGAAACTTTTTTCTAACTAGAACGTTCCCAGATACTTTTTCTTGGTCTATTTTGCATAAAAGTCAAAGTTGAAGAAATCTCTAATTTTTGATCAAAACGAAGGACTAACCCCTTTGGAAAAATTCTAATTTTGCTGTTTTCGTAAACAGTTGTTTTTATAGTCTTTAAAGGCTTCTTTTTTTATCTAGAACGTCAGCAAACACTTTTACTTGATCTATATCTAATAAATACAAAAGATGAAAAAACTTCAATGTTTTGACCAAAATCATGGACTATGCCCTTTGCAAAAATGCCAATTTTGCCTTCTTTTTAAATACATGTTTTTATTGTCTAGAATGGCTTGTTTTCTAACGAGAACGTCACCCAATACTTTTCGTGGGTGTAATTTGGATAAAAGGAAACGTTCGAAAAAATTCAAATTTTTGACCAAAACCATGGACTAACCCCTTTGCAAAAATGCCAATTTATTGTCTTTTTGAAACCGATGTTTTTTTGTTCAGAAAGGCTTGTTTGCTATATAAAACGTCGAAAATCGTTTTTTCACGATCTATTTTCACGATCTATGACATGGGAATACACGGGGTTACGAGGGGTTACCGGGGGTTACAAGGGGTTACAGGGGGTTACAAGGGGTTACAAGGGGTGACAGGGGGTGACAAGGGGTTACAGGGGGTTGCAAAGGATTATAGAAACTTTTTTCTAACTAGAACGTTCCCAGATACTTTTTCTTGGTCTATTTTGCATAAAAATCAAAGTTGAAGAAATCTCTAATTTTTGGTCAAAACGATGGACTAACCCCTTTGGAAAAATTCTAATTTTGCGTTTTTCGTAAACAGTTGTTTTTATAGTCTTTAAAGGCTTCTTTTTTTATCTAGAACGTCAGCAAACACTTTTTCTCGATCTATTTTTGTTAAATAAAAAAGATGAAAAATCTTCAACTTTTTGACCAAAATCATGGACTATGCCCTTTGCAAAAATGCCAATTTTGCCTTCTTTTTAAATCCATGTTTATATTGTCTAGAAAGGCTTGTTTTCTAACGAGAACGTCACCAAATACTTTTTCAGGGTGTATTTTGCATATAACGAAACGTTCACAATATTTCCAATTTTTGACCAAAACCATGGACTAACCTCTTTGCAAAAATGCCAATTTTGTGGGTTTTCGACACCCCCTTTTTTTTTTTTGATCAGAATGGCTTGTTTGCTACATAAAACGTCGAAAATCGTTTTTTCACGATCTATTTTCACGATCTATGACATGGAAATACACGGGGTTTCCGGGGGTTACAAGGGCTTACAGGGGGTTACAAGGGGTTACAGGGGATTACAAGGGGTTACAAGGGGTTACATGGGGTGACAAGGGGTTACAGGGGGTTGCAAAGGATTATAGAAACCTTTTTTCTAACTAGAACGTTCCCAGATACTTTTTCTTGGTCTATTTTGCATAAAAATCAAAGTTGAAGAAATCTCTAATTTTTGATCAAAACGATGGACTAACCCCTTTGGAAATATTCTAATTTTGAGTTTTTCGTAAACAGTTGTTTTTATAGTCTTTAAAGGCTTCTTCTTTTATCTAGAACGTCAGCAAACACTTTTTCTCGATCTATTTTTGATAAATACAAAAGATGAAAAAACTTCAACTTTTTGACCAAAATCATGGGCAAAAATGTAAATTTTGCCTTCTTTTGACATCCATGTTTATATTGTCTAGAAAAGCTTGTTTTCTAACGAGAACGTCACCAAATACTTTTTCTGGGTGTATTTTGCATAAAACGAAACGTTCACAAAATTTCCAATTTTTGACCAAAACCAGGGACTAACCCCTTTGCAAAAAATCCAATTTTGTGGGTTTTTGAAACCGATGTTTTTTTTGTTCAAAATGGCTTGTTTGCTATATAAAATGTCGAAAATCGTTTTTTCACGATCTATTTTCACGATCTATGACATGGGAATACACGGGGTTACAAGGGGTTACCGGGGGTTACAAGGGGTTACAAGGGGTTACAAGCGGTTACAAGGGGTTACAGGGGGTTACAAGGGGTTACAAGGGGTGACAGGGGGTGACAAGGGGTTACAGGGGGTTGCAAAGGATTATACAAACTTTTTACCAATTAAAACGTTCCCAGATACTTTTTCTTGGTCTATTTTGCATAAAACTCAAAGTTGAAGAAATCTCTAATTTTTGATCAAAACGATGGACTAACCCCTTTGGAAAAATTCTAATTTTGTTTTTTCCGTAAACAGTTTTTTTTATAGTCTTTAAAGGCCTCTTTTTTTATCTAGAACGTCACCAAACACTTTTTCTCGATCTATTTTTCATAAATACAAAAGATGAAAAAACTTCAACTTTTTGACCAAAATCATGGACTATCCCCATTGCAAAAATGCCAATTTTGTGGGTTTTTGAAACCGATGTTTCGTTTGTTCAGAAAGGCTTGTTTCCTATATAAAACGTCGAAAATCGTTTTTTCACGATGTATTTTCACGATCTATGACATAGGAATTCACGGGGTTACAAGTGGTTACCGAGGGTTACAGGGGGTTAAAAGGGGTTACAAGGGGTTACAGGGGGTTACAAGGGGTTACAAGGCGTGACAGGGGGTGACAAGGGGTTACAGGGGGTTGCAAAGGATTATAGAAAATTTTTTCTAACTAGAACGTTCCCAGATACTTTTTCTTGGTCTATTTTGCATAAAAACCAAAGTTGAAGAAATCTCTAATTTTTTTTCAAAACGATGGACTAACCCCTTTGGAAAAATTCTAATTTTGCGTTTTCCGTAAACAGTTGTTTTCATAGTCTTTAAAGGCTTCTTCTTTTATCTAGAACGTCAGCAAACACTTTTTCTCGATCTATTTTTGATAAATACAAAAGATGAAAAAACTTCAACTTTTTGACCAAAATCATGGGCAAAAATGCCAATTTTGCCTTCTTTTCAAATCCATGTTTATATTGTCTAGAAAGTCTTGTTTTCTAACGAGAACGTCACCCAATACTTTTTCTGGGTGTATTTTGCATAAAACGAAACGTTCACAAAATATTCAATTTTTGAACAAAACCATGGACTAACCCCGTTGCAAAAATGCCAATTTTGTGGGTTTTTGAAACCGATGTTTTTTTTGTTCAGAAAGGCTTGTTTGCTATATAAAACGTAGCAAATCGTTTTTTCACGAACTATTTTCACGATCTATGACATGGGAATGCACGGGGTTACAAGGGGTTACCGGGGGTTACAAGGGGTTACAAGGGGTTACAAGGGGTTACAGGCGGTTACAAGGGGTGACAAGGGGTGACAAGAGGTTACAGGGGGTTGCAAAGGATTATAGAAACTTTTTTCCAACTAGAACGTTCCCAGATACTTTTTCTTGGTGTATTTTGCGTAAAAATCAAAGTTGAAGTTATCTCTAATTTTTGATCAAAACGATGGACTAACCCCTTTGGAAAAATTCTAATTTTGCGTTTTCCGTAAACAGTTTTTTTTATAGTCTTTAAAGGCTTCTTTTTTTATCTAGAACGTCAGCAAACACTTCTTCTCGATCTATTTTTGATAAATACAAAAGATGAAAAAACTTCAACTTTTTGACCAAAATCATGGACTATCCTCTTTGCAAAAATGCCAATTTTGTCTCCTTTTTTAATCCATGTTTATATTGTCTAGAAAGGCTTTTTTTCTAACGAGAACGTCAGCAAATACTTTTTCTGGGTTTATTTTGCATAACACGAAACGTTAATAAAATTTCCAATTTTTGACCAAAACCATGGACTAACCCGTTTGGAAAAATGATGATTTTGTGGGTTTTTGAAACCGATGTTTTCGTTGTTGAGAAAGGCTTGTTTGCTATATAAAACGTCGCAAATTGTTTTATTACCATTTATTTTCGCCATCTATGACATGGAAATAGAGTGGGTTACTGGGGGTTACAAAGGGTTACCTGGGATTACAGGGGGTTACAAAGGGTTACAAGGGGTTACAGGGGGTTACAAGGGGTGACACGGGGTGACAAGGGATGACAGGGGGTTACAAAGGATTATACAAACTTTTTTCTAACTAGAACGTTCCCAGATACTTTTTCTTGGTCTATTTTGCATAAAAATCAAAGTTGAAGAAATCTCAAATTTTTGACCAAAACGATGGACAAACCCCTTTGGAAAAATACTTATTTTGCGTTTTTCATAAACAGTTGTTTTTATAGTCTTTAAAGGCTTCTTTTTTATCTACAACGTCAGCAAACACCTTTTTCTCGATCTTTTTTTGGTAAACACAAAAGATGAAAAAACTCCAACTTTTTGACCAAAATCATGCACTATCCCCTTTGCGAAAATGTCAATTTTGTCTTCATTTTAAATGAATGTTTATATTGTTTCGAAAGACTTGTTTTCTAACGAGAACGTCACCAAATACTTTTTCTGGGTTTATTTCGCATAACACGAAACGTTAACAAAATGTTCAATTTTTGACCAAAACCATGGACTAACCCCTTTGGAATAATGCTAATTTTGTGGGTTTTTGAAACCGATGTTTTCGTTGTTGAGAAAGGCTAGTTTGCTATATAAAACGTCGAAAATCCTTTTTTCACCATTTATTTTCGCGATCTATGACATGGGAATACAGGGGGTTACTGGGGGTTACAAGGGGTTACAAGGGATTACAGGAGGTTACTTGGGGTTACAAGGGGTTACAGGGGGTTACAAGGGGTGACACGGGGTGACAAGGGATGACAGGGGGTTACAAAGGATTATACAAACTTTTTTCTAACTAGAACGTTCCCAGATACTTTTTCTTGGTCTATTTTGCATAAAAATCAAAGTTGAAGAAATCTCAAATTTTTGACCAGAACGATGGACTAACCCCATAGGAAAAATTCTTATTTTGCGTTTTTCATAAACGGTTGTTTTTATAGTCTTTAAAGGCTTCTTTTTTATCTACAACGTCAGCAAACATTTTTTCTCCATCTATTTTTGATAAATACAAAAGTTGAAAAACTTCAACTTTTTGACCAAAATCATGCACTATCCCCTTTGCAAAAATGTCAATTTTGTCTTCATATTAAATCCATGTTTATATTGTCTAGAAAGGCTTTTTTTCTAACGAGAACTTCAGCAAATACTTTTTCTGGGTTTATTTTGCATAACACGAAACGTTAACAAAATTTCCAACTTTTGACCAAAACCATGGACTAACCCCTTTGGAAAATTGCTAATTTTGTGGGTTTTAGAAACCGATGTTTTCGTTGTTGAGAAAGGCATGTTTGCTATATAAAACGTCGAAAAGCGTTTTCTCACCGTTTATTTTCGCGATCTATGACATCTGAATAAAGGGGGTTACTGGGGGTTACAAGGGGTTACAAGGGATTACAGGGGCTTACAAGGGGTTACAAGGGGTTACAAGGGGTTACAAAGGGTGACACGGGGTGACAAGGGATGACAGGGGGTTACAAAGGATTATACAAAGTTTTTTCTAACTGAAACGCCCCCACATACTTTTTCTTGGTCTTTTTTGAATAAAAATCAAATTTCAAGAAATCTTTAATTTTTGACCAAAACGATGGACTAACCCCTTTGGAAAAATTCTTATTTTGCGATTTTCATAAACAGTTGCTTTTTCAGTCTTTCAAGGCTTCTTTTTTATCTACAACGTCAGCAAACACTTTTTCTCGATCTATTCTTGATAAACACAAAAGATGAAAAAACTTCAACTTTTTGACCAAAATCATGCACTATCCCCTTTGCGAAAATGTCAATTTTGTCTTCATTTTAAATGAATGTTTATATTGTTTCGAAAGACTTGTTTTCTAACGAGAACGTCACCAAATACTTTTTCTGGGTTTATTTCGCATAACACGAAACGTTAACAAAATGTTCAATTTTTGACCAAAACCATGGACTAACCCCTTTTATAACATAGCTAGAAAATTCGCCTAATCAAATTCAATAGCGCGAGCGTGCTTCTTATTCCTATTGAGCACGCTGATGACGTCAATAAACTATTCGTAATTCCTCGAGTTGTTGGGAGCTTAGCAATCCTGAGTCTCCCGAGTGCATCCATAACTCAGCAATAGACAATGAAGCGTTTACCTTGTGTTTTATAAGGAAATTTAGGAGGAAAGGTTTGAATTTGTTAACCGATAGTAAGGAAAAGAGGTGAGTGTTGTTGTTGTTGTTGTCATCTCGGCGAGCTGTGCGGGCTATGGCGTGAGATCATTCTTTGCAAAGTTGTTTTCTCTCAATAACAATTTTTCGGTAAATTAAAAGTTTTCCGGCGCCTAAATATGGATTTTGCAATCATTTTAGAGTACACTTTCTCTCAGTTTCAGGATAAAAACATAAGATTAACTGTGAGGAAAAAAAATATAGTCACGTAATCATTGACGCGTACTGCTTTGAGCGCGCCCTACAATAATAAAATTTTCAGTTAACTGCTGCATTGATCGCTTTGATAATGTTATAAAACAATTAGTTCATGCTGCAGCTGTGCGTATGTCGAGATATTGAGCACTTGGGAAGTTTGGAGAGCACTCAAAAGGCTAGAGTTGCACTCGGCTGCGCCTCGTGCAACTCTTACGCCTCTTTCGTGCTCTCCAAACTTCCCGCGTGCTCAATATCTCGACATACGCACGCCTCCGCATGAACTAATTGTTAATGGAATAATGCTAATTTTGTGGGTTTTTGAAACCGATGTTTTCGTTGTTGAGAAAGGCTTGTTTGCTATATAAAACGTCGAAAATCCTTTTTTCACCATTTATTTTCGCAATCTGTGACATGGGAATACAGGGGGTTACTGGGGGTTACAAGGGGTTACAAGGGATTACAGGAGGTTACAAGGGGTTACAAGGGGTTACAGGGGGTTACAAGGGGTGGTGACACGGGGTGACAAGGGATGACAGGTGGTTACAAAGGATTATACAAACTTTTTTCTAACAAAAACGTTCCCAGATACTTTTTCTTGGTCTATTTTGCATAAATATCAAAGTTGAAGAAATCTCAAATTTTTGACCAAAACGATGGACTAACCCCTTTGGAATAATGCTAATTTAGTGGGTTTTTGAAACCGATGTTTTCCTTGTTGAGAAAGGCTTCTTTGCTATATAAAACGTCGAAAATCGTTTTCTTACCATTTATTTTCGCGATCTATGACATCTGAATAAAGGGGGTTACTGGGGCTTACAAGGGATTACAGGGGGTTACAAGGGGTTACAAGGGGTTACAAGGGGTTAGAGGGGGTTTCAAGGGGTTACACTTGGTGACAAGGGATGACATTGAGTTACAAGGGATTATACAAACTTTTTTCGAACTAGAACGCTCCCAGATACTTTTTCTTGGTCTATTTTCCTTAAAAATCAAAGTTGAAGAAATCTCAAATTTTTGACCAAAACGATGGACAAACCCCTTTGGAAAAATTCTTATTTTGCGTTTTTCATAAACAGTTTTTTTATAGTCTTTAAAGGCTTCTTTTTTATCTACAACGTCAGCAAACACTTTTTCTCGATCTATTATTGATAAACACAAAAGATGAAAAAACTTCAACTTTTTGACCAAAATCATGCACTATCCCCTTTGCAAAAGGTCAATTTTGTCTTCATTTTAAATCCATGTTTATATTGTATATAGGCTTGTTTTCTAACGAGAACATCACCAAATAATTTTTCCGTGGTTTATTTTGCATAACACGAAACCTTAACAAAATTTCCAATTTTTGACCAAAACCATGGACTAACCCCTTTGGAAAAATGCTTATTTTGTGGGTTAATGAAACCGGTGTTTTCGTCGTTTAGAAAGGCTTGCTTGCTATATAAAACGTCGAAAATCGTTTTCTCACCATCTATTTTCGCGATCTAAGACATGAGAATATAGGGGGTTACTGGGGTTACAAGGGGTTACAAGGGATTACAGGGGGTTACAAAGGGGTTACAGGGGGTTACAAGGGGTGACACGGGGTGACAAGGGATGACATGGGGTTACAAAGGATTATACAAACTTTTTTCTAACTAGAACGTTCCCAGATACTTTTTCTTGCTCTATTTTGCATAAAATCAAAGTTCAAGAAATCTCAAATTTTTGACCAAAACGATGGACTAACCCCTTTGGAAAAATTCTTATTTTGCGTTTTTCATAAACAGTTGTTTTTATAGTCTTTAAAGGCTTCTTTTTTATCTACAACGTCAGCAAACACTTTTTCTCGATCTATTTTTGATAAACACAAAAGATGAAAAAACTTCAACTTTTTGACCAAAATCATGCACTATCCCTTTTGCAAAAATGTCAATTTTGTCTTCATTTTAAATCCATGTTTATATTTTCTAGAAAGGCTTGTTTTCTAACGAGAACGTCACCAAATACTTTTTCTGGGTTTATTTTGCATAACACGAAACGTTAACAAAATTTCCAATTTTTGACCAAAACCATGGACTAACTCCTTTGGAAAAATGCTAAGTTTGTGGGTTTTTGAAACCGATGTTTTCGTTGTTGAGAAAGGCTTGTTTGCTATATAAAACGTCGAAAATCGTTTTCTCACCATTTATTTTCGCGATCTATGACATGGGAATACAGGGTGTTACTGGGGTTAGAAGGGGTTACAAGGGATTACAGGGCGTTACAAGGGGTTACAAGGGGTTACAGGGGGTTACAAGGGGTGACACGGGGTGACAAGGGATGACAGGGGGTTACAAAGGATTATACAAACTTTTTTCTAGCTAGAACGTTCCCAGATACTTTTTCTTGCTCTATTTTGCATAAAAATCAAAGTTGAAGAAATCTCAAATTTTTGACCAAAACGATGGACTAACCCCTTCGGAAAAATTCTCATTTTGCGTTTTTCATAAACAGTTGTTTTTATAGTCTTTAAAGGCTTCTTTTTTATCTACAACGTCAGCAAACACTTTTTCTCGATCTATTTTTGATAAACACAAAAGATTAAAAAACTTCAACTTTTTGACCAAAATCATGCACTATCCCCTTTGCAAAAAAGGTCAATTTTGCCTTCTTTTAAATCCATGTTTATATTGTCTAGAAAGGCTTGTTTTTTAACGAGAACGTCACCAAATACTATTTCTTGGTTTATTTTGCATAACACGAGACGTTAAAAAAATTTCTAATTTTTGACCAAAACCATGGACTAACCCCTTTGAAAAAATAGTAATTTTGTGGGTTTTTGAAACCGATGTTTTCGTTGTTGAGAAAGGCTTGTTTGCTATATAAAACGTCGAAAATCGTTTTTTCACCATTTATTTTCACGATCTCTGACAAGGGAATACAATGGGTTACCGGGGGTCCCTGTTGGTTACAAGGGGTTACAAGGGGTTACAAGACATTACAAGGGGTTACAAGGGGTTACATGGGGTTACAAGGGGTTACAGGGGGTTACAAGGGGTGACAGGGGGTGACAGGGGGTGACAAGGGGTGACAGGGGGTTACAAAGGATTATACAAACTTTTTTCTAACTAGAACGTTCCCAGATACTTTTTCTTGGTCTATTTTGCATAAAAATCAAAGTTGAAGAAATCTCAAATTTTTGACCAAAACGATGGACTAACCCCTTTGGAAAAATTCCCATTTTGCGTTTCTTATAAACAGTTGTTTTTATAGTCTTTAAATTCTTCCTTTTTATCTAGAACGTCAGCAAACACTTGTTCTCGATCTATTTTTGATAAACACAAAAGATCTAAAAACTTCAACATTTTGACCAAAATCATGGACTATCTCTTTTGCAAAAATTCTAATTGTGCCTTCTTTTTAAGTCCATGTTTATATTGTCTAGAAAGGCTTGTTTTCTAACGAGAACGTCACTAAATAGTTTTTCTGGGAGTATTTTGCATAAAACGAAACGTTAACAAAATTTCCAATTTTTGACCAAAACCATGGACTAACACCTTTGGAAAAAATGTCGTTTTGGGGGGTTTTTGGAACCGATGTTTTTGTTGATCAGAAAGGCTTGTTTGCTATATAAAACGTCGAAAATCGTTTTTTCACTATTTATTTTCACGATCTATGACATGGGAATACAGAGGGTTACAATGGGTTACAGGGGCTTACAAGGGGTTACAACGTGTGACAAGTGGTTACAGGGGGTTACAAAGGATTATAGAAACTTTTTTCTAACTAGAACGTTCCCAGATACTTTTTCTTGGTCTATTTTGCATAAAAATCAAAGTTGAAGAAATCTCAAATTTTTGACCAAAACGATGGATTAACTCCTTTGAAAAAATTCTAATTTTGCGTTTTTCGTAAGCAGTTGTTTTTATATTCTTTAAAGGCTTCTTTTTTATCTAGAACGTCAGTAAACAGTTTTTTATGATCTATTTTTGATAAACACAAAAGATGATAAAACTTCAACTTTTTGACCAAAATCATGGACTATCCCCTTTGCAAAAATGCCAATTTTGCCTTCTTTTCAAATCCATGTTTATATTGTCTAGAAAGGCTTGTTTTCTAACGAGAACGTCACCAAATGCTTTTTCTGGGTGTATTTTGCATAAAAGGAAAAGTTAACAAAATATCAAAACCCTGGACTAACCTGTTTGGAAAAAATGCCCAATTTTGCTTTTTTTTTATATGCATGTTTGTATTGTCTGGAAAGGCTTGCTCTCTATTGAGAACGTCACCAAATACTTTTTTTAGGTGTGTTTTACATAAAACGAAGACGAAGCCCACCCTTTTCACTTTCGTCATTTTATCCCCCTTTTTTCATTTTGGTCATATTTGAGCCCACTCCTATGTTATTTCGGTCATTTTGGCGTCTTTGTTTATTTTCATCAGTTTGGCCCCTTTGTTCATTTTCATAATTTTGGACTCTGTGTATCTTTTGATCGTCTTCTTCAACTGTTCATTTTGGCCCCTTAGTTCATTTTGCTCATTTGGGCCATGCACTCTGTCCCTTTTGGTTATATTGGCCCCTTTGTCCAATTTGTCCATTTTGGGCATTATGTTCATTTTGGTTATTTTGGCACCTTTTGTTTAACTTGATTATTTTGGGCCCTTTGTTTATTTTGGTCATTTTTTTCATTTTTTTTCCTTGTTTGTCCCTTTATTCGGTTGGGTCATTTTGGTCACTTTTTTCGATTTTTTCTTTTTCAACCCTCTTGGTTCATTTTGAACATTTTGGACCCTTTGTCCAATTTGCTCATTTTGGGCACTATGTTCATTTTGGATATTTTGGCACCTTTTGATCCGTTTGATAATTTTGGGCCCTTTGTTCATTTTGCTCATTTGAGCCATGCACTTTGTTCCTTTTGGTTATATTGGCCCCTTTGTCCAATTTACTCATTTTGGGAATTATGTTCATTTTGGTTATTTTGGCACCCTTTGTTTAACTTGATTATTTTGGGCCCTTTGTTCACTTTGGTCATTTTTTTTCCTTGTTTGTCCCTTTATTCGGTTAGGTCATTTTGGTCACTTTTTTCGATTTTTTCTTTTTTAACCCTCTTGGTTCATTTTGAACAATTTGGACCCTTTGTCCAATTTGCTCATTTTGGGCACTATGTTCATTTTGGATATTTTGGCACCTTTTGATCCATTTGATAATTTTGGGCCTTTTGTTCATTTTGGCCACGTTGTTCATGTTGGTCATTTTTTTCATTCTTTTTTCTTATTTGTCCCTTTGTTCAGTTAAGTCATTTTGGTCACTTTTTTCCACTTTTTAACCCCCTTGGTTCATTTTGAACATTTTGGACCCTTTGTCCATTTTGATCACTCTGGCCACGTTTTTTATATGCATTTTGGTCATTTTGGTCCTTTTTCTTTTCCTTTTTACTTTTTTCCCCTTTGTTTGTTTTCAAGTCGTTTGACCTCTTTGTACAGTTTCGTCATTTTATTCATACTGTTCAAACCCATACAGCTTTGTATTGCCATTTAACTGTTTTTGGGGGGGGAGGAGGGTAGGGGGGTCAACAAAGGTGAATCAAAAATCTTTGTTACAGGTGCATTAAATAGAGAAATTCTTATTGCACGCGGAACAAATTTTTTCAAGCGTAATGAGTCCTCCTTTTACAAAAGGGGTCACCGAAATGATGACTTAAAATGTCAAATGATAGAAAATAACTTTGCCTAGAATGTTTGAGAATATTTTTTAGGTATTAACCGCCAAAAAAATGGTTACATAAAGTTAACTTGTTGATTTAAGCTTAAAGGTTTTCTTGCATGTTAAAAAATTTTGATTGTGAAATTAGCGCGTACACAGCATAGAAAATGTGACGTCAACACTGTATTTACTTAATAGGGAGCTTAAGAAACGACAAGGGCGACGTCAACAAGGACGGCAAAAAAGCAAGAGGTTTAGATTGGCAAAACAACAACTCTGTACGTGCATCACGCTTTTTTGTACATTCCCTTACCGTCACTGCACGACTACGACTTGAGAATGCCAAATTTGTCGTCTTTTGGAGGACATGAACACAAGGCAACGACTTTGTTTTTCTTTTCCTGAATTTCGATACAGGCTTAACTTTTAAATTTCAACTTCACAAAAAATTGCCAACATTTTTGCAGTTGAACGAGATGGAAAAAGCATTATAGTTTTAATAGGTGTTTTAGGTTTGGCTTCAGCGGTTTTTTTGACCGCTATTTCCTTTGGTAAATTTAAAATTATTTTATTATCTTTGCAGTTGGTGTAGGTTGTGTGCGCGCGCGCACTTTTTTACTTAATTAATGTAGGCATTTATTTCGGCTCCTCCTAAAATGTTCTAAAATTGGTGTAGGATTTAATTCATGGAACCGGACCCAAATTACACCCATTATTGGCCCACATTATTACTGCACACATTTTCACTGATAAACAGTTACGACTTACCGAAATTTTGAGCAACAGCAATTTACTGTCTGTCCCCTTTGAATTACTTACAATTAAAAATGTCCACTAAATCGTTTGTTAAACAGGGCTGCAGCAGCAATTATAATATGGTCATAATAATGCATATCTCGTTGGGCGATTGGTCATTTTCCGGTCGGCATACCAAGTATTATACGGACCTAAGCTTCAGCTTGATATCAGTTCTCCTCTTCTTAATGCTGCGGCAGCTGTAATTCAAATATCCACAAAATAGTTCATCAAAGTTAATCTTCACGTTTTCGTTTGTTAAGCCTTTTTAGTACGCTTTTAAATTTGCTTGCTCAAAGACAAATAGGCTCGTGAAATCGTTTCTCTGTTTTTTTTTTTTCATTAGTATATATATATATATATACTTCTTAAACTTGAATAGAATAAATTTTGGACAGCGCTCAACTCTGGGAGGAGCAGTGACTATAATGATCAATGGTAGTAAGATTTCAATTCATCGTTTTATTGCGACAACGCTGTTTCGTGTGGTCAAAGAATGGTCACACTCATCAGGCAATACTCACGAATGACCGTTAAATTGCAAGAACTGGCAATAAAAGCTAACTTGGAGTTGCTATGGTATAGTAAAAGCGACGTTATGGTTGCTATGAGATATAAAAACAGTAAAAAATAGATGCTACGTGACACATATATATATAAAGGCGACACCTGTATAAGCTTTAAACATCTTATCTGTCTCTTTTCTCGGTTCTTATTGTAAGTTAAGTCACAGTTTTTCTTTTCACTCAGAACATCGAACGAAAAATATCACTCTAATGAAAGTTCGGATCTCAAATTAAGCTTATGAAAAGCATTTGCTGCATTAAATATAGTTTACTTGATTGGTCTTTAGGTATCATTTAACTAAAGAATATATTCTATAGGATATGATTAGGAAGTAAAACTCAAGAACGAAATTTACAATTAAAACCTTAAAAATTTGACAAAATAATTAAAAGGCAAATAATTTCAAGGAGTTAGAGCGATTAGCGACTGATATCTTTTTTGCAACCATTTACTTCTCAAAAAGCCCCCTACAACACAGCTTTCTCAGAGCGAAAAAGGATTAATTATTACTGATAATGCGACGTGTTTAAAATAACGTTTAATTTATGCCCTGGAGGAATAGCCGGATGGGATTAAAAGTAAACAAAATGGAAAAGGAAACAGCAGGTTTAAAATCGAACATGAGGTCGAAATTAATGAAATTTGACTGACCGTGGCATCCTGGTGACAAATGTCGCATATTATTGCCACGTAGCTACAGCATACTGAGTCCCTATAAATGCCTGTGTTTGAATGAAGAATGTCAGTCGAGTGTCCATGAAATAATATAAAGGCTTCTTTTTTTTTCTCAAAATGCCTATCGGCCTGAGAGTTGCATTCGGTATCATTGGAACATTTGCCATTTTAAACAACGCTTTGTTGTTGGTGGTTATTTTAAAGAATCGGTCCATGCTGAAAACGCCGTACAACACGCTAGTTTTAAGTTTGGCCATCACCGACTTTATCACAGGTAAGTACAATGATGTGTTTGTAGTGTTTGCATTGAGTGTTGCCCTGTGTTATGTATTTTTGCATCGTACGAATTGAAAACATAGTGGTCAATGAATGACGAAAATAAGGTGAAACGTTTTTCGAACGGACATGATCGTCAGCCGAAAGTCCTAAAGAATTTCACGCTTTGTTTTTGCGGTACACCGAATTTTAATTCAGCTGGAATCTATATAAAGGGAAGAATAGCAAAGGGAAAAAGTGGATCCACCGCCTTAATTAAAAACAAGCCCACATTTCACCATCGCTAGATTTGTTTACTGTCAGTTGATTAAACCTTGCTTCCTTATTATCTGGTTTTCTAGCTGCAGCATGTGATAATTCTCAGCCTGTGACAATCAGCACTCTATAAAACTTATCACCAACCGGGGGTTTTGATTCACAGTACACGCATAAGTCTTTGGTATAGAAAGAGGTCGTAAGGAACACAAGAAGGGGTAGTTAGAAAAAGTTTGACGGCACGATAAAATGTTTACATTCTTTGTACACAAGGTTTTAGGTTTCACCCTTTAGCAAAATAATGGCTGAATTGTATATAACCGCGAGAAAAGGGACAGGTTTGGTGTCATGGTGTTAATTAACGCACTCGCCCTAACATTTTCTTTAAACAAAATTTCGCTTTCTGAAAATCTTTAGAGGAACTGCTAGGCAAGATGGCTGGGCATTTTCGGAAAGACGGCTTACTGAGCAGCTGGAAAAAATAAGCAGAATAAATTTGCCGTCAGATAAAAAATATGAGAACGAAATTTCCGATCGGTCGTTAATTTTCCTTCAAAATCCGTAGAATATTCAGTATGTAGTCAACGATTAGTGAACAAGGTTACTTGCACGTATGCTTGGGGGCATTGCATTGTATCTGAACTAGTAAAAACCAGCAGAGCAGAAGATAACGCAGATTTCAAGTGTTCCGATTTCAATTATGGTAGGGCCGCCTGCCTTCAAAACTGACAGGAATGCAAAAATATAACTTGTTTGGGGTAGGTTAACTGGTTTTAGTGAAAAATTGTGGGTCTTTTTCAGTGGATTTTACATTATTTTAGGTTTAAATTTTGTTCCTTAATTTCATTTCGCTGAGAGGAAAGCGAAATATGCTCAGAGGAAACTTCTCATAGTGCAAATATCACTGACAACTTTGTCTATGTTTTTGCCGGACTTGACATTTTCTTCTACGAGAGGGGAAAACGAATTGCCAAAGTAAATTTGCACCTTGTTAGGCCCTCCATTTAGCTTTTTTATAATAATTATTTACCTCATTATTTCAGCTACAGCTGCTCCAAAGGATATTAAGGCTTTTAAATGTGAGGCAATTTTTATTTCATTGCTTCGATTTATTTGCAACGTTGACTTCCACATGAAAAATGATCAGTCAAATTCAGAAGTACGAGCCTAAAATATGGTCAAAATTCTGGAGTTTCAAACTACTGAATTCCCGAACGAGCCCTTCTCTTGACAAGCACTCCCTCGTTTATTTCATCATCATATCATTTAAATAATATGGTCTTTATACTGTAAATATTAGTTTCCAGTCTGGTTAAACATGGCAGGTTGTCACTGCCGTGTAAATATTTCGAATTTGATTCTCATCATTCTTAAAATAGATTACAATCAATCTGAGTAACCTGTGTAAACTGCTGATTTGCATGACTTTCCTCTTGTTCGTACTATATTATACATGCATATTGCTTCAAAATTCATTTTGGTCCATTTATCTTACATTTGTCCTATAAAGCATCATTTCTTTAAGTTGAACTTTAGTTAATTGTTGTAGTTTTTGGTTTTGTCGAGAATTTGTCTTAATTTATGAAGGTGTAGCACATGGACCTAGGCCTTGGATAAATTTTTGTCGCATTGTGTACGAGAAAATGAAAAATGAGGAAAAATCCTGACTTAAACCCCCCGCCCTACCAGTAACTCCGTCTCCAATTCTCTGTTTTCTTCCCATTTTTCATTTTCCTCTCCCATGCTCGTCCCCCTTTACCCGTTCCCCCCATTCGCTGTTCCCTATTCTCGTTCTCCCATTACCCTCTATATTCCCCGTTTTAGTAACATTTTGAACAAAATAACTGAGCGGGTGTATCTGTTTGTTATATGTGTTATATGTCGTGCACTAATACGTGTCGTGACAATTCTTTCATTTTAAAAGGAGAGATGTTGAATACCAATGAGATCTTTCTCGATAAACATTTCAAAGTAATAACGTCAGTGTTGATCCATTTAGATCTTAATCCTAAAATTAATTTAACTCGCCTAAAAATGATGATAAACTGCTGACATTAAACATTCATTAAATGTGTTCAGAAAAAAAGCGGCCAAAAAGTTTGAATAAGTGCACGCAATGACAAATATTTATATAAATTCGAACTAAATAGAAAATTATGTCATTCAGTAAAAAAGTCACGTCTTTACTTATTAAACTGACTCAGATTTGCATCTTTGCATGTCTTTACTGAATCACCTCCTAGCACCAGTGTACCCTTCATATCACTGAGCGGCCCGTGTGAATGTTTAGATCAGTAAGACTTGTAAACAGGGGGTTCTGTTGAATTTATAAACCATGAGTGATGTCCATTAAGGTGATGTTACATGGGCCGATTTGCAACGACGATTTTTAGCGCAGCACGGCGTTACAACATTGTTGCTACATCGTTGCGAAAGGCTGCAACATTGTTCCAAAATTTGAACCCTGTTTTGCACTAAAAATCGCCGTTGCGAATCGTCTCGCGTAACATCACCTTTGTGGCGGGTGGAAAGCTTACCTTTCACACCTATATTCAGTCTAAGACCATTCAAGAAGTGCTTCATGAACTGTTCTTTTTGCTGGGCCAACCAATAAATGATCTGCGCTAAAATAAACAATTTATATCGCTTGCCATTTCTCCTTTTAAACATATAAAAAATAATAATCTACACTCTTTCAGTATTGTTAACTAAACAATTCCAGTTTAGTCTCAGGGGAAGAACGACTTCAAAATGATTGTCAAAATGGAATGCTAATAAAGATAAACATTTCGAGATTTCAAGATTTTAAGTGGAAATTACGAAATATCATATTTCTAACAGCAAAAACGTTTCTTTGGACGAAAGCTTACTTTAGAGCATAGAAAAAGAGAAATGATGTCACAAATAACTCTTACCGAATTTGCAGTTTCAGTCCATAAGAATTTTGAATGTCCATTATGTCACGTTGCAGAAAAATTTGGTGACACTTTCCTCTAGAAATTTCTTTCCTCTTTTACCGTTTTAACTTTGAAAGCTCTATTTGAATAGTGGCATCTTGAAGGCGAATGTTCCAGGACGCCTAATTACTGAGTGCTTCAGTTTCACAAACTAATTGCACAACCCTTGATAGTCGTGTTTGTTTTCGCTCCGCGTTTTTGAAACAAAGAAGCTTTAAGTTTAAAATTATACATCAAAAGAACGCAATCCTCCAGGGAAAATGTCTCGAAGCTGTTCAAAACATTGGCATAGCAGGTGTTTCATGAAGTCTGAAAATTCTCCTGCTTGACGCTTTAATTTTCTGACTGGCTTGAAAAGATTCGATTCATGTTTAACATAAAATGCGGTAAACCAAAAGCAGATTCGTTTGCAACAAACGCACAGGCGTCCCATTTATCAGTTGGAATTGTTTATTGTTTTGACGGTTTAAAAAAATACAAATCTCACCCCGGGGCAAACGCGACCAGACTACGGCTACGGCTCCCTAAGAGCGGAGCTCCCATCAGTAAGATTCTACCGTTAACTCATACAAAACTTATGAACTCTGTTTCACGGGAAGTAAAATACGATGCAATTTAGATACAATAAACTGTCAAAACATGTTTACTATGAAGCAAAGCCATCTGTATTCAGTCTTATTTTTACAGCACAAAATCATTTTGTATTTTGTTTTCTTCTTTAATTTAAAGGAATTGGTATTCTTATTACTCCCGTGTACGTGTTTGGTGCAGACTCGATACCAGTTCATCCAGGTGGTCTGGGTCAGTTATTCTGCCGAATGATATATTCCCAGTACCTAGTTTTCACGTTGGGTATTGTGTCCGTGTATACAGTGACGTCAATGGCTATTGACAGATGGCTCGCTGTAGCTCGACCGACCAAATACAAGACAGCGCTGACGAGGCTTCGCGTCAACATCTGTGTTATGTTCATTTGGGCGATTTCCGTTCTGCTAAATACACCCCATCTCTTTGAAATGAAAGCTGCGACTGATGTTGATGGGAACAAAAAGTGTATGTGGATTGTTCTTACCACGGGAACAACAAGAAAAGTCGTTGCAGTTTTAGAATTCTTGGGCAAGTTCTTTCTCCCTCTTCTTACCGCTTCAATTACCATGATAAGCCTCAACAACCGCGTCAAGTTATCACCAGCTCTCTTCCAGTCAAACAGAGGTAGGGCTGGATTGCGTTTACTACGGATGTGTATGATAACTACGTTGGTGCTTGGAGTATGCTGGTTTCCTAACCAGTTGTATTATTTGTTGTTTAAATATGACATAACTCAGTTGGACACACCCATGCATCACTTTACTGTGGTACTTTGTATGTTCAACTCTTGCATCAACCCCATAATATACTGCACCAGCAACAGATCTTATCGAAAGCAATTCAAGCTTCTGCTATGTCCATGGTACAGAGACAGGGTCACGAATCTGGAGCTTACTGGCAGTGACGTTGGCAGCGCAACAAATGACCAGATCAACAAACTTTTTGTACGTTCCGCGCTCCAGGTAACAACAACGACGCATACTTGAACTGCTCATGCGCCAATGAACAAAACGTGTTTACGTAATGATACAACTTGTTGTATGAGATACAGACATGTGCTAAGGATGTCTTGTCACAGTAGTTAGTTTTAACGGTTGGTTTAGTGACTGGAACTTGTAACCCCTTATTACCCCCATTTAACCCCGTAAAATCTCTCGTAACCCCTTATAACCTCCTGTAACCCCTTGTAACCCCCCTGTAACCCCTTGCAATCCCCTGTAATTTCTTGTTACCCCCTGAAACCCCCGTAGCCCTCTGTAACCCCTTGTAACCCAACAAACAAAACAATTAAAGCAGAGTGTGAACAAATTTAGATGTTATTGGTTACATATCAGCCTGTTTTTAACAAGTGCCCTGGACGATCATTGAAAGTGAACACCTTTGCAATAATTTTGTTTTTAAAATTGCGCACCTAACTGGCGCATTACTAAACGTACGTTTAGTGCCAACTCCGTTTTAATATTGAGGCAATGTTTGCCCGGTTTGTTCAAATTCCTTTTTCAGTTCTTCGTACTGCTCTGCCGTCATCAATATGTCTCCTTCAAATGCATCAACTCCATTCCCTTTAAAAAATCATAAAACATTAAGATCTAATTAATATCTGTTTTGTCGTGATATTAACTTAACATCTTTGTTTTTTGGTCTTTTACAAATGTATGTTCACTTGATAATACTGGTTTGATTCTTTATTGATTCATGTACCATGTTATTCTTCAGCTGCAAATAAATAATTCTGTATCAATTTTGATCTTTTTGGTCATCATATCCAACAACAGGAACGTTGTCTTCAAAAAATGAGAAAATTTACCTGGACTTTTTCGGATGACCATATATGTTGGCAGCTCTGTGAGATAATGACATGATGAAATTTACTGAGTTTTCCGTGAGCCGCCATTTTGACGCCGCGTCAAGTGGGCTATATTGATTTACCTTAAAAGGAAAGGTGACCATATCGCCCTATTGAGAGAATTTAACTCTAATCATGAATTCAGTCCTTTTTTTTTTCATAACCGCTGAATATCGAGGAAGGTGCTTAAGTCTTCTAAATCAGGGTGATATTACATGATAAAAAAAAAGACTGTAAACACGAAGATCTCGAATCTTCGAAAATCATTGGCGGGGGAAGAGGGAGACGGAGCGCAGGGGGCTCTAACCAGAACTCCTGCGATGTACGTGAAGTTTAAACCTACTTTGATTAACTTCGATTTCATTCAGATGTTCATCATCCTCTTGCTCTCCCTCCACTGTTAAAGGAATTCCCTCGTCACGTGTGCTCTCTGTGCAATAAATAATCAAATATCCGTATTTATCAGGTATGTTGTCCGCCACGATTTATTGCCCCTAAATACTGTCCTACTAAAGAGACACTAATCATATGCCATTAACCCAGTCTGATATTCGATCATTGCGATAACTGAGGGTTAGCCGGGAGACTTACAGAACATTGAAAATTATCACATCATATATTATTAGTAATATACGACAAAATTCACGTGCATGGTCTTGCGCTGCTAAGAGAATATCAGCAAACGAGTGAATTAATTCACAATATCATCCGGAGACCAGTTTTAAAATTTAAAAAAAATACGTGATAAATTTACAACAAGTTTAATGAATAATGTCCCCGTTACTTCCTTTAAAAGGTATTAGCACCCATAAATTTTTAGGAATCTAAAGAATCTAAATGATATCAGATATAACTGTTGATAATAAGTTTCATTTAACTAGTCACGTTCACAGAAAATTAATTTAGTAAAAATACAAGAATAAATAATTTGTAGCAATCAGATTGATGAATACTATGGACATTATTATAGTATAAGGCTTTTCCTTGGACCCCTGAACGTAAAACTACAATTTATAATACCAAGTATGTCTTCCTTATGTACGTGTCAGTTTGACACGTACATATACTTTAAGGCAATTCTACTGAAGTCACCTTAAGTTCGAAAAACCGAGTGAATTAAAATATAAACCGTTCAGTAACAACCTGCAAGGTTTTATTAACTGATTACAGTGCTGACTGTTACTTCTAAAGCTAGGAGAAGAAAAAGGCCCGTTATCATGAAAATTTGTTGTGTGTTTGAACATGGCGTTTGACAGTATAGAACATTCAACTAAAGAAAAAACAAAAGTACGTTCTGATTTGCAATAATATTCATCTGTAAGGTGTGTATTTTGAATTTCACTATCAATAAGGAGCTTAACCTTTTAAATCCTAAGATCAAAATTTGAATTCTCATTTGTTGCCCCTATTCATTCCTATATAAGTAGTGGGGAGAAGTTGATAAAATATTAAGCAAAATCATCTTGCGTGATCATGTCCGTAATTCTCATGACCACTCTGTTGTACAAAGCATTGATATTACAAGGAGAAATTTGATGCTCATCACTCTTAGGGCTTAAAGGGTTAAGCAAAGGCGTTTTTGAGCGACGCACTTCAACCGGAAGTAAGGCCTTTTATCGTTTAATATACCTTGAAACCACCACATTTGTTTTGCTGTGTTTCTTTCCTCTTGTACAGACATTTTGCCTGGGAGCAAACCGTGGAAGCACTCGGTTGAGAAAGAACGCTCAAACAGCACTACAGGGCTCCTAACTTTAAGTTATTTTCCTCTTTATTTTTCGTGTCCCACAATCCTAAAGAATGTAGTCTAATTATTGTAACTAATCAGCTCGTTTGGTTTAGCTATTTCGAGTAATGTTTTGCCTGACAGACTTCAATATATTATATTTTTGTAAACTTGGTTTTCAGGTTGGCAAATTAATTGGTTGGTTGGTTGGTTGTCGTCTAAATTTTATTTTTTTTTTAAATAACGACGGTATAGGAGAATGTGTCTTTTTAAGCCAGAGAGAAGTGATGGACAGAATTCACTAAAACCTCTGACTGACGCACAAAACAGCTGGTTGTCGTTGCCACAGCAATCAGCAGGTATAAGTCATTTGTCTCCGGTTCAAGACGTAAAATAATAAAATTTTATACCCAGTTTACGAATCGAGATGATGAATCTTAACCCTGTTATTCAGTGGCGTGACATATCCGTTTAGGACAAATAAGGTAGTGCTCCCACAGTCAACCAACTCCATCAGCGTGAAGATGACCATTATCGATGAAAAAAAATCTGAGGCCTAGGCCAAACGGCGAACTTGTCATGAAATGAGCCAAACTCTAATTTAGGTCGACCTAAAATAAGTTGAGATCGTCTGTTGGGTCAGACGTCGAATTTAGGACGCTTCGAACCAATCAACTGAATCCTATTAAAACGCAATTTTGATAAATTTTCTCTTTTATTATGAGGCTAATTATACATTATCATACAAATTTTAACTTATAAGTTTGCATGTGAAGATGGACGTTTGTCTCGGAGACGATTTTCAGACGTTCTATCAGTCTGAAGCAGACGGATAGAACGGTTTTGGAAGATCCGAATCATTTTAAGACGAACTTAACGGAGCCAGACGTCGAACTTTTCATGAATTTAACTCACCAAGTTCGGTTCGTCTCATGAATAGTTTGACGTTTTACCTAGGCCTGAGCCTACGAGGCCTAAAATTTTGTCACTGATTCTACAGCTAAAATACTCTAATTTCATTCAAAAGAAAGACGTGGATGACAGAATGTGTTTTTAAGGAGAAATGACGGATACGATTCACTAAAACCTACATGTACAAGGCAAATGGTATTCGTTGTGCATTCTCCGCGTAAAATTCGAAAAAGAAGAAGGTATTAATAATATTTAATTTCCTTCAGCAGTGAATTCTGAATTTTTCTGCTTTTGTTTATTCAACTCCAAGAGTGATTCCGAGTGAAATTAACTATCAACAGAATACAAACACGATAGTTTAACCTGCCTTACTGACGTTCAAAAAATTTTCTAAATTTCATAAAGAAATGTATGGTTCTTTGCTTTACTGTACCTCGAAAATCATCTTCGAAGCTGGTGGCAGCGCAAGGAAGGCAAAAAAAAATAAGAAGAAAAGTAGTGACTTTCATGTTTTGCAGCCTTAAAGTTTTCAACACGTAAACGTATATATTTTACATATCTGTTTAAATGCAAGAAAGACTTGACACCTCATCTGTCTCAGGTGCATTTGCTTTCTTTGCAGATTTTAAATCAGCCAGCCAATCAGGCTGCTTAATGCTGAATTAATTTGAATGACAATGTGAGTTACTGAGGGGAAAAGGCAAATGTTTGTCACTAGCTAGCCATTTTACATTACAAGGTGTAGATAAATTGAGTTAAGTTATGCCCAGGCCAAACGTCGAAAATGAGACGAACCAAACTCTAATTTGGGTTGACCTAAACAGCCTAAATTCAGTTAAGATAAAGCAATTCAGTATCCTTTACCGAGGACCTAAAATCTGGAATTCGTTGCCTGTTTCACTAATTAGCTCTCCTTCTATTGTTTAAAAAAAAATTTAAAGAATTATCTCACTGACAGCCGATCTGTCGCTTAATTTTCTGATCTTGTTCACTCTGCACTCAGCCATGAATTTAGTTCACTAGGTAGTTGAAGGAAGCCTATTAATATAAGCTTCAAGTTTCGTTAGGCTTCCTTGTCACATTAATTTTATAATTTAATTAACAACTTTTATTCATGTTGTATAAGGTTTTGTGAGTGACGAAATAAATAAATAAATAATAAAATAATAATAATAATAAAAGACCGTCTGTCGAGTCAGACGTAGAGCTAAGGACGCCTCGATCCGATCAAAAAAACTGAATCAGATCAAAAAGTACTTTTTGTTGAGCAATAAATTTTCCCTCGAACTAGGCTAAAAAATATACATTATCATTCGCAGTTTTTAATATATTAGTTTAGTTCGTGGCATGTGAAAATCAACGTTTGTCCAGGAGACGATCTTTGGCCGTCCTGTCCGTCTGGAGCCGAAGGATAGAACGTGTTAGACCTGCGCCAAACGCCAAACATTTCTTGAAATGAACCAAACTTCGTGAGTTAAGTTTATGAAAAGTTCAATGTCTGTCTCTTTTAAGTTTGTTTGAATGAGTTTGGATCGTTCAACATGTTCCATCCGTCTGCATTAGAGAGAAAGAACCTCTGAATATCGTCTCCGGGACAAACGTCCATCTTCACATTGGACGAACCTTATAAAAGGAGCAAATGGCTGGCTACACCCCTGCTGGTAAATACTCGCTTACACATATGGAGCCTGCAAAGCAGACGTTAGTTTGCAGTACGTGCGAACGATTTTGACATTGAAACTTACTGAGAGATGACGAGTCAAAAAATGATTCTAGGGAGGAGATTGACAGGTCAAATTGGAACCCTAAAAGCACCCCTCCCCCTCCCCCTCCCCCTTTCCCTTCTCCCTTAGTTTTCCAATGATATGATGGCTCCAATCAATGTACCTCTGTTATTGTTAAACCGTAAAACAATTCAAATTCGAAAGCATCTCTTAAAGGGCATGCGCTTATGATGTATGACGTCACTGTATTCGAAGACCGCCGTTCCTCCAATGATCAGCCGGGTTTTCAAAAATCTCATTCAGAGGATCGTTTTCGAAAATGCCATTTACGTGTGTGGACGAAACGTGAAAATCAGAAACGCCTCTGGTGATACGGACACAAATGAGGCGTGTCATAGCCGGTCCGAATTTGGCGTTGAACTTAATTGTTACTGATCTGATTCAGTTTTAATTGACTGGTTCGACGCGTCTTACGTTCGACGTCTGACACGATCTTAAAAATTACAAAAAAAAATTAAAGTTAACATGCGCAAGATGAGTACGAAAAGCTTTCCCTTCGCTGCTTAAACTAAATATACAGCTTTTATTTGTTGTTGTTTTAGTCACTACTCTAAAAAGTGATTTTTGTGTGTAGTTTTCAAAGGCGCTCCAAATGAAGCCCAATAACAGATGAGCACGTCTGCACCCAAATTTGCACAGCTTAGTCTCGTTCAAATACTTTCTATGATACTTGTAATTAGCTAGAACGGGCTTTTGCCTGATTGGGTGCTTCAAATACAGTTTTATTATAACTCAACGCAATAGCTTTATATTCCACAACTGAGTTCCTCATCGGAGTTGGGTTGATTGTCTGTAAACATGAAGTTTCTGGTTTTGTTTCTGTTTTGCCTTGTAAGCGTTAGTGTTTTTGTTGCGGCTGATGAAGAAGAAGATGGTAAGCTATTATCTTTTTTTCGCACTTGTTTAATCCGTTCTGCTATACGTTTACACTGAATTGAAATAAGGCTGCTGATCGCCCTTACATACACTGTAGATATGTTTAAGACATCTCGATTTCGATTTCACCCCACCTACATTACCTCTTTTGCGTCGCCGAGAGTTTAACCTCTATGAGGCAGGTTTTTCTGTACTTTTGTCAATTAACCTACGTCTTGACGATTTGAAGATTTAAAACAATTGGTACTAAAAGTCTACAAACTTTTCCTCAAGAAGTATATAACTAGGTTTAGAATATTTTGATTTGTGTCGCTCGTCTAGTTCCGTGATTAAGGGTGCGTTCGATTGATCGTATTCCGGAATACGAATCTCAATGATTTCTGGACTAGTTAGACACTACATACATCGGAATATTTCATTTCAAGGAGATTTGTAGATATTGCAACGCATTAAATGCCGAAATAATTGATAATTCGGAGAGTTTACTTCCATTTTTTCTTATTCCGGAATTCACTGATAAATTAAAATATAAGCTCTAAAAATAAGAGAAAAAAAATGGCCTGTGTTTGCTGACCAAAAGTGAAAAAAGAATTGAACTTTCGCCCGGCTGGCATAAAATCAATAACTGTCGTTCTTAAAACCTGATTATCTATTGACATTGACTCAGTAGTAAATTAACACAAAAATGCTGGTAAATCAACCAATTTAGCTTTAAGGCTGCCGTTAGGTTATGGTATTGTATCAGCCGTGGATATTTGCATAGGAACGAGAGGTTCATTCATATTTATAAGCCGGATTAAAATGCGACAATCTTCGGACAACAAGGAGAGCATACGGGCGAAGATCGCATTTTAGACAAACTGTTGGATTCCTGAAAAGGCTATAATTTTGTTAATACTTTCTCGAAGAAAGTTCTAAATAAACAGTATATTTATAATTCCACAGCATTATAAACTGCACCATAATTCTTCACGGTCGGTATACAACGATTTGAACTTTATTCATTGATTACATCATTTGGTGCTAAATTGCAAGCTTAGTTCCCTCAGACAACCACTTTCCCTTTTCTACGATGACGCAGCACCCTGTCCTTTTAATTGATTCTTTGAGATTCGTCCCTTGTAAAAGCTAAATTAACAAAGAATAACGTAACCGCTGGGTAGATCTTCTTGGTTGAGATGCTCTATTTGAATCGTTAATTAACTTAAGGTTTGATAAACCCTTTCGCGAATTCAATTTTAAGGCCAGGCTTCACCACACCAAAAAGGAAAAATTACAACTGGTTTTCTTCAGATCAGTGTAATGCTGAAAGATATAAAAACTTTGAAGTATTGCCCTCATGTAGGAGAATTAGTTACAGTGTAATATATAAAATATTAGGAAATATTGGCTCAGATCCTACGTACGTGAGTTAGCAGCATGATTCCGTTATATGTGACACTTTTTATATTTCATTTCCCTAATCCATAGTTCCCTTAACTAACCGTGCCAGCTGTACAGTTTGAATCTATTTATTTACGTAAACATGCAAATAGTGCATTAGCTTAGTAAGTTGACTAAAAGCTTTCTATTTGAAGAAATCTTGAAGATGCAATTTAATTTGGGTAAACAGGCGATTATGAAGAGTGAAACGCGTTATACCAAAGGCCAGCTGAAACTACAAAAACTCTTTGAAAATTGAAGTATTATCTAGGTATTGATCGAGGTTATAATTTTCTTTAACGCTGAAAAAAATAATTCTAATTTCGTTTCGGGGTTCACCTTTTATCTTAGACAAACACTTTTAACAAACGCACGCCATTATAATTCAGCACTGAATTGGAGCTAAGAAGATTATTCTGAGCAGATTATTATAAATTATTATTCGAGCAGATTAGTATTTTAGAATATAAAAAGATGATTTCAAGGGAACAAAATTTGGTCCATCTCACTTTTTTCAGTCCCCACTATTCCAACTTCTTTCTTGGCAGGGATACTACTTTAGACTGTCTCTGACCAAAGTTTTATAAAAAGGCACGATGTTGCCTTGTACAGTCAACTCTCTTGTTGCGGACACCCCGGCCCCAAAAAGCGGTTAAATTCCCAGGAAAAATAAACTACAGACGTTTGACTCTCACTATCACGGATTCTCGCTATCAAAGAGACTAACTAAGGTTGTCCACAATGACCAGAGGTGTCTGATTCTTTATTAAAAAATAAAGATTGTGGCATGTGGAATGGGGAATCGTAGGCTTTGGAATCCATAAATTAGCTCAAGGAATCCGGAATCCCGCTAACGATTGGAATCTTGAATCCAATTTCCACTGAAAGGGAATCCGGAATCCAGTATCTAAGTATCTGGAATCCAGGATCCACAGCGTGGAATCTTAATGTCTTAGATTATCTAACATCGGGCGACTTATGCAAGAAGCAAACGAAATTCAAATTCAATTTCAGGTCAATTTCGACTAGGAATGAAGAATGCGACGACTTAAAGTTTAACTGATGCCGTTAAGAGTTGCATGCACAATTAAGATTTTTAATTCTTAAGCTTTTGAAATTTCCCTTGTACCCAATGCTGACTTCTCTCTTTTTCTTCAACTCTAGCAGTTTTAGCCAAATTGTTGGAAGACGAAGAGGCAGAAAATTCGCCCGGTTCAGATGAAGGTTGGATCATTTTATTTTGCGTCTTTTTAACGCGCGAGAAAAATGCCTTGGTGCGCAACGGTGCCCAACACGAATATGAGCGCTTTCCAGCAGTTGTTGTTTTTTTAGGTTTTTCAGTTGGAAGGGAACAATGCTTAAACTATTTGAATTTTAGCCAATGCTACAATCGTAATACTGATAATACTGAACTAATAAACATTTGGTAACAAAGGTGGTTGCCGTATGAGGTGTATGACCCTTCAAAGTACCCTTTCGCTTAAACTTAAAAGGCGTTACCGTATTTTCTTGATTAACCGTCTAACCCCCCACGCGCGTTTATTTCAAAATCGGCGGTTTTGACCCGGCAATTTTTCGAGGCCGGCGTTAAATCGCGGCCAGGTGATTAATTGAGAAACTACGGTATATAGCTTAAATGAAATTGACTTTGGTTATCCTGTGGCACGAACGTTGATGGCCAAATTGCTACAAATGAAAGCAAAATGTGTTTAAGCAAAGAAAATGACTGCTAAAAAATTTATAAGTATTAATTTATTTGTTACGCTCACAGAGGAAGAACCTCGCTTTGCTCGCGAAGTGGAAGAGGACGCTCTCAGTGAAGGGCAAGAACCGATAGCCAACGACTTGAGTGAAGGCGACGAGCAGGCTGAAGGTGCTCCAGTTTAAAACCTTTATGTATTTAGAACTTTATTCCTATGTTTTTTCAATTGATGGTAGATTATATATATTGTATATTTTAATAAGAGGTCTTTAATTGAAGATTTGTAAGCGCCATTCACTTACTATCTGATTCCTCATACATGTATTGGTGACTGACTTTCCCAAATTAAAAATCAAACAAACGCCAGATCTCAAAGACCGATAAAAGCAAGTTATTTTCATTTGACCCACTACGGTAACTGAGTTTTTTGTCTTTGACATTCTAGCAACTACGAACACAAAAAAAGGAAATCGTATTTATTTTTTTTAAGTCTACGGCAGACATTTTAAATATTACAGCCGATGAAGCACCGAAGGATGAGACGTCCCCATCCAAAGCAACGGGTTTAAAAGATTTAACATCACTGACTATGATATGTAGAACCTAAGAAAGGCTTCACCCACGCATCGAGTAATTCTCTGTTGCTTTTAACCATTTTTCAGAAGAGGATGAAGGCAAAGTCCGAGTTGCCGAAGCAGAATTTCAATACTGAAACGTCTAGCGAAGTTTGCCAAACACAAACATGAATTGACATAAGGGAATTCTTGAATATACGGGGGAACAGTGGAATAAATGATTGATGTAAATCTGCTAGTGATGTTTACATTTGCCTGTTGTTTAATAATTGATGACGACAACAAAAATAAAGTAATTTATAAAGTCATATCAGTATTTTGTAGTGTTCTTCGCTAAAGCGTTCTCATTGTTTTTCTAATCCCAAACCGCTGAACCTTTTGTGAGCAAGCCTCCTGTAAGCATCCAGAAATCAATGCAACATGTTTAGCCGTTTACCAAAAGAAAAAACATCTAAGTGAGGATTCATAACCAGTTTCTGTGCCAGTATAGCTGTTGCGTTTGGCCATTGGAATTTTCAGACTTTTAAGCTACAAAAAGATAATAGATAAAAAATCCAAAGGGCTAACGCGACGGCTATACCAGTATGAATTGTAAATGAACCACCCCTAAGGAAGATGATGAGAATGGTGAAAGGTGTGCGCGCGATATATGTACACAAATCTTTCTTTGGGTAACTTCTCGTTTAAAAAGAAGAATCTCGCCGAATTAGTAGTTTTCCGACTCTGTGTGTGTAAAACCTGTATATGGTCGTTAATGACTTCTGAACACTTTCTCTCGATGTACTAGGGGTACCTTCAAGCAAGTGTTAACGGGGCGAATTCGTTTATCTTTTGTGGAATGTGTCTGTCCAGATCTTCGCGATTTGTTACATAATTTTAGAGGTTTGCAATGGATTTCGCTACAGAAAAGTGGATGGCACTCAACTATAGAAAACAACTTTGGTACATTCTACAAGGATGGATGATCCAGGATTTTTTTTTGGGAGGGGGTGCACTCGTCTCTTCATGTCTCTTGCTCTACTTCAACACCAATAAACCACATAGTTTTCTGTTTTTTGCAGAATACCAGTTGTATTAGAAAACCGCAGGTCATCTCGGGGGGGGGTGCGCACCCCCTGCACCCTCCCCCTAGATCCGCCCCTGTTCTAGGCTTTCACTTCTGTTAAATTAATTTAAAGAATTAACAGCGTGGCTTGAAGCTTTGTTGGTAGATTGGAGCAAGTTAGCACCTATATTTTATGGAAATTCAAAACTATAAACGTTAGAAATTAAAATATGGTTCAAGTGAGGCCTTTGACCGCTAAAACTGAAAATTAAAATTAAATTCCGAGGTTTCACCGATCAATGGCATCATCAGGGATAAGAAAAATATTCGACATGGTAATATACATATGCATATGAAAAAATTGGTGTAAACAAAATGTGAGAAAAGCACAAGAATGGTGCGGAATGTATACCAGAGGTACAAAAATATAAACTTTAATATAATACAAAGATCAAATGATGGAGTAGCACAGGACAAAGAGTCTCTCGAAAGGCAAAGTGATTTATAATGATGGTCTTTAAAACAAAAGCAGGGTCCGCAAATTCGTTGCATTCGTCATGGGAGTTTAGGGCTGTCTTCAATGTAAATCGAGCTACAAAAGGACACGAGCTGGTTGACAAAACCTCTCCAAACGCAAAAATATCTTGTAAAAAACAAAAGGTCCTCCAACGCGTTGCATTCCTCACAGGAGGTTAGGACTGGCTCGATGTAGAATCGAACTGCGAAGAACACGCTGGTTCTGATAAACGTTTTGAGAATACAACGGTCCCTATTCGTTGATTAGCTACACAAACCGCATAAAATTCAATTTACAAAAGAAAAGATAACACTAAAAACTCTGGTCATGAGTCCAGAAGCGAACACGCTACCTCAATGTAAATCGAACTGGAAGAACAAGCTGGTTCTGACAAAACTGGGAGCGTAAAACCTTATTCCATGATCAGCTGCAGCTGCTTTAAAGGCAATTTATAAAGCAAACCAGAGCACTAATAGCCCTTTCAAACTAGAAATCGTATTAAAGCTTGCTCACCTGTTAGGGCCTCTTAAACACTAAACAAACAGCTGCAAACCCAATTTCGAACCAGGAGTTGTAAATACAAGATCATAACGTCATTGCCCAAATATGTGGTCTCACTTACACCCAGATATGGTAAAGAATTCACATTTTAGAGGGTTACGCAGAATTTGAGAGTTTTTGCATACATTGCGTGGGATTATGAATCTGCCGCCGAGGCAACCTCGCTTCTTAGCTCGGTTGCCTCGTTGGCAATTAATATTGAGAGCTGTAAACACCTGTCACACAAAAATTAACGTGTACTGCTTTGCACGCGCGCTAGTTTTCCTCAGCAAATCCTTGTTTACAATTCTTTCGTCCTTAGCATATGCTCATCATTGTCTGATCAGCAGGCAATAAAAACAGAGCCATGAAAATTGAATTGTAATTGAAACAAATTTATTTAGCGGTGTTTGAACATTCGAGCCAGATAAGGAACGGCACTGAATCGATCGTTCTACAGTTTATAGCTGCTATTTTGATCACAAATTATGCTTGTAGAGAGCTGACATTTTCGTAGATTACTCATTTCAAGTCAACAATCTCTTTCAACTTTAAAATTGAATCCTTCTGTTCCCCGAAGCTTTCCAAGAGCAAATCTTTTTGCAAAGGAACCAAAACGTTGAGAATAACGTCATAGTGAAATCGCCTGTTGGGGAGCAACTATAACCATTCCAACTCCAGGGATGAAGTGCCACGAAAGCGCATGCGTATTAATGCATCGTTTCCATTGCCTATACAACAGGTACTTTGTTATCCCGTACTTGGCAATCCTCCAATTCACTGCGAGATAAACTGGGTACTTGAGGGTTGAAGCCTTTGATGACTGGTAGGGGAGTACTGCTGCTGACTCTGTTAGCCTTGTTGGTCTCGGACGAGGCATCATCAATGCTATAAGTCTTTTTCTCGATGCCAATGAATTGAAGAAACTTTCTCCTGTAGGTTGAATTAGTTGCGCAGTATATGAACGGGTTTAAAGTAGAATTTCCCATGCACAGCACCACCGTGAACTGATGTAACGGTGTGTCCATTTTAGTGAGGTCAAACTTGAAGAGCAGGTAATAAAACTGATTTGGAAACCAACACAATGCCAACACTAATGCAATGATGGCGCACATGCGCAAGAGACGGATGCCGGCTTTTCCTTTGTTGGTTTGAAACAGAGCAGGGGAATTTCTTACTTTCCTCCAGAGGCTCAGAAAGGATAAACTTGTGATGAGCAACGGTATGAAGAACTTTCCAAGGAACTCAAAAAACGAAATGGCTTTTCTGACTTTGCCTTCCGTGAGCGACACCCAAACACAGGTGTTGTGAGGCCCGAGTTCCATTTCAAAGAGATGAGGGGCGTTGAAAAGAAATGAAACGAGCCACACTATGGCCACCATAACATAGATTCTGTAGCTTTTATTAAAACCAGCTCTGTACTTCGCAGGCTTTGCAACCGCAAACCATCTCTCGAGAGATAGACAGGTTATGGTGTAAACTGAGACAATGCCAAGTGTGAACACAAGATAGTATGACACTACTATGCGACAGAATAGATCTCCGGCAATGCCTCCTGGGATTGGAAAGTTGTCAAATCCTATGATCCACGCTGGTGTTAACATGAGACCAACACCTGAATTTTAAACAGAGAAATAAATAAGACAAAAGCCAGTCTTAAATTACGAATGAATAACTGAAAGAAGGAAAAGTTTGATTGGTGATTTAAAATGGGAAACAAAGAAAATAAAATTAAAAAAGTATATGTTCGTTACACTGGCATCACCACAGCGAAACCCTGCTGTTCTTCATAATATGGTGATGAAAACACTTTAACATGGCAGATGCAGAACGGGTAACACAGGGGGGGGGTGGGGTTAGGTTTGGACGGGGGTTGGGTTAGTCGCTCTAATTATCTCTTTGAGTACATGCTTCAGTGCCTATAGGGACTGCATAAACAGTAACTAACCAGAATCATGAACAGTTTACCTCTCCTTTTGCAGTGAAATTTTGAGTATGATGAGCAGTGAGCTAATCTGGAATAGTTTTGTCTTGTAACTAGAGTTTGCTAGCCACATTATCTTAGCGGCCACAAATCGCAAGGGTGCACTATTTTCAGAACAAAAATAAAGGTTTTGTCCACAGTTTAAAGCACTGCTTATTCACTTTAAATCTCGGAATTGAGCAAGTGAGGAGAGAGGATAAGGAGAGGAAAGCGAGAGGTTATGGGTATACTTCAAAATATGTCCTTCAACTAGATATTTCATAGTCCACTAAGCAAATAATCAGGAATGTTTGAACCGTATGTTGGACCTTTCACGTTCTGCCTTTCTCGCACGCACTCTATTTGCAATGAATTCAGTAAATGTGAAACTAAAACTTTAAAGGCCAAACGGAAAAAAAAAAGATAAAAGTATCCCCTACGTAGGGATGGTCAATACGAACGTTTACTGTATATCGGTTTTTTTAAAAATGAATACTTGGCTGGGTGACAAATTTGAGCCCCAGAAATATGATATCAACGTCATGTTAAAAATGGCTCTATCCTCTTAAGAGGGCATGCTTGGACCTATTTGCGTGAAAAATATTTGGCACTAATCAGTATGATAAGATTTCTTAGGCTTTCCCAATACTTTGGTTGCTCTTAACCGCAAAACCCAAATTGAAATTCAAATTCTCATTTTTTTGTCCCTTAATACATTCCCATAGAAGTAGCACGGAGACGTTGTTAAGGTATCAGCATAATTCACCCCATGTGATCATGTCCTTAATTCTCAGTATCCCCTTGTTTCATAAAGCAAATATATAACAAGGAGAAATGTAATGTTGATCACTCTTAGGACTAACATGGAAAACCAATCATGGAATGCTACTGCAGTCGAACCAGCAGGACTGATTCTTTAGACTGCATGTACTTTCAAAAATTGTAAGCAAAGATGTAATTGTGGGTCAAAACGCTTTGTTCATTTTCTTGTTTTTCGTAAACAGCAAGCACTACCGGCAAAGCAATCCGTACTTTGCTAAGACGGCTGACAGTTGTCGGAACGTTCTTATAAAAAGCCAATTGACCACCGTCTTTGCTTACTAAAATCACGGGCATCAAGCAAAGGCGATTCCAAAACATTTGAAATTAATCCCATTTTCACTGATGAGTTTTGTAGGTTTACGTCGCTAAATCAATCCATTTAAAATTTCAAAACTTTGCAAATTCATGATCCCTATTAGCTTTCCTGTAACTCCTCGGTACTCTCCTTATTTCAATTCAAGGAGTTTCTTTAATAATTCAGTCAATTTTCTGGTGCTGAGGCTCCCAGGGAGTGAATACTATTTTTAGCAGTAATTCAATCTATTTTCAGCTTTTTACGAAATGAAATTTATAAATTTTGTCACATTTGCTTTAACTACTTCTGGGTGCCTTGAAACTGAAACTAGCCCTGAGGTGTAAGTCGCAGCGCGATAAGGCATTTCTGTAAGACTGGATTGTTGACATAGCTTCAGTCACATCTAACAAGTATTTTCATAAAAGGTATTTTTATAAAAACAAACCGCAGCTGATTGCAGCCATAATTTCCTCTTTCTAAGAAAAAGCGGAACAACCGGAACCAGCTCTGTTTGCCATATAGGTAGGAAAGGCCCGTTTCAATAGCACTTAAATAGGTATCTCATCCACCGGCAAATTTTCAACAGTTTATTTTGCCCTCAAAATCTTTGTACAGTAAGTTCAGATGATGTAATATGCATATCTGGTTTTCTTTTTCGAATTAACCTAAATGATGATCACAATAGACGAGTGCGATAAGAACTATTGAAATTAGCGTCATGCGTCATGATTCTATAAGAAGAAGCCAGGCCGGGCTTAAAAATGATTTTCTAGCTTGTTTGTAGGTGTTTAGATGACACGCCAGAATAAATAAAGGAGTGAGGGTAACCGCGTTTTTGATACTCTTTCCGCTGTGGTTTCAAACGCATTGAGCATGCGTAATTAAGGCGTGTGAACTCAGTCATTACTAACAAAAGATTTAACTACTTAAACATCATAAATACAGAGACACCTGTATTAAGCGGACTGTCACGGGACTTTCGCTTCTGATTGTCCCCTTTTTACAAGTGTTGCCTAAATACAGGATTGTTTTACACAAAATAAGGACGGAAAGGGCAGGACCTTCTTACGATTGCGTCCGCTTAAAGATGGGGGCTCCCCGGGGGATACTGAACAAAAATTTACACAGGGAGGCTTCGCCCCGAGGTCTAGACCCTTACCCTTTTATATAGCATTTTTGACAGAAAAAGTACCCCTTTCGTATTCCTTTTGTTGACAGATGGTACTCCTTTCACATACTTGTTTGGAACGCTGCATCCCTTCTAACTACTGCAAATGCGCCGTTTTTTAAAGATTAATAATCGCTGACTAAACCATGCAGCCTTTTAAACAGTTATGAAATGTGCCTGTTAGGCATTTTAGGACTTTTCACAGACCGCAATGACAGATTTCCCTAGTATTTTACATACCTCAAGAAGTGAAACCCCCATCTGAAACAGGTCAGTGCCGTCCTTTCACCCAGAGCCTTCCCGTATAGGCCATTATAAAGAGTACCCCCGGGGGTGTTTCGTTAATATTTTTACTGCAAATTCAGCCATAAGGAACCAACTAACCTGTTGTCATGTCCGTGACAGCCAGACTTAAAATGAGCACGTTGTATGGCGTTCGTAATAACGCTTTGTTATAGAGTAATGTAGCCACGAGAAGGCCATTACTACAGAAGGCCACGACTGCAATGATTCCCATAACTACTCTAAAGGCCATATGCGGATCAAACTGATCTTGAGCAGGACCCGGACTCACGGTAGCAGAGTTATTCAGCATCTTGTATTCACTGTACTGAGAACAAAATGGAATACTGTGAAAACGTGATGTCAGGCAGTCATAATACAAACTCAAAAGTAACACAATATGGATGAGCCCACTTCTAACTTTAGTCAAGCCTAATAGTGATTAACATCCGACTTTTCATTATTATAATTAGATGGTACTGCACTGGCTGTAAAAACCTGAAAGCAATTAGGTCCAACAGATAACTGTATATCTAGTCCATGTTCTAGCGCACTCGCCTCGTAAGTAACAGTGCCTCGTGCAGCTGAAAGTGTCGCTGCAAGGGTGACTGGAGAGCATAGTGAAGATTATTCACTTTCGATATAGGTTCTTAAAAAGTTTAAGTAGTTTCCTTTCATATGAATTATTGAACGACATTTGTTGAGTCGCACAATACTCAGAGGTTTTCAATTGTTGGATAGCTAACGCTATTCGCCCGATAAATCACCAGTTAGCGGACTGACTATTAGGAAAACTCAGTAGAACTGGATGGTGTTTTATCGACTGCATAGTGTTATCCGTCTTTTATATGTAACTTGGGTGAGGTGGTCACGGTGAGTGCTTGAGATGGTGACAGCTGCTTGAGCTATAAACAACCTTTGGCAGCTCGCCTTTATTGAAATATGCAAATGATTTCTTCAACTTATCTCCAAAAAGCCCTTTCTTGGATGCAACTGCAACTGAGGCCCGGTTCGTAACCTAGGCAAGGCTAAATCGGGATTAAACTGCTCCAAATTTTCAAAAATGGAGTCTACATCACCGCAGGTGCCAATTCAAAATCAAGGCTCGTCTTGCAAATCATGGCATAGGCAGTTTTTGGAACAAAGGCAAAGCGAAATCGGGAAGTAGTAAGAGCTATAAAAACATTCTCCAAATTTTTCACAATTATGTCAACAGCTCTTTTGTATACGTGTTAGACCACAACTAGCTCGCGCTTGCAAATATTGTGCACATGTCCTAATGAATATGAACCGCCCTTAATCAATTTTAGCTGTATTAAAGAATATATTTTGCAGTTTGCTTGAAGTTTGGTTTCTGCTGGAAATAAATCCAGTCCCACACGTACAGAAATTAACTCCCAATCTTATAAGGATTCTTTCAAAATACACCAACTTTGAGGTGCAACATAACTTTCTCGAAAATGTTCGAAACTATTTTGTAGAGAAATAAAAAGTCATTTTCAATATTTCCAAAGAACTAATCAAGCTATGAAGCTACCGGAAATATTTACAATTTACAAAATATTCGATATTTTAAATGTACCTAAATATAACCAAAGCGCATGCAATTCATACCTCGCTCAATTAAAGTTAACCTGATTTGAAACACTTTACGACCACATTCGCCTAGAAGATGAACGCTAAGATTTTACCTTCCTGTTATTACTTGTTCAGTGCTCTGCTTCTGAAGATCTGACTGATATTTCTTGTTAGATTTGTCAGCGGAAATGTTGATCAATGCCTATATTTTTCTTCTCAAAATCAACCAATCAGGTTAGCTTGTGCCCTTCTAAAGTTTATTCTTGAATGAAACCGCAATAACTTTCGATTTTGATAACAGATAAGTTTGTCTTCTCAATTTCCTTCTGGGAACTGATCAAAGGAAGACTTCTGACATTGAAAGGACGACATCCGGGCTGCGAGAGTATCGCACGTTTCGGGAGCTCTTATAAACAATACCGATATCAGCAAAAAATAGAGGAATTTTCTCATCATAAAATATCACAAAAGAGCTCTTTGGTAAAAATGATTGATTGCCCTTAAGCGACTAAGTGGACATGCCAAATCATATTTTGAAATAGAAACTATTTAAACAAAGTTACCAATTTACTTTAATTTCTGAAGACAAAAATATAACGTTAATGGACCATCAAGTGCTTGAGCTGAAATAATGATTCAAGTGAGGTTATTGTTCCAATAGAATTCAAAATTGTTGCAAGGTTCAGGATCGCATCGAAGCGTGTAAATTTTTAAAATATTATTGTTTTTGTTTAATAAATCATTATTTAGTCGTGCTATATAAATACAACCATTTTATGCAAATAACATGAGAATTATGAGCGGTGGTTCAGTTTGTTTTGTCTATCTCTCCAGACTTACAAATGTAATAATGTGGTGATAAACTAACAATTGAACTCCTTTTCTCACTATGTTCATGCAATCCCATCATAATTCTTTCACTCACCCGAGCACCCTGATTGAAAATCAAGAAAAATGTAGTTTTCGATTCATTTTGCCAACAGACTGAAAAACACGCTGAATGAGTACTGTTGTACTAGAGAACTTTCATGGTCACAAATTAGATTTTCGTCTACGGAATAGAGTTAGGTCTACCTTGTGACGCATAAACAGAACCAAACTTAGCACCTCACCTCAGTAGCTTCCATAAAATGGCCGGCATTTTTTTACGAATCGAACGTAAACGTTAGAGCACCCTTCTCCGGCATAAACAGTATCACAGGGAAGTTCAGCTCAGACAAACTTCACTTTTTAAGCTGCATCATATCATCAAATTTTGCTCATAGACCCAAACGTTAGTCGAAGAGCAAAAGTTTTAAATTTTTATAAGTGACTCGAGGAGCAAAAGGGTTACGTTTTCTAGAGCCTTCTAACCTTAAAGAAGCTGAAGAGGTTTTAACTGCGGGTGGCTGCAGACTCACAGTCTACTGGCAGATTAACCTGTTGTTTATATCTCATGATATCTGGGAACTAAAGCTGTCCCGAACATAGAGAAGAAGAGATGCTATGGTTTATCATCGTTTTCGCCATTTTACCCGCTTATACACCTGGCGCCAGTTGCTTACACATGTGAATAAATTAACGCTATCTACCAGATAAATCAACAAGCTTTCAAAGAGAGTTTTATCTAATGATTGGCAAGCCAGCCACTCATGTGAGGGGAGGGGTGAGAAGTTTTAAGCCCATCCTCACCACCCCGAAGACTTTGCCCGCAACCCAGACATTGCGCCATTCTCCTTTCGGCTACTGGAATTTACAGTATTAAAGACCTTAAAAAAATACACTGTTTCCATTAATTGCTCATAATTGTAGTTGGGATAGATTTCCTCGTCTTACCCCAGTGTAACAACTACAGGAGGCCAGAACGCTGTTGGTGTCGTTACTAGACATATAGGAAATCTTGGTTGCCTAGGTGACAAACATGATCTACCCGTGCCCGTAGAGAGAACGGTCTATCTTATTGTGGACACAAACGTTTCATGTCGAAAACAGTGCAAAGGCCTCGCCTTGCCTTATCGAACTTCGGGTTAAAAGCCTGAAGACCGGACTCACCGCACAGTAATTTTCAAGGAGTTATAATAACTCCTCTAGTGGGGCTAATTTAACTCCTTACAGTGGAGTTATTTTTTGGGGAGTTATTTCAACTCCCGTGAAAGGAGTTTAAAGAACTCTTTTTCAGGAGTAAAAGTGATCCCAGATATTGAGGAGTTAAAATAACCCCAAAAAAGGAGTTCCTGTACCTAAAATTTTTACTCCACTTTCAGAGTTAAATTAACTCCAAAAAGAGTAAAAACAACCCATGTAAGGAGTAAAAATAACCCCATTTCGGAGTTATTTTAACTCCAGACTGGGAGTAAAAAGAACTCTTTTTCCGAAGTAAAATGACCTCAAATTCGGAGTTAAATTAGGAGTTAAAGTAACCCCCAAAGGGGGTTATCCTGTACCTAATATTTTTACTCCAACTTTGGAGTTATAATAACTCCCTAAAAATTACGGTGCGTGCATTATCAGGCTGTTAATTATCAATGTATTGTCTGTGAGGGAGCCCGCTAGAAAACAAATTACACCCATAAAAAGATTAGAATGAATTAACATCTGGATTAACGGTTTTCTTGCCAAGGACTACAGCAGAAAAGCAGAAGCACGAGATCCTACAATGGATAATGGTAATAGGATCGGGCTGAGTGGAGGCAACATACGAGCCCAACAAAATCGGACTAGTGCATCTGATCGCGTAGCAGGAGCCTGATTTTTTCAATCACGAACTGCTGCATTCGGCTCGCTTGGCTCATAAAGCGCCTGTTATGCAGGCTACGAACTGAACGAAACGAAGATCTTTCATCAACTATCATTTTGTGAAAATTTAAGTGTTAGTCCTCAATGGCGGATCCGGACCTTCAGATAAGGGGGGAAGGGGGGACGGTCAACCAGACCCTGAGATAAGGGGGACTCCGGTCTCCAAAAAATATTTTTTCGGCCCAGTTTGGTTTAAAAATAAGGGGGGGCGGGCCCCCCGAGCCTCTCCCCTGGATCCGCCACTGGTTCTATCAGGAGGCCGCGAGACGTTCCTGCAGTTTTTTGCAAGACGTGAAGAAAAAATGAACTCGTTTAGGTACAAATGTCCTATTACAGCACACATGATGACCAAATACTCTCTTTTTATAAGAATGTTGTTTTGCCGGTCCAGGCTGAATATTCTTATTTTTCTGTCGATCTTATAGGCTGAAAATATTCTTGTTATTATTCTTAAATTATAGCTTATGACATTTTCGTTCCAGAATACATCAGAGTATCAATTAAGGTTAATGCAGGTTTTTTCATTTTGTTTTGGCTAGTTTTGTCGTTAAGAGAAAGGAATCAGTTAAAAAGGTACATTTGTATTGTATTTACAGATTTTCAACATACAAAACAGGCGAAAACAATAAACTTTTCAAAATTTCAGCCTGGAGTTTATTCTTGAAATATTCTTAAATTTTCTCAAATTTCAGCCTCGATATTCTTATAAAATATATTCTTATAAAATAAAAAGAGTATACTTAAGCATAACACTTTATAATGAAATGTTGAAATCAGAGCTTCTGATAGGAAATCACAACATTAGAGAATTTTATTACAATAAGGAAATAAATAAATAACAAACAGCCACGCTGATTTTAAGAAACTGAAGAAAGAACGAGAGATCGTAATTGATAGAAAAAGAGAACATTTAGCAGTTCTCTTACTGCGTCGTCCACAGCAAAAAATACTCTCAGATGGCCAAGATTCTCGGTGATGAAATAGCTACAGAGATAGCCCCGCGAAGCTGAAAAAGTTGGCCAACCTTCAGTCAAGTTTTAACTTAAAAGTCGTTCGCTGACGAGCGTGCGCAGTTTCGTGACATAGGAAACAGTGATTAATTCAGTCTGACAGTAACGAGGTGGTGGGTCTTTAAGACTATTATTGAGCTCTTGGCTGGCACCGCTTTCGGCACCATACTTTTAAACGATTTCAATACTTATACCCAATTTTCAATACCCTCAAATGATGAGATTATGGATAATGAATGAGGATTTGATAATTTTTTTTATTATTTCCGGAGATTATTAACCTTCAGGAGATAACTGAAAGGAACACGCAAATGGGAATGAATATATGCACTATAAAGTTCTGAGGAAAAAACACAAGTGACAACAATTTGACAACTTTTTTCGTTGAGAAACACCCTCAATTCTCCGACGAGAAAATCTCCGACGCAGACGTGCGCAAAGAGGTCTGCACAAATGACTAAAAATGGAAAAAAATGTCCTGAAGAGTTCACGGAAGTTGCTTCTCTAATTTACCGTTTGAGGCTGCCTGATCTTGACCCGGCTTCACATCTTGAGATGTAGACGTCAAAATATCTCTATTTGTGCCGAACTAAATGAATCCATAGCCTATGTACCCCCTCCCCTCAAGCAAAATCAGGGAGAGAGATTTTGTTTGAGAGGGAATGGGCGGTTGTACACAGGCTAATGAATCAGTTGCTCGTTATCATTTTGGATTTATTAAATCATGTGACTGATGTAAACCCTGTAGAGGCTCTCCACAAAAAAGTAATGGCACTGAATCCCCTTGCCAAGGGCCCATTTGCTATTCCTTACTTCAGGGTGATAGGGTCAAACAACGGAATGTCGATATAACGAACCCCAACATAACGAAGTCCTCCATAAAGAACAATATTATTTGCCCCAGTAACAGTAAAATATGTGGAAATAAACCTCTCTATAACGAACAGATTTTGCCAGTCCTTTAGGCCTCGGCTACATCGCGGTTCGACTGTAATACATGTATATCGACCGCCTTCAAACTCTCGCTGGTTTTTCTTGATTACATCAATTGAAGATATAACAACGTAAAAGGAAGAAACCACACCGCTATAAACTACATAATGCATTCATTTGTCAACGGAAGTGTATGTTTGTATAAGGCTGATTAAAATGGTCCGCTCGCGAAATTTACGACAGCTTAGAATAAAGATTGAAACAGACAAAAAGTTAAACGATTTTCTTTTCGATTATCTTAAATCATTACACATTCGATTTATTTAACGGCTTTGTTACTTTATCAAAAGCAAAATCATTTTAATCATTAAAATTCTGTTCTGTCGCAATGTATTTAAATGCTATCAATTGCCTAACATCGACTTACAAGAAGACAATGGCCAATAAGATGGGAATCAATATATACTAACGAATGTCTTCAGACAACAATTACAATACGAAACAGTGAATGTATATATAGTGTACAGTTAGTTACCTGTTACTGGTGCCCCAATCTTATCCCTTCTTTTACTTGCGTCCGTTGATTACCTGTTCCTGTTTTGCAGTTCGTGATGGGACGTGGCGTGCAGTGAAACAGGACAAGGCTACCGGTCATTCAACTCCACAAGAAGAAACGGAAATGACGTAATGTCTCATGAAGTGCGTGATAGGTTAGACACCCAAGGGAGTATCCGCTCACGGAAATCACGCCACAAAAATTCAGTATTGTGGTTCTTAACTTGGTTGTTAACTTTTTAATTCTTTGAAGACTTCGCTAACTGGCTGTGTTGCTTATTAAGAAGTCTTTGATTATATTTTGAGACAGGTAATGTTCTAAGGAACAAAGAATGGTATAAAAAGCCCTGGAAACATGATTGTATGTCAGTACACCGTTACTCGGCAACACAGGAAAAAAATGAAACTTTGGTCACATTTTATAACCTTGACAAGGTGGGAAACTAACTCAATTCAGTCCAACTAGCGGAAGTAATCTTCTTCAGGAATAGTAACGTTTCAAATGGTAAATGTACAAAGAGTAGCGTTCGTATGTTAAACGTCTCCGCAAACAGGTATTACGTTTCTTAGTCTCAAGTATGAGGATTTCCGTTCACACGCAAAAGACATCATCGGTCATCGTAAACGGTCTCCAAAGAGGATAATGTTGTATACGCTGACGTCACGTCGGACGCTTACACTCAGTGTCATTTCTAGCCTGCGTAGCAGGCGTTTCTGTGCGGTTAAGGAGCAAAGAACGAGGAACGAGAGTCAAAGACCGCGCGAAAAATGGCTCAACTAAAAGAGCGGGGAGGGGGTGGGGAAGAAAGGAAGGAATCCTTCCCTCCCCTCCCCCTCCCCCCACTTTCATTTTTTGGCTCTTGTTTCATTTCTCGCGCGGCCAAAACGGTGAATCCCGTTCCTCGGTCTTTCTTTGCTCCGAAACCAAACGGAAACGGTTGCTACGCAGGCTATGTCATTTCTACTAAAAAAGAATCATGATCATCTCTTGACCGCAAGTAGACACATTCCCAATGTGATTGATGCTTGGGCATTTACGGATCAGTGCTGTTAACCACTAGCAAAAGTATCTTTAACTGATGACAACTTGAGTCGAGCTGGGAAAAAATGAATATCTTTATAAAACTTGAACTTTTACCTGTGGTCTTGGGGTAGTTCATTAAATCTAAACTGAAACCATTATGGACTTAAAGATCCTTAAACGCATTCAGTTTTCTACAGTAGTTCCCGTAAAACATGCAGAAGATCACAAATTACGCATAAGTAGCGTGCTAAATTTACCTCACACCCTTCGAGCAACAATACAGCGCATAATGACGTTAACTATTCTGTTGATGCTGCAGTACGACCGACTAGAGGGGAAAATAGAACCTACAAACTATCTTTTATCAAGTGTCTTTCGCTGTTTCTATCGTTTTTCAACAAAACAAAGAAAGATTGGGAACATGTGCAGTACCTTGTTATTTACGAATGAGAAAATTTTATGTAAGTGCGCTCCTAACAAGCGCCGCCTTCGATAAACGCCCCACCTTGATAAGGTATTCATCATGAATAAACCCCCATGAGAAGAGAATTAAATTCATAAAAGATTGACCGGCAAAAAATGTATTCTAATAAGGAAAATTGATTTTAAATTAAGAAGAATATTAAGAAAATCCTTGTAGCCTTGAGGGGATCGAATGTCTATAATCGTTCCTCAGCTACCACTGAGTTGTCTTCACTTGCGCACGTAAAACTAGAATTTAAATAACGAAAATTCAGTCCACAAACCACGCCTTCAGCGTGTTTTAAGTCATTCATAACGTAATTGACAGAAATTGTGTTGTGTCGTGAAAGTAACTTAAAGCGGCAACAGCAAAGAGTTCGCTTCACAGCCCTCTTGTAATCTCTGTTAGTTAAGCAGCATACCAAGGGATTAACGCAGGAGTTAAACATAGCAAGAACTATGGTGAAGTGATGCAAAGCGGTTTCTGCTGTGGTGATATCGAATGCAGAAAGTGTGTAGAAGATTTGGTTCGGCAGCCAGCATGTTGTCAGTAAACCAGCTACTAACGCACACATCTGCGTTAACTTTTTGCGAGTGCGGCGAAATCTTTCACTTTCGCGTTCTGCTAGCGATGTTTTCAGTATCCTGGAGACATGTAGAAATGAAATCCAAATTATGGTGATGGGAATGAAAAATGTTAATGTTGTGTAACATGGTATGAAGATCTCCTTCGGGTAGGAGATACTGCTCCATGTACAATGCTGAGACGTTTCGTCTAACTGAGCCTTGAGCGGCTTAGAGCCGTTTGTTATGGCACTCAAAAGCCAGATAACGAGTATGTAGATGTAAATACGCTTCCTCATAAACTTCAGTTTATAGGAGATGGGTTTTACCACCGAGTACCACCTCTCTAGTGCTAGCGCCACTATTGTCAGCACGGACACTTTTCCAAAGACAAACACAAAGTACTGAGTACTGATCAAACGACAGAACAGTTCTCCGCCTAGACCTTGAGGGGCTGGAAAGGAATCTAGATTGACAATGTAACCTGGCGTTCCGACGATAAAAGCACCTGGAAACATAAAAAAGAAATAATGTAGCTAAATTGTATACATTCAATTAATACCAACTTTACTGAAAAATGATCGTAGATTAAGTCGTGTAGGTCGGAGCCTGAAGCGAGCTAATTTTTGGCAATGTTAAAGTTTTTCAAAACACGCGTTGAAAAAGGAGGAAAACCAGACGTTTCGAGAGTGCTCCCTCTTCGATTCTTTAGTGGTTTCTTCAGTATTTGTTGCTTTTAAGGGAGCACCAACAAAATGTCTGGCTTTCCCCTTTTTTTTCAACGCGTATTTTGATAAACTCAGTTGACATTTACCCGATTAATGGCTCTCAACGGTTTCTTCTAATAACACTTTCATTTTTTTGTTCGTTTTCTTTCTGCATAACGAGCGTTCTTCAGTATGACATGAAAAACCTTATTTCGTTTTGTCGATTTTCCCGCATCCCACTTGTTTTCCTTTGTTAAATTAGATTCGTTCCTTTCTTGGACCTCGACCCAGCGTGTAAGTTAGTCTTAAGCAATATTACGTTTTAAAAAATACTATGAGGAGTTAAATTTCTTAGCTTTCGGGATTCGTTTTGAGCTTTTCCACTCTTTATTGGAGTTCGTATCAAGAGAAACTACCATGTTTTCAACTTGACCGCAATATAATTTCACTGTAATACTTTATATATAAAATGCGGTACTCTATGGGGCTACAAAATCTCATTGGCATTTCGTTTGCTAGCAGGTCGGTAACACAAGGACACAGTCAACTATGGGACCGCGCTGACCTGGACACTACTTTGGCCAATTTGAAAAGCGTTTACATCAACCCGAAATCAAATGTATGGCGTTCATATGAACACCATACAAATGCACTCGTCGGATACATCTAGAAATCCGCTTCAATCTTGCCTAGTGTTTTATTCGATCCTCGATCTTTAACTGTAAACCTCTTTTTGAGCAAATTTTTACTCATCGCATTACATAATTTTATCATATTTGGTTAAAAACAGCATCCAAAGGAACATGAAAAGAAGATGTGAGAAAAGTGATTAGGCGCCTTGCGGGAAAAATCGCCTTCGTTTACCATTAGATAATAACAAGAGAAATGAATCAATAACAGAGCATGAGATCAAATAATTTTCATATGCACTTGGACAATCGATGTAGAAGCGTTACATATTGATTTGGAAAATCGAGCTTTCTCTACCTTTGGCAATGATTCAGACTTCGTGTCACTCGCATTTCTCATCTCTACTGATTCTTTGAATTCGGAAGTATTCGTCAATGTTTTGCTTTCCCTGGACAAATCCATCGGTGAACAGTGGTAAATTCGCGAGGGTATATAGAAAAGATGCGTGCTATGATATAGTTTGGGGTCTATAATCATGATTTTGGCTGGTAATTAAGCTTAATTAGTTCAACTTCACAAGGTTTGTTTAGAGGAACTTAGAGTATCCCCGATGCGCTTCTTACCTTCTGTTTCACGCGCGCGACTTATGACACACAAATCAGCCGAGAAATGGTATCTGATGCCCATGTCATCAGCTGACTGTGTCCCTTTAAGCCATTTTCCAAATGAAATCAAATTGACATTTCAAACGTGATTTATATAGTAACACAGTTAACTTACCAGTTAACATGTCAGTTATGGCCAAGCTGAAAATGAGAATATGATATGGTGATCTGAGGAGAACACGGTGATGACGCGTTATTACAAAACAGAACAAACCATTCCCGCCGAAGGACAGCAATGAAATCACACCAAACAGAATTTGAAGGACCAGTGGCTTTTCCATAGGTACTTTCTCTTAGAGTCGCTCGAAGAGTTTTAATCGGTTTTTATCTCGATATTCCCGTGTTTGTGGCCTAGTAGTGTCCACGCATATAGCAGTTTTGTCTGACTTGCATTCACCTGTTTCGAAGAGAACGGCGTAACATTAAGTCCTCCAGACTTTATTAATTTGCATTTTAATCAAATGATGTATATATGGTAGATGATTTATTAAGTTGCTTCTCGCTACTAATGTCTTAAATGGCAACTTGATCAAGCACCTTGTTAAAGCTGAAAAGTTGCGAAACACAACAAAAAATGTGATTTACTTCATTCCAAATCTTCACCAATATTTGCTTTACATTGTAGTTTCACTGGCGTAACACTTATTACAAATAAAATCAATGTTCGTGCTGAGACCTCTGGAATTCTTAGAAGTGTTCGTAACTGGAGCTGTTCCTTTACGAAAGCGGTCTTTCGACCATATAATAGACCTCCATTGGCCGGCCACTTATGAGACCTTTTAGCAGAAAGCTTGGAGATGACATTGTACTTAATAATCTTGAATAAAGTTTTCATTACTTAGTCTTTCACGTACAAATCAACGAACCATTAGCGCTTATGCTTACGGCCAAATTTAACACTAAAATTGATTCCGAAAGTAAATGCTGTTCCTACTATGTAATTGTTACTGAGTGGTTGCTTACGTTAAATAATTAAAAAGGAAAAGACCGGACGGTAATTCACAAAAGTGGTCGCAGTCGCAGTCGCTCTCGGGAGTGGTCGCTTATACGAAAGCTTTTCGAAGGTACAGTTCAAACAGATTTTTACAATGCTGATCGTAACTACAGCCTGTCGTTTAAAAGCCCAAGTGGCTACAAGGAGAGAGTGTACTGTTACTTAATAGAGTAGTCAATTAAACCAGACTGCAATCGTTTGTTGCCTCTGGGCGCTAATGTCGTCGCGTTATGGAGATTTTGATAAAATCGTTGCAGGTGTTGAGCATTACAGACGGCCACGTCTCTTTGATGTTTGAATGGCACACACCATTCACTGTTTAAATATATTCTATCGCAACTTTGCTAACAAGTACAAAATTGTTTGCTTTTTTATCACTTTCATTACATTGCAAATTGATAAAGTAGTTTTCAGTCCATCGAAAAAGTCCAATTTCCTTTTGGTTCTCGATAAAAAGAAAGTCTACAGTTCATGAGAGAGCTCAAGCAGTTAAGATTAAAATGCCAACGACATTGTTAAAAAAATAATTATAAATACATGAAAGTTATCATGAGCAAAAGATCCACTCTGCAAGTAAATAACTTTATGGTACACCACCAACAATTGAGGATATTAAGCTCACCATGGATGTGCAAACCCAAGAGTTTTTACCCCATAACTGACAATTGCAAACGTGAGCGAGTTTGAATTATGTGGGGAAAAAGGCAACAACAAAATTTGCCTAATTGAAATTATCCAGGGAGTTATCCTTTTTTTGATGTTTCGAAGATCACGGCTCTTTAATTTCTAGCCGTCGCTCATTCAACGAAGTTTAAGCAGCCAGGAAGGACGACAGGCAGCAAAAGAGTCTTTTTGTTTTAACCCCCGAGCTAAAATTCTTAGGAAGCGTCCCCAAGATTAGAAAAGGAAAGAAAAATTGGTCCTGTCAATTGCGAGGAAATTTCAATTTATTTTAGAGCCTCAATAATACCGATTCATAGTTTTAGCGGCCCCTTTGGTAGTATTTTTTTTTATGAAGAATATTTCATGATTAAAAACAATTCCAAAATTAAACCAGAAGATCCAGCCCTAATCACAGTTTTAAAGTCGGTGGCCTTTTGGTATTTTTCAATTATAAGTTCCGTCGTTGCTATTAACATTTAGATGGCTAAAAACTGAATTAAAAGCAAAAATAAACATAAGAAACGAAGAGAGCATAATCAGTTCTGATGGAAGATTTGATGCAAAAACTATAACTCTTTTTAGCACCTGTCACTCGAAAATTAATGCAGTATAGCTCATATTAACACAAAAGGTATATTAAGTCTTTTGTAGCAGGGAGGAGTGTTTCTATTTCTTCATAAGGTTTTTTTCACTTTAAAATGTTGGTTTCCTTCTTCAATTAGAACGTTGCACTGCAGATTTACCAAGATCTTAATGAAAGAAAAACTTCATCGTTAGGCAATAGACCTTTTTACCGATACGGCGGCCATATTGAATTAATTCGATTTAAGGAGTATTATAGGATGCCCAGGGGGCATGAGCACATTTCGTTTGTATTTTTGAGCGCTTTTCGGGACATTTTTTCTTAAAGTTTTCTTAGAATAAGATTGTAATGGGAAAAAAGATCCTTGTGCCGTGTTTGGATGTAATAATGATCGCCTTTTTCTAGTTTAGTATTAGAAAAATGGTCTTTCACTGTATATTTCTCGGGAAAAAGGCGATCATTATTACATCCAAACACGGCTCAAGGATCTTTTTTCCCATTACAATCTTATTCTAAGAAAACTTTAAGAAAAAATGTCCCGAAAAGCGCTCAAAAATATAAACGAAATGTGCTCATGGACCTTGCGCTTAAAGGAGTACTTTTCACTCGCCTCGAGAGTAATGGGTCTTTGAGACACTGGTTAGCCCGTTCATAGACCCGACGGCTATGCCATGCTGATGAGCCCCAATAAGGGTGAAACAACTGTCCATGGCTGCCACTGACCGGGTGATATGGCTGTGCGCATGCGTGAGGTACTGGTCAGGCCGTGGGTTGATGTATGTGTACCCCTTGCTTTAAGTTTGTGTTAGAGTACAGTCCCGTTAATAAATCGTAGTGTGAATGGGCCAGAAGCCGTCTTACACGGTATTTTTCAGATATGACGAAAACATCTCATTTCAAAGACATAAATTAACTGCTAGCTTCATTGTTATTAGGCCAGATTTTAGTTTGATGGGACTTAGTTGTTAGTGTATTTGAACACGTGCTAGAAATAGCAATGGTTTGTGACGTCATTGGTTTAGGCGGGCGAGGTGAGACGCAGACATCGACTGAAGCAACTGTATTTATATAGCGCGCCTTTACATGCCCACGTCTGGTCACACATTCGGCTGGTTCCTCCGCAATTCAACCATTGGCTGCAACCGTGGAAAGTTGGCAAAGGATTATTTATTCATTTGTAGCATTTGGCAGATTATGTAGTGAGCATGAATTGACAAATGCGAGGCAGATATTATTTATTTTAGATATTTGATCTGTAGAAAAAAATAATAACAAAACATGGACAACGAGAGGCTAAAAGCGAAAAATAAAGAAAAGAAAAGAACTAAAATCAGCTAAAACGTTAAGACATCTTTTCATCAAACGTTTTCCAGTTTTTTCGCCACAAAAAATACTTAAGTAATTCTCGACTTCCTCAGAAGCAATCGTGCATGTCCCTCTTTAGATGGTCTAACAATGATGGCTCGTGTTGTGGCAGACAGCCTGTGGCCTTTAATATTATTCCTTGTAGAAAATTGGAAATGTAAGTTACGGATGCGGACCAAAACCTCTATTCGGATTTTGGGACACTAGGGCCAGTGAAGACTTGTTAACTTAAGCCAAATAAGAAACCGAATCCGAGAATAGCTTCTACTCTCTCTAACTAAAGCTCGCCTGTTGAAGAAAAATTTTTTGCTAGGTCTTATTCGGTAAGACAGAAGAGACCCTTAGATTCTAAGACGAGTACAACTTCGAGTACGAGATTTTCTCAACATTAAGTAGTGCACGCGCGTGAACCAGCTTCATTTTGGCGGGAAAACGCGGTAGCCGTCGTCATTCTACTACGAGTTTTAGCGCGAATGTCGTGTGGCGAAAACAAGTTATCAAATGTTATAATTAGAAGTTTTATCATTTTGCGATGGGGAAAGCGCGTAACCTCCTTCACTAAAGGTAACAGTGCTAACTTTTCTAGTGAAAAACGGTAAAATGAAGCTTTTCGGGAAGTCTATATTTTGAGAATACGCGAAAAAACTTCAAGTCAAATCTCGTACTCGTAGTCGTTCTCGTCCTCGAATCTAAAGGTCTCTAGAGACGGACTGGAGGGGTTCTCTTTAGTCTCTTGAATGGCTTTGTTTGCAGTGCTTACGTGGTGCTTACGCTTTGACAAAGGGCTAATCGAACCGTCTGCTCCACTCAATCCCCCTTCGGTGGTAAACCTACCTTGCCTACTAAAGTTGATAAAACTCAATCTTTGTATTTCACACTGCTTTCGATCGCGACGCAACAACACAGTTTCTTTATCGATCTCTAGGACGTAAATCCTCCAGTACTCATGACTCATGACATTCAGCCGTAGTAATATGTTGGTCGAAGTTGGATTCTTAAATGGAAATGATATATTTAAATTTTCTAGTTTCTCAAAAATTGATTTCCGTTTTTGTATAGTAACAATCACTCGCTGACCTATTAACTTAGTAGTTAAACGTAATCCTAAAGCCAGATGCCAAGTGCCTAAAATTGTTTTTCATCTATTTCATAAAAGCATTGCCAACATTTTAATTTATCACCTAATTTTTGAGTTGCGGAGGGGCTAATTGCTAAGCCACTACCAAGTCCTATTATGGTTCTCGCAACTACCCATAAGACCTTTACATGTAAACTTTGTTTCAAAGCCTTAATTCCCTATCTAAGTTCTTTTTAAGGGTCCTCTTGTTTCCGTTACAGATTGATATAATTAATATATAGTACCGTCCACGGCCAGTTTGGAGAATATAGTCGAAACTATAAAATGCCTTGACCTGTCTCTTAAGATTAAAGATTTTAATTAATAAAATGCAATTTCAAAAAGACGGTGTTCAAATAATAGCGTTTCTGATAGCATAAAGTGCAGCTGCGCATTACTTTCGAAACTCCTTTACTCACCAGTGTTGAGTTAAATCTGTGGCGAACAAAAGAATAGATTTGAATGAATTCGCCCTCAGGGTTTTGTTTGTTTTTTTTGTTGTTGTTGTTAAGCAATAAAAATGCAAGCACTGGAAATTTTAGTTTTAACCCAGACATTTTAACTTATCTGATACCTTCTCCTTTAATGAATTAAGTGTGAAGACAGGTGTCTACGGGTTTTTAGCAGGTAACATAGCTTTGTCGTATTTACGAATACGGCATGGTTTAAAATCTCGACCTTGACTGGTCTTTTGTTAGAAATTACCAGGAAATAGTTCAGTTCTGCCGTAGTTTTGAATAAATTCTGGCTTGTTTTTCGTAAATTCAACAGAATTGTCACTGTAGATGGTATCGCTTAAAAGTGAAAAGTATATATTTAAATAACAATACTTAAGATTATTCCTGGTCACATCATAACTGTATTGATTCTTCAAGCTGTAAATGACCCGTAAGAAGTTGTTAGCCACGCTTCAGTTGTAATTAGACTCCTAAGGTCGTGTTTTTCTCATCGTATAGTTAATTCATAAGAAAGTTTAGCCAATCATATTCGGAGAAGAAGCTTGACACCTTTCCTAGATCGACTACTCGACATAATTTTCAAACAACAACTTTAGAACCGTTCCATGCCAGCTAGTATTGTTTTTTGGAGTTGAATTCTAAAATAGTGTAACGAAGTTCGGGAAAAGAAAAACAAAGTCTTTGTTTTGAGTTCACGTCCTCCACAATACGAAAAATTAAGCATTTTCACGTCGTAATCGTGCAGTGACAGCAGCAAAATGTACAAAAAAGCGTGATGCGTGTGCAGAGTTGTTGTTTTACGGGTAAATTGCCTCTTACCCCGAAGAAACGGGTAGGCTACAAGGTAAAAGGTTAATGTCATTATCTTTTCTGGGAAATCATGGTTACCGTTTTTGTATAACTACGTGCGTGGCAAACATGTTGACCTTCTCGTACCCGAAGAGAACAGGAGAACAATGGGTAACAGAGAGAACAGCAAAAAAAAGGGAACAGAGGACACAGGGGAACAAAGGGAACAGGGAAACAGGGGAACAAGAGAACAGGGGGAACAGGGGAAAAACAATATATGTACGCACAATTTATGGAGAGACAAACGGCCAATAGGCCTGAGACTTTCTTTGGGAAATTAAAACAAACAAGCTAAAGAGCTCTACTTACTAATGGTTAAATTTTTGTGTGACGATACAAAGCAACATAACACTATCGTGTTTTTGATGCAGAGTTCCATGACATCTTTTATAGCCTCTTTCAAAATGTTACAAGATACCGAGCATTACGTCATCTTTTTGCCATACATACTTTCACATGTTTTAGTTGCGTATTTTTTCGCAAGGTGTTTTGACGGCTGCTTATTAGGGAGCTTAAGCAACAACGTTTTTGAGCGACGCACGTCAACCGGATGTGGCCTTTTTTCATTTTTTGACGGTGGTTTCGCGCAAATTTTCAGTCAAATCGCCTCTATAAAAGTAAAGAAGCTAAGGAATACAAATTTTATATCATCAAGGCATGTTAAGAGGGAAAATACCTCACTTCCGGTTTACGTGCGTCGCTCAAAAACGTCGCTGCTTAAGCTCCCTAATAAGTATTCATTAGCTTGCAGGGACTCTAGTGATGTAATTAGGGCTATTCCTATTGCGCTTCCTGTCACTCAGTGTACACTTCTATCTCATTTCTTTCCATATACACGCCAACGTATGACAAGGTTAATCAGTATAATAAAATAGGGTAGCTTCTGCGATCCTAGTTAAGATCCAGGGTAAAAACGGGATGACTGACAAGTTTTCCAAGTGCCTCGTTCTTAAGCGGAACGCAAATTGCCAGATTTTTGCGATAAATTCAAACACCACTGGTTTCCTGTTGCGAACAGTTGTCGACCTCGTACCCTTGGTTGATCAAATTGCGAAAACTGGTCAACACCACACCACCGCCAAATTTCTCCGCTTCAGATTCCCCACTCATTGATCGCAGTCTGTGTTCTTTGGGTAGACTTATCTCCCTTCGTTTCTTGCAGAGCCAAGAATTAAAGACACAACGGAACAAAGAAAGAAACCTTTTTCTATAATCCCGGTGTGTGGAGCAATAAATGACAGGATTGATGCACGAGTTAAACATAGCAAGGACGACGGTGAAGCGATGAGAAGGCGACTCTAATCTAACAAGGCCATAAGAAGACAGGACATAGTAAAGCTGATTTGGAAACCAGCATACTGTGAATAACAGTGCAACTATAACGCACATATGAAGAAGTCTAAGCCTTGCTCGAGCGAAACGTCCATTATATTGAATTGCTAGGGATGTCTTAAGTGCAAAGGAAAGGTGCAGATAAGTAACCCAAGTAACTGCATTTGGAACAAAGAATGTCACGATGGTGATTGTCATTGGTGTTAGTCGTTTGGGAAAATTGGACGTTACCCACACACATCGGAGGTTTTTTTCATCAAGCGTCATTTGAAACAATATAAGTGAATGCAATAAGAGACAGGTTATCCATATGATTACAAGATACCCGTAAACTCTTCCTCTTTTAAACTTGAGTCGATATTTGACAGGCTTAACCACGGAATACCATCTTTCCAGAGCAAGACACGTGACCGTAAGACAGGAAACTTTACCAAGTAGAAACACGAAGTACTGGGAGCCAATGACTTTGCAGAAAATTACCCCAGGTAATCCACCAGGAGCCCGGTAGGATCCGAGGCCGCAAAGGTAGTTTGGCGTCACACCAATAAAAATCCCTTGAAAATAAAAATGAGACAAAATTGAGATGGCATACACATCAACAAGTATATGCCCTGCAGGTGGAAATATGTGTTTGACAAGACATTGAGCAATGATTTCACTCTTTATTATCCCTCTCGTTTCTTGAATACATCTGACTGCATAATTCTTTGGTTTGCACGTGACTAACAGCATCATAGATCCTTTACAAGCCTTAAAAGTTAAGGACGCTGCTTAGACCTTCTTTAAGTTTATATGTCGACTTTGCACGCACGTAGGATGGATAGTAATAATTTATATTCTCACCCGGAACACCCGCACACGAAGCCAGATGAGCAGTAAATGCATAAGATAAGGGAGAATTGGCCCGAGGCTTTGCGAATCGATCCTAATTTGTGTTTGCATAGGAATTATGTCTTATGCTACAACTACGGTATTATTTCCGTCTCATCAAAGTAGGAAACCTCTTTCACACTCGTCACCAGGTGTAACTATTGGTAATTCATGTATGGAGATCTTAGTGTCCCATAGTTTCTCAGTCACAAAAGGAAAAGACCGATTTGATTTCTAAAAACGTTTACCTGTTATCATGTCTGTCACAGCCAGGCTGAATATCAGCAAGTTATATGCAGATCTGAGCATCCGATAATTCTTCAGTATAAGAATGCAAAAGAGCCCGTTACCAATAAGAGCCAAGGCAGCAATAAAACCAAACGCTACTGGCAGCAGGAAGGAATAAGCTACAGCTGAAGCGAGAGGCGTAGTCGGTGTCGATGTATTCGTCAGATAGTTTGGCGCACTTTTGTTGTTTAACATCTAAAGACGACACAGTAAAAATAGAAACAAAATCAGTAGCAATCGCAAGGTGGAAGTATTATTGAGGAAATTGTATTTGGAACCGTCTTATTTTATGCGACTAGGATCTGATAATGATTTTAATTTATGATGCACTCAAAACGTTTCTCTGTTTCTGATTGGCTTAAATCCCCCGGTTGATTCTTCATAATCAGCTACTATTGACCAAATGGTAAAAAGTTTGCCAATATCAATACAATAATTGGCGTCAGTTGTGCAGTAGCAACAATTAAAAGGGATGAGCAGAAGGCGAGGTAACGCAGTTGTTTTGGTCGGTTTTTCGAAGAAGAAATAGCCAAACTTATAATTGCCTAGAAATCGACGGATGACAACTGTCATTTGAAGAACATCTGCTTGTCAACACTAAACATCCCTTTTTGTACATACTAAAACAGTGGATAGTGTTTTTCGCGCGCTCTGATTGGCCACTCAAGCTCGGGATATCTCCATTTATAGTATAAGCCGAGAAATGTCGGAGATTTGAGTGGTTGGTGTTAGTAGTATTTCACTGCGTAACAGTACTATAACTTAAAAAAGGAATGACAACATAGAACAGCCCACAGAGGTTAAAACTACTAAAACTTGGGGGAATGTTTGGAACACGTCCGCCAAAAGAAAAAGTTTTAACAACTACAACGTGCACAGCTTGACGAATATCTCTTGAGATTTTTTGCTCGAATACGCCAAGTGACGGCTTTTACAATGAGCTGGGTAGTCTAAGGGTTACCATAAATGATCTAACTGACGTCCGCTCTCAAACACTTCTTGTCTAATAATCGCCTCCCGTCAGATCATGTTAAGAATTGTATTAATAATAGACGCCCCCCATGACCGCAATTATTTAATCATTCAAATTATTCAGTTTCTTGCTTCATTTACAAGGGTTTGAGCTTTGCACCTCTTTTAAAGTCACGTTTCAAGTAAGGATATGCTAACAATGACAGCACAATGACCCTAACATCGCAATTGAGATTGGACTGTGAGCGATATAGATCTCTGAACGACCTAGATGTATCATATCAATGGGTGGATTAGATATTCTGCTATTGTAAACAAGCTTTCTATTTTCGCTGAAAGCATATGTTTAGTTGAGATTGACACACGGCACTCTCTTTTAAACGCCTTCCATCTATTAAAAGCCCCCTCTTGGACCCCTATTGAACTAACTTAACACCCTATTAGATCAATTAAATCAATTAGCGTCTATTAGATCATTTACGTTCTGTTCGCTAAGACAGCAAAATCTCCACAGCGAAGTACCAAGAATTTGTCAAGTGCGGGCAGCTAATGGCGGCCTTGTAGGCAAGAACTTGTCATGAGAAAGGCTAAAGATAACGACTAAAATTAAGCAAAAGCACTTACCTTTCACGATGAAGAAATTACTGATTGAAGACGGAGTAGTTTTGGGCTGATACAATTCAAAATTACTTCTTTACACTTCCAAACATTGACAGTCCACTAGTTTCATGGAAGATGAAAGTCATAAATTGACCAATTTTTGTATGTGAAGTCGATTTGTGGTCTCTTACCACCAAAGTTACTACAAAAACATTTAACCTTTTTCTTGCTGTTTACTATATTTTCGACACTTAATACAAGAAGCTGTCAATCATTTGCTTCGTGACGTAATAAAGTATCTAGTGCGTTGCTAAATAATTATCGGCTTCTATTATAAAAAGATTAATATCATGAACTGTACGTGGTATTTAGAATTGACCGATGCTAGCTTTGGCGGGCGCATATCGAGTTAGGATGCACCCGTGAAGTTTGGAGAGTTCGAGAGTAGCGTATGATCGGGAGTTGCTCGAGGTGTAGGCGACGGCAACTCTAGCCATGTTCTTGAGAGCTACCCAAACTTCCTGACTTGCACTGGACGAAAAGTGGATTTGCGCAAATTTGCTCCTTGCAAAAATGTCGCTTATATGTAATACTGAGGAGTATATATATATGTATGTACATGCAACCTATCACAAGCATCTTTTAGAAGACACTCCCTTCACAACTCAATAAATACAGTACCACAAGTGAAGAGTAAAACAATATGTTTTTCGTCTCTCATGTATATACATATACATATACATACATCCTTTTTTTTCTCATTTAAACAAGGCTTTTCAAAGATGATTACAAAAAATATATATATGATTACAAACAAAAAGGAGTACAGTAAATATATAAAAAGTGATTGGTAAAATTATCTAAGAGCTAAAAATTAATCACTATATACGATCATACATAAAATACAAGAACAATCGTTCTTAAAGTTCTATGCCGAGCAAAGTAGCTTACTTTTGAGCTTTCGTTTAAAGCTTAAAACATCTTTGCTTAGTTTTAATTCATTGTCCAGTGAATTCCATATCTTCACTGTTCTGCAATAGAAGCTTCTCTGGCCACTCGCCGTTTTAAATTTGGGAATATACAGCGATTGTGAGTTTCTATTTCACTACTCGCCTAGTGATCTTAAATCGTTTAGTAAATTTAGACGTAAGAAAATCCGGTGCTGAGCCCGTCATACATTTAAACGCCATAGTGGCACTTCTAAGATAGATTGATTTTTCTACTGGGAGCCAATTTAATTCTTTTAATAGAGGAGCCATATAGCCATAATTTTTAGCCCCGCTGATAATACGGCATGCATATATTTGACAAGATTGTAACTTACGCATATTTCTGTTAGAAGTATTTGCCCACACGTTCGAACAATATAATAGTTTACTAAATACTATGTATAAATTATATTAATTAAAATTTTGTTATTAAATGCTTGTTGAACACGATTTATTTGAGCCAGTCGAGAAAAGAATGATGAAACGGTCTTAGTAATGTGATCATGGTAAGTTAGGTTGTTGTTCAATATTACGCCCAAATCTTTCCCACTAGGCACTGGTAGCAGTTCCTTTCCAAGCAATGAAATTTTGAGGTCGCCAAGCTCCGTTATCTTCAGTATATGGCAAAGATGGTAAAATAATGCCACATTTGCATACCAAAAAACAGTCAGTATAATAACATAGGGTAGCTTGAGCGATCGTAGTTAAGATCCAAGGTAAAAACGCGATGACTGACAAGTTTTCTTGATGCCTCGTTCTCAAGCAGAACGCAAATTGCCAGATTTTTGAAATAAATTTAAACACCACTGGTTTCCTGTTGCGAACAGTTGTCGACCTCGTACCCTTGGTTGATCAAATCGCGAAAACTGGTCAACACCACACCACTGCCAGTTTTCTCCGCTTCAGATTCCCCACTTATTGATCGCAGTCTGTGCTCTTTGTGTAAACTTATCTCACTTCGTTTCTTACAAAGCCAAGAATTAAAGACACAACGAAATAAAGTAAGAAACGCTTTTCTATATTCCCGGTGTGCGGAGCAATAAATGACAGGATTGATGCACGAGTTAAACATAACCAAGACGACGGTGAAGTAATGAGGAGGCGACTCCAATTTAGCAAAGCCATAAGAAGACAGGACATAGTAAAGCTGATTTGGAAACCAGCATATTGTGAATAACAGTGCAACTATAACGCACATACGAAGAAGCTTAAGCCGTGCTCGAGCGAAAGGTCCATTATTTTTAATTGCTGGGGATTTCTTAAGGGCAAGGGAAAGGTGCAGAAACGTAGCCCAAGTAACTGCATTTGGCAAAAAGAATGTCATGATGGTGAGTAACATTGGTGTTAATTGTTTGGGAAAATCGGACGTTATCCACATACATCGCAGGTTTTTTTCATCAAGCGTCATTTGAAACAATATAAGTGAATGTAATAAGAGACAGGTTATCCATATGATTACAAGATACACATAAACTCTTTGTCTTTTAAACGTGAGTCGATATTTGATAGGCTTAACCACAGAATACCATCTTTCCAGAGCAAGACACGTGACCGTAAGACAGGAAACTTTACCAAGTACAAACACGAAGTAACTGGAGCCAACGACTTTGCAGAAAATTACCCCAGGTAATCCGCCGGGAACCTGATAGGATCTTAGGGCGACAAGGTAGTTTGGCGTCACACCAATGATTACTCCTTGAAAATAAAAAAGAGATAACATACACATCAACAAGTAGCAGGTGGAAATGTTTTTCACAAGACGTTTTGCATCTTTTGCATCTTTTTTTTTTCACACTAAGAGCATTAATTTCTCTCATTATTAGCCCTTTCGTTTCTTAATTACATCTAACTGCCCAATTTTTTGGTTTGAGCGTGACTAACAGCATCAGGGATCCTTTAAAACCCTCAAGACACCGTATAGACCTTATTTACATTATATGTCGAATTTACACGCACATAGGATCAATAGGATATAATCTAATGTCACGTGGTTTCTCGGGGCGCAAAACGCCGATAAACTTTGACCATGTAAGTAATCGCCGTCGACTTTGATCATTTTAGATAACAATTGAAAGTAAAGGAATTGTACGCTGATCATTGTCGTGGTGTTTTTGGATGCAAAGACGACCGTAAATACACCTACTAATAATGACATGAACCTCGACGAAACCTGATCTGTACATTTCTCATGACTAATATAGTAAGTGTTTTAGCTTGTTTTTTAATTTTAACGGAATAAATGAATTCCCTGGCAATCACTTTCACGGGTAGCTTTTATTCACTTTTTGCCTGAGACCAGGCGATATTTGAAAGAAACAGTCCCCTAGAGTATAATCACATGACCCGCTGTATTGGGAAAACAAAAGATACAAGCTAAAGAGGCCAGGTTTATAATGACATGAACCGCGACGAAACTCGATCTGTATATTTCTCATGACTATAGTAAGTGTTTTTTTAATTTTGACGGAACAAATAAACTCATTGGCAACCACTTTTACAGGTAGCTTTTTGTCCCCTTAGAGAGTACGCGACATTTCATTCACCCATCAATCCCTACGTTCTTGCATGTAGAGACGGTGGGCATCCTAAATAAGGTCTACTGCATGACTTTTTAAAAACTAGTGACTTCCTTAAGAAACTTTATTTAATAGAAATAAAATAGCGTGGCGTTCATATTATGCTGCAAATTCCTAACTTGTGTTTGCGTACGAATTATGTCTTCTGCTATAATTACGGTATTATTTCCGTCTCATCAAAGTAGGAAACCTCTTTACTGACTTTCACAGTCCTACAATTGGTAACTATTGGTAATTCATGTATGGAGGTCTTGGTGTACAATAGTTTCTCAGTCACAGAAGGAAAAGACTGATTTGATTTCTAAAAACGTTTACCTGTTATCATGTCTGTCACAGCCAGGCTGAATATCAGCAAGTTATATGCAGATCTGAGCATCCGACAATTCTTCAGTATAAGAATGCAAAAAAGACCGTTGCCAATAATGGCCATGACAGCAATAAAACCAAACGCAACTGCCAGCAGGTAGGAATAGTCTACAGCTGAAGCTGGAGGCGTAGTCGGTGTCGACATATTTGTCAGATATCTGGAAGAGCTTTTATTGTTTAACATCTAAAGACGACACAGTAAAAAAAGATTTTAAAAAATCAGTAGCAATCGCAAGGCGGAATACTGAGGACATTGTAATTGGAACCGTCAAGGGTAGCTGATTTTGAAGAATCAACCTTGGGATTTAAGCCAATCAGAAACAGGGAAATATTTTGAGTGGATAATAAACATCATTTTCAGTTCCCACTCGCTTATTATCCACTCAAAATGTTTGGTCCCCCCGGCCCCTCCTCTGGATCTTCTACTGCACAGTAGTAGTATGAGAATAAACGCCTCCCATCTATTAAACGCTCCTTCTTGGACACCTAAGATTGAATATAAATTCCCGTGCATCTGTTGTATCATTTACGGTATATTAGCTCCGGAGGAGGGGGGGCTTCCTTATTTGATCTATACGGGTATGTGCCGCTCAACAGGGTATGGTTTTCAGGGTCTTGAGTCTTCTCAGGGTATATAATTTCACTATTGTGCGTCTTAACGGGGTGTCTTTTTAGACCGGAAACCGGGGATGGATTTACGGTAGACAGACAATATGACAGCAAAATTTGCATAGCGAACCAAGAATTTGTCAAGTTCAGACAGAAGGGAAAGGCAAGAGGTCTTCGCGAGAAAGGCTACGGAAAACGATCAAATTCAACAAAAGCACTCAGAGCACTTACCATTCAAGATGGAGAAATGAAAAAGGTAGGTAGTTTTCGGCGATATTAAATCACTTCTTTACACTCCCACACGCAAACATCAACAGCACACCACTTTCATGGCTGCTAAGTGACAATAATTACTAATTAAGGAGTTGGCGTTGGTGTTTTACAACGAAAAAACTTGGCGAGTCATAACCTCAGTACTTTTTGTATGTGAAGTCAATGCGTGATCTCTTACCACTGCAGTTGCTGCAAAAACATTTAACCTTTTTCATGTTGTTTTCTACATTATCGACGTTTAATACAAGAAGCTGTCAATCACTTGCCCACTGACGTAAAACGATGTTTAAGCGCCACTTTGGTAAGAGTTTTTCATTCAACTAGAACAAAATAAAGGCATCTTGAACGTTGCCGACAGTTTCTCGGCTTCTATGATAAAAATATAATAGCATGACTTTTACGTGGTTTCATGCTTAGATTGCGTATATCTACGTAGCTGTGCACCCACGTACGCAACTAGACGCTTGTCCCAGTCCCTTTTGGCTAAAAGAGTTTTTTGTCCATACGCACTCACTGTCACCGAAAACTTGACGGATCTTAAAGAAAAGGCGGACTTCAAGCAGTCTACCTCTGAGAGGACCTTTTTGTAGTTTTGTTTATGAGTAATAAATGTTGTGTTACTTTATGAGTAATAAATTTATGTCCTGGTAAAAGCTCGTGCTCGTTTTGTTTCGATCCTGCAAGAGGAATTTTCCCTCCAGAGATTGTTCGTTTATAACGAAAGTGCGTAGTTTTTCGCCATTAATTAACTTGATTTCAACCGGCTAAGCAGACGTTAAAAAATGAGGACACTATATAATCGGATGTTCCCCAACTCATATGAGTTTGTGGTTTTTATTTCCAACTAAATGTCATTCTTTGAGTGAGAACTTTCCTACGGGGCGTCTGGTAATTTGCTAACAGTTGACCGCTTTTGCTGTTGGTTTAAGTGGCTAGAAAGCTGTCAATTCCAAAAATCCTAGAAAGTTCTTTATCATTGTGTTCGATTTTGAAGGTTAGAGGCGAAAATCCACGTCTAATAAACACAACAAAACACGTCATCTTATATACGCACGGCCGTGCACATATAAAGAATTTTATTTCATCGACTCGAAAGGAAGTAGATACGGCAAGTACGCGCGCTATGTTATAATTGGCATTAATACCGGCTTGTAATATTTCAAAATTGCCCAAAATACCACTTGCCGCTTCGCAGGTCATATTATTTTGGACAATTCTGAAACATCACTCGTAGTCTTACTGCCAAATACTACTAAAGCTTATGCTATTAATATACATTTTAAAATGTTATTTTTATAACATTGCTATTTCTGATATTACTTTTTTTAAGTTTACACTGTCCCTTTCACAGAGGAGGTATGTGTACCACAAGACTTTTACTAAAACGCGGAAAGCGGATTGGGGAGCGAGTCACTGGGAACGGAAAAATGAAAAATTGAATAAAACACAAACATGTATAAGAATTGAAGGAACTGATAGGGTAAGGGTTTGACGTAGATTTGCATTCAGTTCACTTAATACAGACCGCATGTATTTAGATCTTTTACATCTGATGCAAGACACTTGACTCATTTACGTACTGCATAAATTAGCGGATGTTAACGATGAACTTAAAATATTGTACACCATGACAGATGACAATACTCTTAATGCAAAATAAAATAACCCGCGTGAATTTAGTCACTAAAATAGTACTTAGTTTGGTTTTTACGGATGTTACGTAAAAACGAAAAACCTAGAAAGGGAAATGGGAAGCGAAAAAAAGGGAAAAGTAGAGAAAATTAACCCGTTCAAAATCGGCTGTTGAGTGTTATTCACTGAATTGCACCTGTTCACAAAGGAAACATTGTTGATGCAGACGCTGAAGCTCGAGTTTTAATGATAAAAGTCTGTTAGAGTAGACACCAGCTGCAGACATTTCGATCTATCTTTTCAAAATGTCCGGCTCATTATATAATAAAGGATAATAAAAAGTTTAAGCCATATATACGCAGTCTGCATGCAACTCATAAGCCGCAGTTCTAAACAAGAGACGATGAAGGTTTTGCCGTCATGTTGAATTAAGGAAATGTCACGTGGTCACGTATCGACCAATCAGGCATTTTTCGCCAGCAGGGGCCCATGGGCTCCTGTCGCCAGGAATGAAGCTAGGGACCACTTTCCCCGAGTACGCACACTTACCACCTGTTGAACTAACGCTGACTGTAAAACCGCAGTCCGCTTCGTCTACGTCAGCCGGAAGCTTAGCGAAAGTGTAACAAGCCTGACCACAGCTGAAAAGACTGAAGTGAAGAGAAAAGCCAGTTAACCGATTTTTCAAATAAGCTCACTGCAAACACCACTGGTTTCCTGTTGCTTGCAGTCGTCGACTTCGCACCCTTGATTGACCAAATTACCAAACGTCAACATCACACCAGCGTCAAATTTTCCCACTTCAAATTCTCCAGTTGCTACTCTCAATCTGTTTTCACGTGCTAGACTTGTCTCTCTTCGTTTCTTCCATCGGCAGGAATTAAAGAAAGGGCAAAGTAACATAAGAAACCCTTTTCTAAATTCCCGGTTTGTGGAGCAATAAATGACAGGATTGGTGCACGAGTTGAACATAGCAAGGACGATAGTGAAGTGATGGAAAGGCGACTCCAGTCTAACAAGGCCATAAGAAGCCAGGGTATAGTAAAGCTGATTTGGAAACCAGCATATTGTAAATAGCAGGGCTACTATAATACACATGCGCAGAAGCTTAAACCGTGTGCGAGTGTTACGCGCATTATTTCTATTAATTGCTGGAGACGTCTTAAGCGCAAAAGCAGTGTGAAGATAAGTAACCCAAGTAACCGCATTTGGAACAAAGAATGTCACGATGGTGAGTGTCATTACTGTTAGTTCTTTGGGGAAATCGGATGTTATCCACACACATCGCAGGTTTTTTTCATCAAGCGTCATTTGAAACAGTACTAATGAATGCAATAAGAGACAGGTTATCCATATGATTACAAGATACACATAAACTCTTCCTCTTTTAAACTTAAGTCGATATTTGATAGGCTTAACCACAGAGTACCATCTTTCCACAGCAAGACACGTGACCGTAAGACAGGAAACTTTACCAAGTAGAAACACGAAGTACTGGGAACCAATGACTTTGCAGAAAATTACCCCAGGTAATCCACTGGGAGCCTGGTACGAGCTTAGGGCGACAAGGTAGTTTGGCGTCACACCAATAAACGCTCCTTAAAAATAAAGATGAGATAAAGAATGAGGTTGCTAGAATATCAACAAGTATATGCCTTGCAGCAGGTCGAAATATCCCTATGACAAACAAGACATGTTTCACCTTTGATGTTTTCACAAGAGTAATGATTTCACAGTTTACTTGTCCTTTCTTGTATCAAATGGATCTTACTGAGTATATTTGTATCATCCTTTCCGATGAAGGAAAAGAGGGCAGTGGCTGTACACATATACAGCTATTTCGAGAAAGGTTGTCGGAAAAAATGTGCACGCGACAATCCCGAAAGGTAATATGGGATATGATCGATGTACTGTTCCTGACGACTGTAGCTGTCGAACCTACTTTGTTCCTTTCCGTTAGCACTCGCAAACACATTTTCATGGCCTTTCGTGCCAATTCTTTTAAATTTCTCTGAAGAACAGTGAACTCAAAACCACCCACAATGCCTTTCAGGATTGTCGCGTACACTTCTTCCGACAACCTTTCTCGAAACAGCTGTATGTGCCTTGTAGCTGTGGAGGGCTAAAAACTGCATGGACGTATTCTGCCAAAGGGGTAGCTGGAATTTGAGTTATACGGGGCGCAGCGAATGAAAGCGAAAAACAAGAACTGCTATCGAGGGTGCCGAGACCTAAACTTTACTAGAACTAGCTGGCTGAATAATCAATCAGACTAGTCTTAAAGGGACAAGTTCACGGTAAAGCGCATGCTCATTAATTAAATTACTTTTTTCTATTTATTATTAATTCTATCGGTTAATATTTCCACTCACATGTATCTTAGTGATCTCAGAGTGTATTTCAAAGTAACCCGAAGTAAGATGGAGGAGGGAAAATGGCAGAAAAATTAGTGGATTATGCCAACACTACCAACGTTGAATTTATTGTTGACCCGAAAGTTTTATTCCATGGTTGATTAATTTACAGTTATTTGCACATGAATTGATCAAGGGACTGCTAGGGGAGTGTGCAGATTGGTTCTTTGACATAATTATGACATGATCATATTGCTTCCATAGACGATACAGCAGGTCGCGGCAGAAAATCAGCATTTTGAGAAATGAGCATGCGCTGAACCGTGAACCTGTCCCTTTAAAACCGAGGGACAAGGTCTGCGGGTATGCCGAGTATTCCCCTGGGCCACGCTGAGAATTTTATTGTTTTCCCTAGTGAGAATAGGATAAATGTAATGCCACTTGGTTTCTCGGGGCGCAAAACGCCGATAAACTTTGACAATGCAAGTAATCACCGTCGAGTTTGATCATTCTAGACAACAATAAGTAAAGGAATTGAACTCGGTTCAAGAAGATAATGGAAAAAAAATGTCTGGAACTAAAAACTGTCGTGGTGTTTTTGGATGCAAAAACGACCGTAGATATACCTACCAATAATGACATGAACCTCGATGAAACTCGATCTGTATATTTCTCATGACTATAGTAAGTGTTTTTTAATTTTGACGGAATAAATAAACTCCTTGGCAATCATTTTTAAGTTCACTTGTTTTCCCCTCAGAGAGCACGCGACATTGTCTTCACCCGTCAATCCCTGCGCACTTACATCCAAAGACGGTGGGCATCCTAAATGAGGTCTATTGCATGACTTTTTAAGGGCGGCTTTCCGTAAATATCGACCCACGGTCGGCACAAGTTCAAAATTTGATTTACGTCATTTTTGGCTCATCGATAACCTTTAATGAGTAATGAAACATGCTGTAGTTAGTTTTCCCAAATAAAGTGTTCTTTTGTTAAAATTCGAGAAAACTCCTTTTGCCCGTTCGGGGCTCAAACTCCACTTCCGGGAAAGCGAAATGTTACATAAATTTCATTGACTCGCACGTCAAACTACAACGATTTGGCAGTCTTTGAAGAACACGAATAGTTTTTATGACCATTTCTTCCTTATAAAACGATACATTTGTAAAAGCTGGAATATTTTTGTGGCCAAAGAGGTATTATTAAAAATAGGCCCTATTGACAATTTTTACCGTTTAAAATTATGGGGATAAAATAATGCAAATTTTAACCACGCACTATGATATAGATGTATGATGTCTAGATCTATGATATAGATGTATGATGTCCATTTAGGAGCATTTGGCATTTTAAAAGCTCATACTCACGCTGCAGCTATTCCTGCCGTTTTAGCATTAGTCAAACGCCACTTTTTTTCTATTTTCCGTTTTGCTGTAGATTTTGGCGATTTGTTTTTGACGATGGCCTTCATCGTCGATTGAAACGAGTTAAAGTATTTTCTGAAACATTCGTTACAAAGTACCTTTATAAGCGTGATAGTAATACATTGAAACGTACATGTATCATGTGTACTTATACATAATTACTTGAAAGAGAAAACTCGCAAGAAAAAAGCAAGTGTTCTAATTAGTTAAAATTGGTCGTCTCCGTCTTAAATTTAACATAGTTATGCCTTTTGACGGATGCTTAAATTAATAAAACACACCACTGTACTTCTTTAAAGCCTGTTTTCGTTGGGCTCCGTCGTCGACGTCGTTCAAAAAAGCCGACTTTTGAGCAATTTTGGTCGATATTTACAAACAGTCGCTCTTAAGAACTTAGTTAATAGCAATAAAATAGTGTGGCGTTCATATTTTGCTGCAAAATCCTAATTTGTGTTTGCATAGGAATTATTTCTTATGCTACAACTACGGTATTATTTCCGTTTCATCAAAGAAGGAAACCTCTTTCAAACTCGTCACCAGGTGTAACTAATGATAATTCATGTATCGAGATCTTAGTGTCTAATAGTTTCTCAGTCCGCACTCGGAAAAGACTGATTTGATTTCTAAAAACGTTTACCTGTTATCATGTCTGTTACAGCCAGGCTGAATATCAGCAAGTTATATGCAGATCTGAGCATCCGATAATTCTTCAGTATAAGAATACAAAAAAGACCGTTGCCAATAAGAGCCAGGGCGGCAATAAAACCAAACGCTACTGCCAGCAGGTAGGAATAAGCTACAGCTGAAGCGGGAGGCGTAGTCGGTGTCGATATATTTGTCAGATAGCTTGGAGAGCTTTTATTGTTTGACATCTAAAGACGACACAGTAAAAATAGTAAAAAAAATCAGTAGCAATCGCAAGGTGGAAATATTATTGAGGAAATTGTATTTTGGAACCGTCTTATTTTATGCGACCAGGATCTGATAATGATTTTAATTTTATTATTATGCACTCGAAACAATTCTCTGTTTCTGATTGGCTTAAATCCCCCGGTTGATTCCTCATAATTGGCTACCGTTGACCAAATTTGAAATTGAATTGAAGAAATTGCCGATATCACAGAGAGCTAATTTGTATTCAACTTTGGGCTTGTGAACTCGCATAATTAACTGACTAACAGAGCGTGAAATTACAAGGCTTTAATAGTTTTTCATTTCCTCAAGATAGAACGGAGAAAACGTGAGACAAAATTGAAATAGAGTTTTCAGTTCTACTTTGTGGACTTAGTTTATATATATCCGAGTTTTAGAGCTCAATAAGAAGACATAAACTAAATTGAAATAAAGACTTTTCAACTCCACTTTTTGTATATGTGTTTTGTTTATATATCTGAGTTTTAGCGCTAAATAAGATATAGGAAGCCGTTTCTCGCGTTGCTAGGTGATCGCTTCTCTTATTCCTATTTTCCTTTTAATAGACTGTGCGAAAACCGAGCTCAAGTTACTTCAGGGACAAGTCTAGGCAAGCCTTTTGTTTCTATTGAAGTAGAGTGACGCTCATTAGTAAACCTATCCACTTTATTATATATGGAAGAAGGCAGTGACTAGGCACTTAATTAGTATGGAGGAAGGCATTTTTTCCCCCTAGGTTATAATAATAGGTGACGTCATTGACTAGACCCATACGCATATCAATGATTTACCTATTCCTATACCTTTACTTGATGGTGTTTTATCCAGTGGTTAGTGTTATCCGTCTTTTATGTGTAACTTGGGTCAGGTGGTCACAGTGAGTGCTTAAGATGGTGACAGCTGCTTGAGCTATAAACAACCTTTGGCAGCTCGCCTTTATTGAAATATGCAAATGATTTCTTCAGCTTATCGCCAAAAAGCTCTGTCTTGGGTGCAAATACAATTGAGTCAGCGTTCGTGACCTAGGCGAGGCTAAATCGGGATTAAAGCTCCAAATTTTCAAAAATTTTGTCTACATCACCGCGGGTGCCAATTCAAAATACCTCATTATTATATCAAGGCTCGTCTAGCAAATACATAGGCAAAGCTAAATGGGGAAGTGGAGCTATAAAAAGATGCTTCACAATTTTCACAGTTTTGTCCACAGCTCTTCTGTATACGTGTTGGACCACAACTAGCTTCCGCTTGCAAATATTGTGCACATTTCCTAATGAATATGAACCGCCCTTAATCAATTTTAGCTGTATTGTTTAAAGAATATCTTCTGCAGTTTGCTTGAAGTTTGGTTTCTCCTTGAAATAAATCCAGTCGCACACGTACAGAAATTAAGTCCCAATCCTTTAAGGATTATTTCAAAATATACGAACTTTGAGAAAATGTTTGAAACGATGTTGTAGAGAAATAAAAAGTCATTTTCAATATTTTAGTAAACTAATCAAAAAGCTATGAAGCTACCGGAAATATTTACAATTTACAAAATGTTCGATATTTTAAATGTACCTAAATATAACGAAAGCACATGCAATTCATACCTCGCTCAATTAAACCTAACCTGATCTGAGACACTTTACGACCAAACTCGTCTAGAAGATGAACGCGAAGATTTTACCTTGCTGTTATTACTTGTTCAGTGCCATGCTTCTGAAGATCTGACTGATATTTCTTGTTAGATTTGTCGGCGGAAATGTTGATCAATGCCTATACTGGGGATTTGGCCTCTCAAAATCAACCACTCAGGTTAACTTCCACCCTTCCAAAGTTTGTTCTTGAATGACACCGCAATAACTTTCGATTTTGATAACAGATAATGTTTGTCTACTCAATTTCCTTATGGGAACACAGGTAGCCCAAGCTCGAAATATGATCATCGGCGAGCATTGGCATTGTTGCGTAACATTCAAAATAATATATAGATTTAGCCAGGGCTAAAAGCGAAGCTCCCATCGATAAATTTATATTTTAAATTAAACAATAAACTTGTAATCCACAAGTCAGTTAACTTAAGGGCACATTGATTCATGTGACTTTTGAGGGAAAGGATAAGTTATTTTGGAGTGAAACATCTTACATCGAGTTGATAGCCTAAATATGTACACCCAAAAATTAGCAAACATCTTCGATCACATTCAAGAGCCATAATGGCTCTTGATCACAGTAGATTAGGCCTCGAAAACAAATTCTTGGAAAACAAATCAGGCCGAATTTTTTTGCGTTTGATAGGTTTACTTTACAAATTCTTGCCAACAAATCTGATGGTGTGTAAACCAACCTTTTATACTTTTTATACATCACATCTGAGGTGAAACAGTACCTATTTATCATACAGACCTCGGACAGTATATACGGTATTTCACAATTTTTCAAGACAAATTGCACTCAGTCAGTGTTCAGGACGATCAATCGTGGGCTTTTAGCGAAACCGTTCAAAAAATTTCCAAAATCACCCATACGGCCAGCCGGTTCTCATTTCTAGTGCGAGCTGTCAGTCATGGTCGAGTGCTTGAATGAACTTTAACAGAGATACGCTTCAACATAATCACAAATTTATTATCATTATTTTTGTTATATGTGTGGTCTTCTAAAGCGTTTGATACGCGCGACATTTATAAGTACTCCTGTAAGCGATGTTCATGAACGATGAAAACAAACGCCACGGACAAGCGATTAAAATTGCAAGAGAGACTACTAACAATCAATAAAAGAAATATAATTCGGTGAAACATTTACAGAGACAACAATTTTCATTCACGAAGACAAGTATTAACGGGTCTCTAAAAATCCTGAGTCTTTAAGCTTAAGGTTAAGTTTATTTTGTTTTACTTCTTCAGCCGGCCTCCCGGTGTTTGCCTTTTTCAACGATGAACTCCTCGAAGCAAGAAAATCGCTCAAAGTTTTCTTTCTACAGCCAAATCTATAACTAAATATTCTTCGGAACGTTTTCTTTCTATTTGCCGGGAGAAAATATATCTGAAGGCCTTTTAAAAGTTCCGTAAGCTTATATCAAACCTGATACTAGGTCATGAGATCATTGACTCAAATCTTACAAACGTGCAAAAACTTGCCGCATAAACTGTGCTCGACTTCATGAAATTAAATATAACAAAAACAAACATCAAATACAATAATTACTCCGGCTTATCATTCGAGATTCAGTTCCTGAAAGATATCAAGGAAGGCCACAGTTGCTTGAGACTTTTAAACCCTCTTACGCATTAAGCAAGGTGAAAAACAAAAACGATCCCATCCGTAATCGGATTTCACAAGCGACGCTACGCTTTTCTCAACCAAAAACCCAATAAACAAACCAGCCATGGGTAACAGAAGACTTTTGTTAGTAGCCGTATTTCATTTTGTACATCCAGTGGAAAAAGACAGTTAAAAACATCACAAGTCAGGGACCGCGCAGAGGGAGGGGCTAGGGGGGCTTTAGCCCCCCCCACTTTTTTGCAAGAATAAAAATATATTAAACAAAAAATAATATAACAAAAGTAACGGAGTGAAAAATAGCAAAAAATAGTTAATTCGAAAGTGACCAGAGTTACTGGCAAAGACTACCGCGCAGATAAATAGACAGAATGAAGCATTAGTCGTTACAATTGTAAAATATTTTTTCGCTTCTAACCCAGCAGAGGTAAACGTCTTTTTAAATGGCTTCTTTTTCCTGCTGACCTCTCAGGAAAACGCGTTGTTTCGTAATTGATCACTTTCGATCCAAAGTAATAACTGGGTTTAGTTTATAAGGCGATTCTCAAACAAATTGTTTATTAGTGTCAACCTTGATTTTTGGAAGATCATGAAGGTATTGTTTCTCTTGTTATTGTGCGTCCTGATTTTAGCTCGATCAGCGCGAAGTCCGTCTTTTGATGTCAGGCTTCACGGCTCATTGAGCATTCCAATTGCCAGTTTTGTTGAACGCGGTCTTTTTATAAAAACATTTTGTCATCGAAAGTACTTAAACTGCAGAATTGTGTATAGCTCTGGTCATCAAGGAACATTCAATCCGGCGGTTATTACGAACAAAGAAGTGCACATACATGGTACACGGCAACATAAATATGGACGACGAGACTTCACATACCACTAGTAATGCAAAGAAGAGATCTCTTAAAATTTCTGATTACTTTTCCAAACAAAATGGAAAACCTTCTTTATCTGGTGAGTAAACTCTGCATAATTTTTGCTACTTTTTTCTGAATCTGTTCTCTAGTTGAATTATTTCCAGTCACTTTTTCATGTGACATAGTTTTTGAAATATTGGTCTAATAATGTTTCATTTACATTCTTTAAAAGAGCCTCCACCCAAAAGAATGTGCGAAACAATCAACTTCACTAGTGAAGTAGAAGCCACAATATCCAGTCAAGAGTCGCAGCCTCCTCCAATCCAACGACAAGTTGATCAGTCGACAGCCAGCGAAGCTGTAGAGATCAATATAACGGAACCATTCCAACCTGCGGATTTCAACTTTCCAAAAAAGCATTGTGGCAAACAGAATCGCGCATTTCAATCCAAGCGGTTTTCGGAATTTCCCTGGCTACACTATAATGAGCAAAGCGATTCTGTGTTGTGTTTCATTTGCATGCAACAAAATGCAAAATCAAATCTTCGAGCTGCCAGAAGTAAGGAAGTCTGCTTTATTTCTAAAGGGTTTTCAAACTGGAAAAAGGCGTTGGCGCGATTCAAAAAGCTTCAAGTGTCTGAATGCCACAAAATAGCCATTGACTATGAAACAAACCTTTCAAGAACTTGCGGAAATGTGTGGGAAATGTCTAGTGATGCAGCAAAAAAGACAATGGAGTCTAACCGTATATGCTTCATCAAAGTCCGATAGCAACATCACTGAAGATGTGAAAAAAATCAATAGTTTTATTGTTATTCGCATTCTCCGTCACTTTAGAGAAATTGAATAGAAATCCACAAGCATGCCCCTACCCCCCCCCCCCAAAATTTTCCTTCACGCATTCTTCTTTAGCCCCCCCACTCCAAAACTTGCTGCGCGGTCCCTGCAAGTTGACACAAAACTCTGTCAGCTTCAGCTGTCAAAGTAAACAACTTTCAAGATGCTGTATGAATTTTCTGCATGAACTCACCTGTCAAATTTTGACCAATCAGAGTACAAAAATTGGACGTAGAGCGTGACCAACGCGTGACCAAGGTAAGAAAAGGTCTTCCCGCCTGTATTTTTAAAAAGCTGGCTGAATTTTCGCGTCCGAAGTGAGTTTGAAATCAAAATCTTGACAGTGCGGGGCCATAGTGACAAAAACACAACACATTTCATATGAATCATTGGAAAAAATAGACTTGAGCCTGCGATCATTTGAAACTATTAATTTGTCAGCGGATAACTTCAAAAAAGTACTCGACTTCGATGGGTTGACACTTGAGCCCACGGTACGGTCAGGTGATACTGGTCAGTGGATATCCTGTTTTGACAGCTGTAAATTGATCACAACATTGATGTGCAATTAGCCTCTCTCTTGAGCTCCCAAACTAGCTAGAAAGTGTGAGAGTAAACATTGGTTTCCCTGTGGTGCGGACGGACGGTCGGGCGTACGGTGACGTGATTACCAAATTTTCCCGGATGGGTAGATTACCACATTTCCTTAGGTATGGAGCTCCGTCCACGCGCGCGCTTCGCGCGCGGGTGGAGGTCCGCTATAAGGATTTGTATGGGAAAAAAACCTATCGTTTCTGTAACCTACGAAAATGAAAGGATTTCAATAAAAAACAGCTTACCTTACTTAAAATGTGTGTTACGTCTCTCCTGTGTGGTCCACGGGCCGATTTATGGCCGTTTTATGGGTTTTTATGTGAACGGTTTTCTCTGTATATAAACCTTTATATCCTTTAACTCTCCTCAGGTCGGTTCGAATCAAAATTTGTCTATGACAAGTGACGGTGTGGTACCCAGGTGAGGCTTAGTTTGTAGAGGAGGCAGGGTTACCAAGCGGGTTTTCAACGGTCGTGTGTCGTGGTGAAAATGTACTCGCCCCTTCGGCGTCGTTTTGTCTTGGATTTAACTACATGTGTTAATGATTATACTCACACACTGAGCTTGGGCAGCCTGTGACGGGTGGAGGAGAATGAAGAACAAGCAGATCAGCTCCCAGGCCCAGCAAGTCCTCCGTATGCTGGCATTGATGACTTGATTGAGAGAGTGACAAATGCAGTATTACAAAAGTTACAAAATACACAATTCAATGATAATGCAGGTACTGGAAATGTTTCATTGCCTGGAACAGCCTCAGCTGTACAGGGGTCAGTTGTCGCTGAACCAGTCATCAATAAGTTAAGTGGTTCTCAGGTTAATACTTCTGAAATTTTAAGTAGTTCAGATCAGGCTAGCACATCAGCTGCAACTGTACAGGGGTCGACTGCGACTGTACTGGATAGCTTGTCAAGAAGCACTAGTTTAATGTCTAAGCCAAAAGATATTTTTGTGTCATCAGACATTCCCATTGACATGTCAGTTTCTGATAGGCTAAAAAGAAAAATATGGGCCCATGAATATGTCGATTTTGGATTGCTCGCAGATAATAAGAAAGACCATGACAGTTTCCATCTATGCCTTTCAACTGACATGGCATCATCAAATGACCAACCACTCATCACATTGGAGCCAAAGTCAAAGTCAAAACATATCAATTCAATTGAAATGTGGGTCACAGCCTACCAAATCTTTGTGGGTGTCTACACATAGAGATATCCTGTTGAAGCCCCCTTTTTAATGAAGTATAGTGAAACTATTAGGGATTTGGCAGCTTGAGGATATAACTGGCGATATTATGACGAGAACTTTCGATATCTCTGACAAAAAGACCCCAAAGCATATTCTTGGGGTGCAGTGCATTGGGAGTTGTGGATTAGATCGCAGCCACCCAGAAATAATAATTATTCACAGATAAAGAGATTTGAGGATGAATCGACGTCAGGCTTTTGAGATCCCAAAGGTTATTGCTGGAAGTATCATAAAGGCTTAAAATGTGTTGGATGTAATTTTAAGCATTCATGCCCATTACGTCAAAAGACTCATCAAATGATAAATTGTTATAATTTTCGTAACTTCACTGGAAAACCTGTTGCTGCCAATCCTACCACTGCCAACACCAGTAAAGGTAAACCGACTTGAGTTTTTGCTAGAAGGGTACGACTTTCAAAAGCGAATGTTTTTAATTGATGGATTTAAGTATGAATTTCATCTCTTTCCTGTTGGTCAAAGTAGATCTTATGAATCTCCTAATTTGTTATCTGCACGACAACAGCCCCAAGTAGTTGATCAAAAATTGGCTAAGGAGCTGGAAGCCCATAGGTTGGCTGGACCTTTTGATACACCACCCTTTACTGTTTTCAGAGTGTCACCCCTGGGTATTGTTCCAAAGAAAACCCCAGGGGAATTTCGTCTGATCCATCATCTTTCATATCCCAAGGGTAAATCAGTAAATGATGGAATATCTCATGAACATTCCAGTGTTCAGTATGCTAATATTGACCATGCTATTAATACGATAAAATAGTCATGATCAGGTGTCAGTTCTTATTTGGCTAAAACCGATATTAAAAGTGCTTTCAGGATTTTACCCATTAATCCTCAAGATTATCATCTTTTAGGCATCAAGTTGAGTGGTCAATATTATGATAAATGTATGCCTATGGGGTGCTCCAGCTCATGTAAAACCTTCGAAACTTTTAGTACAGCTGTTGAGTGGATTGCACAGGATAAGCTCGGTATAGCTAACCATATTCACTTGCTAGAAGATTTTCTCCTCATTCAGACAATAGAAAGTCAGTGTTCAAGAAGTCTCGGACTCTTCTTAGAATTATGTGATTTTTTAGGCATTCGCATGGCACCTGAAAAAACATTTGGCCCATCTACAATTTTGACATTTGCGGGTGTGGAACTAGACACTATCCATTGTGAATCACGCTTACCTGAAGATAAATTATTGAAATGTAAACAATTGATTGCTGAATTTATCAAAAAGAAGAAGGCAACATTGAGAGAGTTGCAGTCACTTACCGGGGTACTAAATTTCCCTTGTTCAGTGGTTGTTCCAGGCCGTTGCTTTTTAAGACGGCTTATTGACTTGACAATTGGCCTCAAAAGACTAGGTCATTTTGTCGTGTTTCCAAGGAGGTGAAGGCTGATTTGTTTACTTGGCAACAGTTTTTTCAAGAATACAATGGTAAATCATTTTTTCTTAATGAGAAATGGGAAAATAGTGAGAGCCTACAGTTATTTACTGATGCAGCAGGGGTGCACGGTTTTGGAGCTATATTTGGTTCTCACTGGTACTATGGTGAATGGCCTAAGGAATGGTTGGGTCAAAATATTGCAATTCGGCAATTTTACCCAATTGTTCTGAGTTTAATGTTGTGGAGTGACCATATTAGGGACAGGTGTATTACATTCTTTTCTGATAATGAGGCATTAGTACATGTGATAAATAAGTCTACCTGTAGAGATACTTCTTTAATGATTTTTGTTCGTAAACTTGTGCTAGTTTGTTTAAGGCACAATATTTTGTTTAAAGCCAAGCATATTTCGGGTTTTAAGAGCGAATCCATGCAAAAATCGACCAAAATCGCCGATTCGTGGCAAGGCTCAAAAAATCAAAATCGCTCTTCTTTTGCAGACTGGTAGACATTAGTAAGTATACAAACGCTATGTAGTTTTTTCTTCGAAAGATCTGTTCGTTTCCGAGAAAAACGAAAAAAACCGTTTCAAGCCCCACCGTCGATTTCGCAAGCCAAAAACAAGGTTGAAATTCATCATGATTCGCTGGACTCGCGTTCCAATACAGCCGCGCTAGGAAAAAAACGTATTGCTAAAATTTTAAGTTTAACTCGTCGTTGATCAAAATGTATAATATTTTTAGCATTACAACAGTCTAAGTAATTATAAAAAAGCTAAAGCGTACGACTACCTGATGGTTAGCCACGAAAGGGCGTTGAAAACAGCGACGATTTTCATCATGTGCCTTTGATCAGAATTTTTTCAGATTGCAGGCAAATACACTACAGGCATCAAGCTATTATGTTATGCAAAATTTTTTTGGGGGAAATCATTTTGAACTTCTCAGAAATTATTTGAAAATCGTTTTACAGACAACATAAAGTAACGCCATCTTTAACATATGCGTGACCATCGTCAGTCGACCAGGCAAAGGTCATGAAACGTCTCTCGGAAAAAGTCTTGGTAATATTCACGCACAAAGTTCTAAATGTTAAAGTACTCACCCTGTTCTTTGTTTCAGGTCTAGTTTTACGGCAAAATGTAAAATGTTTCCCTTTGCCATCTGTTCAAATTTGCCATTCTATATTAAACTCTGTTTGGGACTCATAACCGACACGCATGCTTTCTAACGAAGTTCGTTTAGTAAACACGTAGTAAACCCTCTCTTCCTTATCTGTCAACAACTTTTGTCTCAAAATGCTGCTAGAAACCGCAGAAGGAAGCGCCAATCTGAAGGATAAAGCGCCCATGCGAACGTTTTGTGACTCAGTATGCAAATTACTTTCAACAGTAATATCAGATTACAGCTGTCAAGATCCCGGTGCCCGGGGTCTGGATCCGCTAAAAGCAGGCGAAAAGCAAACGTACAACCTGGTATAATATAAAATTTTTGAAAATGAAGAATTTAATTGTTAGCCTCAATGAAGATTTTCATTGCTTCGAGACGTGGGCATTACCAAATCAACAGATGTCTTAACAAAAAATTGTGTACATGTTTTCTTCCCATCTTCACAGATGGAACTTCCAGTTGTTGGCTGCACGTGGGCAATCCTGGCCTGCACGTGCGGTATTTCAGAGTGCCTTCTTAAAGGGAACCTCCACTCTTACTACAGAATAAGTTTAAATCAAATAAAATTATGTTGATAAACAAATTTGTTCGAAATTTGTCTTAAAAAAAGTGTTTATATCAGGAAAAGTGAATTTTAAAATCGCTTATTTTCACTTTCAAATTTCGCGGGCGCCCCCATCTTGAATAATTGTGACGTGTTACGGTTGCTCTATTGTTCTGACACAAAGAGCTTTTGTTTAATAACAATAGGGCAACCATTACACGTCACAATTATTCAAGATGGCGTCGCCCGCAAAATTTGAAAACAAAAATAGGCGAATCTGAAAGTTATTTCTTTCGGATACAAACGCTTTCTTTAAAAATATTTTAGATTGACTTGACTGTAACAGTTATTTCCTGTGATTTAAAGTTATCTTTCTGTTGAAGTGGAGGTTCCCTTTAATATATGACAAATGTAATTTCTGCTGTGCTAAATGCCACTTTTCGTGAATTGAAACAAACATTATTGGGGGGGGGGCGGGCGAAGTACAAAAAATATATATATTCGCGCAAGGGAAAATTAAATGAAAAAAATTTATGCACGCCGATTAACCCGAAAAAATATTCATGCTACGGCCTAAAACTGAAATTCATGAAGGAATTTGATAACGAAAAAAATTTCCGCGGCACAAAAATTCCCCCGCCATAACTATTCTAATGGTCCGTCCCTAATAGATAAGATTTCTCTTCGTGATCCCCAGTGTCCTGCGTTCTTGTAACATTCTGCAAGCGCATCTGCTACTGAGCTTGAAATCAATGGCTTCGTCATTGGCCATTTCCCCACACATTGGCTTGAATAAGGAACAAGTCAGTCGTTTGAAGTAAATGTAAAAAAAAAATAAATAAAATGAAACGACAACAACAAATGCCATCAGAAATGGACTATGATCTTTAAATTTAAAATATATATATATTTACTCTGGGGGAAATCGCGCTTAATTTCAAACTAAGAGAAAAAGTGAAAGGTTTATTTTCTCGGACAGATTAGGTGGATTGGTGCCGTACCCTGGAGACTCTGGGTTATCTAAGAGAGTTGACAACTATGATAAACTTTATACAGTATTCGTGGATTGAATCTAAGTGACTTATTAGAATATAATACAGTGAATAAACCAAGAGTACCTGAACCTGAAGGAATGAGGATACCGGTTTGCTGATAGATATATTCTGAAATGTTCTTCCTCTAACTCTTTTGTCGGCTTTAACAGGTTTCCCTCTTCTTTCAATTATGTGATTGGCGTTTTCCTGTGGAACTTGCCACGAACTGGAATAACTGTTCTGTCGCCATCCAATACCGAGCTCAGAACGATGGAAAGGGGATATATTAAAGGAACTTAGGGCGCTTTCCATTTGTCAGAACTGGCCGGCTGGACCTTTGCCTGAGTTTCGCCTAAAAACGTTCTCTTTCGAGCATACCATTGCGGATTTGACTGATCTAGCTGAAGAGTTTGATTAAAAGGGAAATTATCATTGCGACGGGAATGGTCTGGCTGGTCAGTTCTGAGCTAAAATAAAGTCTGTTTCGCTTTCAATACACCAGAAAGAGACCATGTCAACCTATGCCCAGTTACGTCCTTAATAGTTTGACAGCGACAAAGGAACAATCTCAGTTGATCTCTGCTTATCCCTCTTCTATCAAACGAACACAGAGTACCTACTAATGACTCGAAGGAGCACGAACCTTCGATAGCTTCATCGAAGAAGAGCGCCCACAAACAGTGTTTTTGCAAAGATCTTTTTTCTTTTTCAAGTGGGAATGAATGGTTGAATCAAAATAAACTAAATTTAATTCGATAATGTTAATCAAATGCCTAAAATGTCAAAATATTAAAGATAATTCTCAGGTAAAATAATGTCAACTGCAGTATTTTTGAAGAAGGAGGAGTATAAAAGATGAATCTTCTTCAGTGTACTGGAAGTAACGGGCGAAAGTCGGTGAAGCTCGTCACGTGTATACTCGGCACCGGAAGTAGACCCTTGGCACACTCCTATGCAAATCAGATTACCTTGAAGTGAACGGATCCACGAGCAAGCAACTTCGCTTTGTTGACAATTAAACTACCGAACTTTGTTTTATAGACGGCTTTTTTAAGGTCCAGGGTTCTCAAAATTTTTAACAAGCATGAGATGTTAACTTGAAAACATTAGAGAAAACAGAGGGATGAAGAAATTACCAGAAAGCTGTCACGCTCCTCCAACGGACACATTCCAGCGGACTTCACGACTACGGTAAGATAGGTGATAAGGCGGCAAAATGAAACAACTTGGAGCTTGAAGTACAACAGATACAGGTTAAGGTGAGCTTTTTTAAAAAGTTGTTCTATATATCAAGGCTACCAGCGTTGTAAAAGGAAACCTAAAGTCAAATTGTTGGTGGTGGTTGTGTGACTCGTGTGTTGGATGCCGTTATTTTATGTTGTCTGTAACACGAATTTCAAATTATTTCTGAGAAGCTCAAAATGATTTCCCCAAAATAATTTTAACATAACATAATAGTTTGATGCTTGTAGTGTTTTCCCCTTCAATCTTGAAAAATTCTGATCAAAGGCACATGACGAAAATCGTCGCTTTTTTCAACTACCTTCCGTGGTTGAACAACAGGTAGACATACGCTTTAGCTTTTTTATAATTACTGAGACTGTTGTAATGCTAAAAATATTACATATTTTGGTCAACGACTAGTTATACTTACAATTTTAGCAACAAGCTTTTTTCTAGCGCGGTTGTTTTGAAATGCAAGTCGAGCGAATCATAGTGAATTTCAACCCTGTTTTAGGCTTGCGAAATCGACCGCGGGGCTTGAAACGGTTTTCTTGTTTTTCTCGGAAACGAACAGATCTGTCGAAGAAAAAACTACATGGCGTTTGTACACTTACTAAAGTCTATCAGTATGCCAAAGAAGAGCGATTTTTATTTTTTGAGCCTTGCCGCACTTTGGTCGATATTTGCATGGAGTTGCTCTGAAGAACACTCTTGCGGATGCACTGTCTCGTTTGCAGATCGAGCGTTTCAAGAAACTAGCACCAGCTTACATGGATCCCATGCCAACAGCAATCCCATCCCATCTACTCCCGGTAAACTGGCATCAAAAGTTCATGATCTTCTATTCGCTAGTTTACAGACGTCTTTAGTACCAACGTACCGTAGGGCATGGAGGCTTTATGAAGAATTTCAAATAAGTGTTTTACAGAGCTCACACATTCCTTTACCAGTGTTGCTGGCCACATTGGCATTGTTTGTTGCACATTTATTTGATCGTAGATATGCTTCCTCCACCGTAAATAGTGATGTTTCTGCCCTTGGGTATTTCCATCGCTTAGCGGGTCTACGGGATCCTACCAAAACATTTTACATTATTGAGATGCTTAAGGGGTATGGTAAGATTGGTTACAAACTGGACTCAAGGTTGCCTATTACCCTCCCCATTTTAGTTCGCATCATGAAAGGTTCAGATATTTTTTTGTGTTTCTCAATATGAATTATTTATGTTTAAGGCCATGTGTGCTATGGCATTTTTTGCATTTCTTCGTATTGGTGAAATCACAGTGTCAAAGCGAGACAGCGTCAATGGTAACCTTTTACAACTGGATCAAGTTTCTAAAAAACATAGTGGGAATGGCAATGTGGTTTCCTTGATAATTACATTCACAAGCTATAAACATAATTACAATCAAAATCCTTTTTCTATAGTTTTGAATAGACAACCTAAAGCATGTCCCTTTCAATCATTCTTGGATTGTGTTTCTGTTCGTGGCATAGTACATGGCCCACTTTTTATTAATCACGATGGGTCCCCAGTTTTAAGAAGCGAGTTTAGTAAAATGCTTGGCTCAGTTATTCCGCTATGCAACTTAGATCCCAACAGATATAAAGCACACAGCTTTAGGATTGGTGCTGCTACTTATGCGGCTGAACAAGGGGTTTCCGATGACAAGATTAGGCTCTTGGGTAGATGGAAATCTGATGCTTTCAAAAAGTATACTAGAATAACCTCTCAAGAATCTGTTTCGTAATTGAATGTGTCAGAGGTTGTGATGTTGTTGCTTGCAGGGGCGGCACAACGTTGGAACCGCACTATTGATTTGATCTGAACAGATTATGCAGGATGCTATTTTGTAACATTAAATATTATGTAATACCTTTACCCAGAATGAAATTCGTGCTTGGGTGGGGCGTGCCCTTGCTTTGCAAGGTCTTTGGCGGTTGATTGCCCTCACCTTCGCCAGCAATACATGTTTAATGAAAGTTTCAGTTTGTATTTGTATTGGATTTTCAGAGTTTAATAAACCGGCTATGTGCAAAATTTCACATAGCCATTTTTTCTCCATCATGTTGGTTTGTATTGCCTTTCCGAACAGAGCACAGCACATATTTCATTCTCAGTAAGGTTTGCCATTTTGTGGGTAGATTGAAGCATAAAAAGCTCTTTGGTAAAAATGATTGATTGCCCTTGAGCGACTAAGTGGACAAGCCAAATTATATCTTGAAATAGAAACTATTTAAACAAAGTTACCAATTTTCTTTAATTTCCGAAGACAAAAATATAACGTTAATAAACCATCAAGTGCTTGAGCTGAAATAATGATTCAAGTGAGGTTATTGTTCCAATAGAATTCAAAATTGTTGGAAGCTTCAGGATCGCATTGAAGCGTGTAAATTTTTAAAATGTTGTTGTTTAAGAAATCATTATTTAGTAGTGCCATAAATTGAGTGCTATATAAATACAACCATTTTATGCAAATAACATGAACATTATGAGCGGTGGTTCAGTTTCCTTTGTCTATCTCTCCAGACAAGCTCTTTTTTTTACTATAGTGTTCATCAAGAGCCATAATGGGACATTATGGCTCTTGTGTTCATGCAATCCCATCATAATCCTTTCACTCACGCGAGCGCCCTGATCGAAATTCAAGAAAAATGTAGTTTTGGATTCAATTTGCCAACAAACTGAAAAACAGAAAATGCACGCTGAATGAGTACTGTTGTACTAGAGAACTTTCATGGTCACAAATTAGATTTTCGTCTACGGAAGAGTTAGGTCCACCTTGTGGCGCATAAACAGAACTAAACTTAGCTCCTCACCTCAGTAGCTTCCATAAAATGGTCATTCTTTTACGAATCGAACATAAACGTTAGAGCACCCTTCTACAGCATAAACAGTATCACAGGGAAGTTCAGCTCAGAAGAACTCAAATTTTTAAGCTGCATCATATCATCAAATTTTGCTCATAGACCCAAACCTTAGTCGAAGAGCAAAAGTTTTACATTTTTATAAGTGACTTTTAACCTTAAAGAAGATGAAGCGGTTTTAACTGCCGGTGGCTGCAGATTCACAGTCTACTTGGCAGATTAACCTGTTGTATATATATATCTGGAAAAACTAAAGCTGTCCCGAACATAGAGAAGAAGAGATGCTATAGTTTATCATCGTTTTCGCCATTTCACCCGCTTACACACCTCGCGCCAGTTGCTTACACAGGTGAATAAATTAATGCTATCTACCAGATAAATCAATAAGCTTTTAGGGAGCGTTTTCTCCAATGATTGGCGAGCCAGCCACTCAATGTGAGGGAAGGGCTGAGAAGTTTTAAACCCATCCTCATCTCCCCGAAGACTGCCCGCAAACCAGACATTGCGCCATTCTCCTTTCGGCTACTGGAATTTACAGTATTAGAGACCTTAAAAATATATACCGTTTCCATGTATTACTCATAATTGTAGCTGTGATAGATTTCCTAACCCCAGTGTAACAACTCCTAGAGGCCAGAGCGCTGTTGGTGTCATTACTAGACGTATAGGAAATCGTGGTAGCCAAGGTGACAAACCCTTCGGGCCTCAGTTTGGTTTAAAAATGAGGGGGGAACCGGGCACCCCGGGCCCCTACCTTGGATCCGCCACTGGTTCTATCAGGAGGCCGCGAGACTTTCCTGCAAATTTTTGCAAGACGTGAACAAAAAATGAACCCGTTTAGGTACAAATGTCCTATTACAGCACACATGATGACCAAGTACTCTCTTTTTTTATATAAGAATGTTGTTTTTCAGGCCCAGGCTGGATATTCTTATTTTTCTGTCGATCTTATAGGCTGAAACTATTCTTGTAATTATTGTTAAATTATAGTTTATGACATTTTCGTTCCAGCATACATGCATTAGCGTATCAATTAACGCTAATGCAGGTTTTTTCGTTTTGTTTTGGCATAGTTTTGCCGTTTAGAAAAAGGAATCAGTTCAAAAGGTATATTTGTACTATATTTACAGATTTTCCACACGCAAAACACGCGAAAACAATATACTTTTCGAAATCTCAGCCTGGAGTTTATTCTTGAAATATTCTTAAATTTTCGCAAATTTCAGCCTCGATATTCTTATAAAATATATTCTCATAAAATAAAATAGTGTACTTAGGCATAACACTTTATCATTAATGTTGTTATACTACTACATGAGAAATTTCTTCAATTTGATTGGCTTAGAGCAGTGGTATTTCAGCTTAATTTGAAATACCTACATGTGAAAATTACAAACCTTTAGCGGGTAGTAGCATAAACAAATAATAGCATGATTTGTACGTGATATTTGACATAAATACCACTCGTGATATTTCAAAATTGTCTCAAATTTCACTCGCCTAACGGCTCGTGAAATTACGTATAACAATTTCGAAATATCACTCGTGGTATTTATGCCAAATATCACTACAAACCATGCTATTACCTATACAAATCAGGGCTTATGATAGGAAATCACAAAATTAGAGAATTTTGTCATAATAAGGATAGACTGCGAGCAGTCCCTCTTCAGGCAGTCGAGTCTAAGCTCGGCAGGACTGGAGAGAGCAAAATGGCCGAGAGGGAAACTGGAGAAAGGCGCCTCCTCCCCAGCTTTCCCTCGGCTTCTTGTTTTTTACTTTCGCTCGCTTCGCTCAATTTCCTCGCTCGCGTGACCATCCTGAGGGACTGCTCGCAGTCTAATCAATTAGCGTCTATTAGATCATGTACGTTATGTTCGCCTTGACAGCAAAATTTTCAAAGCGAAGTACCAAGAATTTGTCAAGTGCAGGCAGCTAATGGCGGACTTGTAGGGAAGAACTTGAATTGTCATGAGAAAGGCTACAGATAACGACCAAATTAAACAAAAGCACTTACTTCTCGCGATGAAGAAATGACTGACTGAGGACGGAGTAGTTTTGGGCTGATACAATTCAAAATCACTTCTTTACACTCCCAAACATTGACAGTCCACTAGTTTCATGGAGGATGAAAGTCATAACCTGACCAATTTTTGTATGTGTTGTCAATTTGTGGTCTCTTACCACCTAAGAGACTACAAAAACATTTAACCTTATTCACGCTGTTTACTATATTTTCGACGCTTAATACAAGAAGCTGTCAACCATTTGCGTCTCGACGTAATAAAGGTATCTAGTGCGTTGCTAAATAATTGTCGGCTTCTATTATAATAAACAATAATAGCATGAACTGTACGTGATATTTAGGAATTGACTGATGCTAGCTTTGGCGTGCAAATATCGGGTTAGGATGCACCCGTGAAGTTTGGAGAGTTCGAGAGTAGCGTATGAGTTACTCGAGGTGTAAGTGACAGCAACTCTAGCCATGTTCTTGAGAGCTACCCAAACTTCCTGAAAGCACCAATAACTTGCACTGGACCAAAAAAAAGAATTTGTACAAATTTGCTCCTTGCAAAGATAGTAAAATAATGCCACATTTGCATACCAAAAAACAGTCAGTATAATAAAATAGGGTAGCTTGAGAGATCGTAGTTAAGATCCAAGGTAAAAACGCGATGACTGACAAGTTTTCCTGGTGCCTCGTTCTTAAGCGGAACGCAAATTGCCAGATCTTTTAGATGAATTCAAACACCACTGGTTTCCTGTTGCGAACAGTTGTCGACCTCGTACCCTTGGTTGATCAAATCGCGAAAACTGGTCAACACCACACCACCGCCAAATTTCTCCACTTCAGATTCCCCACTTATTGATCGCAGTCTGTTTTCTTTGGGTAGACCTATCTCTCTTCGTTTCTTACAGAGCCGAGAATTAAAGACACAACAGAATAAAGTAAGAAACTCTTTTCTATATTCCTGGTTTGTGGAGCAATAAATGACGGGATTGATGCACGAGTTAAACATAGCAAGGACGCGGGTAAACCAATGAGAAGGGGTCTCCAATCTAACAAGGCCATAAGAAGATAGGACATAGTAAAGCTGATTTGGAAACCAGCATATTGTGAATAACAGTGCAACTATAACGCACATACGAAGAAGCTTAAGCCGTGCTCGAGTGAAAGGTCCATTATTTTTCATTGCTGGGGATGTCTTAAGCGCAAGGGAAATGTGCAGATACGTAGCCCAGGTAACTACATTTGGAAAAAAGAATGTCACGATTGTGGCTGTCATCGTTGTTAGTTGTTTGGAAAAATCGGACGATATCCACACACATCGCAGGTTTTTTTCATCAAGCGTGATTTGAAACAGTATTAATGAATGCAATAAGAGACAGGTTATCCATATGATTACAAGATACACATAAACTCTTCGTCTTTTAAACTTGAGTCGATATTTGACAGGCTTAACCACAGAATACCATCTTTCCAGAGCAAGACAGGTGACCGTGAGACAGGAAACTTTACCAAGTAGAAACACGAAGTAACTGGAACAAATGACTTTGCAGAAAATTACCCCAGGTAATCCGCCAGGAACTTGGTAGAATCCCAAGGGGACAACGTAGTTTGGCGTCACACCAATAAACACTCCTTGAAAATAAAAAAGAAATAAAATATACAATATTCGTATTCCCGACGGTCCTGGGACGAGTAGGTCTTGAATGCGAGGCTAATGCGTGGAAATTCTCACTAAGAGGACAAACAAACATGAGAAAACTATGGCTGAGTTGTGAGAATAAAGGGAAATGTTTAACGTTGGAACATTCCGGAGAGCTTACAGTCTTAAGGAATCATTATTTTAAATAACAAAAGAAAGAGCTGCTCGTCATTGCAGACAAAAACAGCGAGCCTTACCAGATATTGATGGAAAGAGTGGTTGGTGAGCGCTTTTGTAAGTGAAAATCAAATGAGAAGATGGTCTCAAAATCCATCAATCCCTACTACTTGCAAAGACTGTGGGCATCCTAAATAAGGTCTACCGCATGACTGTTTAAAAACTAGTGACTTCCTTAAGAAACTCTATTTAATGGCAATAAAATAGTGTGTCGGTCATATAATCCTAATTTGTGTTTGCATGCATGCTACAACTACGGTATTATCTACAGTGCGTCTCTTCAAAGTAGGAAACCACTTCAAAGACGCTTTAAACTTTCACACTCGTCACCAAGTGTAACCTGATTGGCAATTCATGTATGGAGATCTTAATGTACAATAGTTTCTCACTCACACTAGGAAAAGACTGATTTGATTTCTAAAAACGTTTACCTGTTATCATGTCTGTCACAGCCAGGCTGAATATCAGCAAGTTATATGCAGATCTGAGCATCCGATAATTCTTCAGCATAAGAATGCAAAAAAGACCGTTGCCAATAAAAGCCAGGGCAGCAATAAAACCAAACGCTACTGGCAGCAGGTAGGAATAAGCTACAGCTGAGGTGGGAGGCGTAGTCGGTGTCGATATATATGTCAGATATCTTGGAGCGCTTTTATTGTTTAACATCTAAAGACAACACCGTAAAAATAGAATAAAATCAGTAGCAATCGCAAGGCGGAATACAGAGGACATTGTAATTGGAACCGTCTTATTTTAAGCGAGTGGGAACTGAAAATGATTTTTATTATCTACTCAAAATATTTCCCTGTTTCTGATTGGCTTAAATCCCCAGGTTGATTCTTCATAATTCAGTTAGCTACCGTTGACACGCAAATTTGGAAGAAGTTTGCCGATATTCAAGGCAATACAATTTGACATCAATTGTGTAGTATCAACAGAAAAAGGGACAGCAGAGGGCAAGGTAGAAAGTTAGGTCAGCTGTCTTGGTAGAGCTTAAGAAAAAGTTGGAAAATTTCACACGTTTTGCAAAGAAGAAATAGCCTAACTATTTCCCAGAAATGTAGCAAGAACAGCAATTAATACATTTAGCACTGGACGGATGACAACCTCTATTTGAAGAAAATCTGCTTGTGAAAATTAAAAACCATTTATATCCTAAATTTGCTGAGTTACGGATATGCAGACTTTACTTCGATCGAGGAAAGCGTGTTTTGAAGTTGGAATAATTAGTTTGAATGAATGATGAAACAATTACGGAATTTGGCTTTCGTATGATATGAAGAATTATGCCAATCGTTGAGATTTAGTGTTATCTGCCGAGGAGACTTGATTGGTTAATAGTAGTGTCCGAAAGGTATTAGTAGTATTTCAGCGTAATATTGGTATAACAGCAAAAACGGATGACAACAAACAATAGCAATTTAGAGTAAAAAAAATCCTAAGACTTGGATGAATGTTTGGGAGAGGCGTTGGCCAAAAGAAAGAGTATTAACAACGACAGTGTGTGTGGATACGAAGCCAAGGAGCTTGCAATTTGCAAAGTGACGGCTCTAACTATATATTGAGCTGGATAGTCTGAGGGTTCCCGTAAATAATCTAATTGACGCCCCCACTTCTTAAGATGTTAATTATTAAGTTTGTTATAATAAGACGCCCCAAACTAAGAAAACGTCACCGTCTGGAAGACGCTCCCATGGCAATTACTGAAAATAAGAGGAAATAACAAAAAGGAGCAATATTTTGCAAATTATTTGTTTCGTTCTTGCTTAGTTAAGGGGGGTTTGGACTTTGCATCTTGTTTAAAGCCGTGTTTAAAGTAAGGATAGGCTAACGATGACACTGTAGCAGTTGACATTTGACTGAAAGCGATATGGTCTCTTGACGGCCTACACATTTCAATGACTGGAAGAATATATATTGTGCTATTTGTAAATTCTCTTGGCATTTTCGCTGAAATCATATTAGTTTTGTAGAGCTTGTCACAGCAGTGCCGGATCCAGACTTTGAAGTAAGGGGGTCGGTTATCCAGGCCCCTCCCATGTATCCGCCATTGCACAGTGGTATGAGAAAAAACGCCTCCTATCTATTAAACGCTCATTCTTGGACCCCTAAGATTGAATATAAACTCCCCCTGCATCTGGATCATTTACGGTATATTTGCTCCAGGGGAGGGGGGCACTCCCTTATTTTGCCTATACGGGTATAGGTGCCGCTGAAAAGGGTATGGTTTCCAGGGTCTTGAGTCTTAAACAGGGTATATAATTTCATTATTTAGCGTCTTTAACAGGGTGTCTTTTTAGACCGGAAGCCGGAGATCGATTTATGGTAGACAGGCAATATGACAGCAAAATTTGCATAGCGAACCAAGAATTTGTCAAGTTCAGGCAGAAGGGAAAGGCAAGAGGTCTTCGCGAGAAAGGCTAAAGAAAACGACCAAATTCAACAAAAGCACTCAGGGCACTTACCATTCAAGATGAAGAAATGAAAAAGGTAGGTAGTTTTCGGCGATATTAAATCACTTCTTTATAATCCCACACGCAAACATCAACAGTCCACCACTTTCATGGCTGCTAAGTGACAATAATGTCTAATTACGGAGCTGGCGTTGGTGTTTTACAAAGAAAAAACTTGGCGAGTCAAAACTTCAGTACTTTTTGTATGTGAAGTCAATGCGTGATCTCTTACCACTGCAGTTACTGCAAAAACATTCAACCTTTTTTCATGTTGTTTGCTACATTTTCGACGCTTAATACAAGAAGCTGTCAATCATTTGCCTATTCTTGACGTAAAAAGATATTTTGAATGAAGCACCACTTTGGTAAGAGTTTTTTCATTCAACTAGAACAAAATAAAGGTATCTTGAACGTTCTATGATAAATATATAATAGCATGCATGAACTCTACGTGGTTTCATGCTTAGATTGCGTCAGCTGTTGCGTATATCTACGTACCACGTACCACGTACACAACTAGACTCTCGCCCAGTCCCTTTTGGCTAAAAGAGTTTTTTGTCCATACGCACTCACTGTCACCGAAAACTTGACGGATCTTAAAGAAAAGGCGGACTTCAAGCAGTCTACCACTGAGAGGACCTTTTTGTAGTTGTGTTTATGAGTAATAAATGTTGTGTTACTTTATGAGTTATAAATTTATGTCCTGGTAAAAGCTCATGCTCGCTTTGTTTCGATCCTGCAAGAGAAATTTTCCCTCCAGTGATTGTTCGTTTATAACGAAAGTGCGTAGCTTTTCGCCATTAATTAACTTGATTTCAAAGGGCTAAGCAAACGTTAAAAAATTAGGACACTATATAATCGGATGTTCCCCGACCGATATGAGCTTGCGGTTTTTATTTCCAACTGAATGTCATTCTTTGAATGAGAATTTTTCGACAGGGCGTCTGGTAATTTGCTAACATTTCACCGCTTTTGCTGTTGGTTTGAGTGGCTAGAAGCTGTCAATTCCAAAAATCCTAGAAAGTTCTTTACTATTTTGTTCGATTACTTATAGACTTTGTTGAAAGTTAGAGGCGAAAATCAAAGTTTAATAAACACAATTAAACACGTCATCTTATATACGCACGTCCGTGCGCATGTAAGACACCGTTATGACGACATCATAACGGGATTTTATGGCAAGGCATTTGATAATGGTTTGCAGGCTAAGGCGGCAGGTTCCAAGCCTATCTTATTTCCAGCCAATCAGAATTTAGGGCGTTCCGGACTATATCGTTCTTAGGCGCGCTTTTCCATGCGCTCACCCCTTTCGATCGCTCACCATCACGTTGTTCACATCGCTTGTTTGAACTGATTTTTAGCATTTTCCACCACCTCCCCTTCCGCCTGCCTGCGAATTAATTCCTAGTGTGTTTCTCTTTCTTGTCTTAGTGGGTGGCAGTTTTTTCCCCCACCTTTGCTGGAGAGATATTTTGTTTATTATATATTGGCAGATATAAGTTCGTCACCTTTGGTGGCCAAATTTTATCCAGCCAAATCCGACTCTATGTTTATCTCCTCAGCAAACAAGTGCGCCGCCACGCAGACCTCTTGTTCACGCAACGCAAAGTATTCAGCGTCCTTCTTACCCAAAAAATGGCTTGATATAAAAAAGAATTTTATCGCATCGACTCGAAAGGACGAAGATAGGGCAAGCACGCGCACCATGTTATAATTGGCATTAATACCGGCTTGTGATATGTCAAAATTGCCCAAAACACCACTTGCCACTTCGCGGGTACTATTATTTTGGACAATTTTAAAATATCATTCGTAGTATTATTGCCAAATACCACTAAAGCTTATACTATTAACTGTACATATACAAATGAAGTCCCATAATTTCAACTTTTTTCAGTACCGACTAGAATAGATTTTAAAATGTTATTTTTATAACACTGCCATTTCTGATATTACTTTTTTAAGTTTACACTGTCTCTTTCAAAGCCGCAGGTATGTGTACCACAAGACTTTTACTAAAACGGGGAAAGCGGATTGGGGAGCGAGTCACTGGGAACGGAAAAATGAAAAACGGGAATAAAACACGAAATTGTAAAAGAAGGAACTGATAGGGTAAGGGTTTGATGTAGATTTGTATTCAGTTTACTTAATACAGACTGCATGTATTTAGATCTTTTATATCTGATGCAAGACACTTGACCTCATTTGCGTACTCCATAAATTGGCGGATGTTAACGATGAACTTGAAATATTGTACACCATGACAATACTCTAAATGCAAAATAAAATAGTCCGCGTGAATTTAGTCACTAAAATAGTACTTAGTCTGGTTTTTACGGATGTTAAGTAAAAACGAAAAACCTAGAAAGGGGAATGGGAAGCGAAAAAAAGAAAAAAGTAGAGAAAATTAACTCGGTCATAATCGGCTGTTAAGTGTTATTCACTGAATTGCGCCTGTTCATAATGGAAACATTGTTGATGCAGACGCTGAACTTCCTTTAGTTCAAGCTGGAGTTTCAGTGATAAAAGTCTGTTGGAGTAGACACCAGCTGCAGACATTTCGCTTTATCTTTTCAGGAACAAAATGTCCGGCTCATTATATAATAAAGGATAATAAAAAGTTTAAGCCATTCAAAAAATATACGCAGTCTGCATGCAACTCATAAACCGCAGTTATAAACAAGATACGATGAAGGTTTTGCCGACATGTTGAATCAAGGAAATGTCACGTGGTCGCGTATCGACCAATCAGTCATTTTTCGCCAGCAGGGGCCCATGGGTTCCTATCGCCAGGAATGAAGCTAGGGACCACTTTCCCCGAGTACGCGCACTTACCACCTGTTGAACTAACGCTGACTGTAAAACCGCAGTCCGCTTCGTCTACGTCAGCCGGAAGCTTAGCGAAAGTGTAACAAGTCTGACCACAGCTGAAAAGACTGAAGTGAAGAGAAAAGCCAGTTAACCGATTTTTCAAATAAGCTCACTGCAAACACCACTGGTTTCTTGTTGCTTGCAGTCGTCGACTTCGTACCCTTGATTGACCAAATTACGAAAAGTCAACATCACACCACCGTCAAATTTTTCCATTTCAAATTCTCCACTTGCTACTCTCAATCTGTTTTCCTGTGCTAGACTTATCTCTCTTCGTTCCTTCCATCGGCAGGAATTAAAGGAAGGGCAAAGTAGCATAAGAAACCCTTTTCTAAATTCCCGGTTTGTGGAGCAATAAATGACGGGATTGGTGCACGAGTTGAACATAGCAAGGACGATAGTGAAGTGATGGAAAGGCGACTCCAGTCTGACAATGTCATAAGACGACAAGGCAAAATAAAGCTGATTTGGAAACCAGCATATCGTTAAAAGCAGGGCTACCATAATACACATGCGCAGAAGCTTAAACCGTGTGCGAGTGAAACGAGCATTATGTTTATTAATTGCTGTAGACGTCTTAAGCGTAAAAGAAATGTGAAGATAAGTAACCCAAGTAACTGCATTTGGAACAAAGAATGTCACGATGGTGAGAGTCATTACTGTTAGTTCTTTGGGGAAATCGGATGTTATCCACACACATCGCAGGTTTTTTTCATCAAGCGTCATTTGAAACGGTATTAATGAATGCAATAAGAGACAGGTTATCCATATGATTACAAGATACACATAAACTCTTCGTCTTTTAAACTTGAGTCGATAATTGACAGGCTTAACCACAGAATACCATCTTTCCAGAGCAAGACACGTGACCGTAAGACAGGAAACTTTACCAAGTAGAAACACGAAGTAACCGGAACAAATGACTTTGCAGAAAATTACCCCAGGTAATCCGCCGGGAACATGGTAGGATCCTAGGGGGACAACGTAGTTTGGCGTCACACCAATAATCACTCCTTGAAAATAGGAAAGAAATATTAATAGACAATATTCGTATTCCCGACGGTCTTGGGACGAGTAGGTCTTGAACATGAATGCGAGGCTAATGCGGGGAACTTCTCACTAAGAGGGAAAACAAACATGAGAAAACTATGGCTGAGTTGTTTAACTATGTTTAACGTTGGAAAATTCCGGAGAGCTTACAGTCTTAAGGAATCATTATTTTAAATTGAGAAAAACAGCGAGCCTAACCTGATATTGATGAAAAGAGTGGTTGGTGAGCGATTTTGCAAATAAAAATTAAATGCGAAGATGGTCTCAAAATCCGTCAGTCCCTACTACTTGCAAAGACTGTGTTTAAAAGCTAGAGACTTCCTTAAGAAAGTCTATTTAATGGCAATAAAATAGTGTGTCGTTCATATAATCCTAATTTGTGTTTGCATAGGAATTTTTTCCTATGCTACAACTACGGTATTATGTACAGTGGGTCTCTTCAAATAGGTAGGAAACCTCTTCAAAGACGCTTTATACTTTCACACTCGTCACCAAGTGTAACCTGATTGGCCATTCATGTATGGAGATCTTAGTGTACAATAGTTTCTCACTCACACTAGGAAAAGACTGATTTGATTTCTAAAAACGTTTACCTGTTATCATGTCTGTCACAGCCAGGCTGAATATCAGCAAGTTATATGCAGATCTGAGCATCCGATAATTCTTCAGCATAAGAATGCAAAAAAGACCGTTGCCAATAAAAGCCAGGGCAGCAATAAAACCAAACGCTACTGGCAGCAGGTAGGAATCAGAGGAATAAGCTACAGCTGAAGCGGGAGGCGTAGTCGGTATCGATATATTTGTCAGGTATCTTGGGAAGCTGTTATTGTTTAACATCTAAAGACGACACCGTAAAAATGGAAAAAAATCAAGAGCAATCGCAAGGCGGAATACAGAGGACATTATAATTGGAACCGTCTTATTTTAAGCGAGTGGGAAGTGAAAATGATGTTTATTATCCATTCAAAATATTTCCCTGTTTCTGATTGGCTTAAATCCCCAGGTTGATTCTTCATAATTCAGTTATCTACCGTTGACACGCAAATTTGGAAGAATTTTGCCGATATTCAGGGCAATACAATTTGACATCAATTGTGTAGTATCAACAGAAAAAGGGACAGACGAGAGCAAGGTAGAAAGTTAGGTCAGCTGTCTTGGTAGAGCTTCAGAAAAAGTTGGAAAATTTCACACGTTTTGCAAAGAAGAAATAGCCTAACTATTGCCTAGAAATGTAGCAAAAACAGCGATTAATACATTTAGCCCTGGACGGATGACAACCTCTATTTGAAGAAAATCTGCTTGTCAAAATTAAAAACCATTTATATCCTAAATTTGCTGAGTTACGGAGATCCAGACTTTACTTCGATCGAGGAAAGCGTGTTTTGAAGTTGGAAAAATTATTTTGAATGAATAATGAAACAATTACGGAATTTGGCTTTCGTATGATATGAAGAATTATGCCAATCGTTGAGATTTAGTGTTATCTGCCGAGGAGACTTGATTGGTTAATAGTAGTGCCCCAAAGGGTAGTATACGTAGGAGTATTTCAGAGTAATATTGGTATAACAGCAAAAACGGATCACAACAAACAATAGCAATTTAGAGTAAAAAAAATCCTAAGACTTGGATGGAGAGGCGTTGGCCAAAAGAAAGAGTATTAACAACGACAGTGTGTGTGAATTCGAAGCCAAGGAGCTTGCAATTTGCAAAGTGACGGCTCTAACTATATATTGAGCTGGATAGTCTGAGGGTTCCCGTAAATAATTGAATTGACGCCCCCACTTCTTAAGATGTTAATTATTAAGTTTCTTATAATAAGACGCCGCGATCTAAGAAAACGCCACCGTCTAATAGACGCTCCCATGACAATTACTGAAAATAAGAGGAAATAACAACAAGGAGCAATATCATGCAAATTATTTGTTTCGTTCTTGAGGGTTTGGACTTTGCATCTTGTTTAAAGTCATATTTAAAATAAGGATAGGCTAACGATGACACTGTAGCAGTTGACATTTGACTGAAAGCGATATGGTCTCTTGACGGCCTATACATTTCAATGACTGGAAGAATATATATTGTGCTATTTGTAAATTCTCTTGGTATTTTCGCTGAAATCATATTAGTTTTGTACAGCGCGTCACAGTAGTGCGGGATCCAGACTTTGAAAGAAGGGGGTTGGTTATCCAGCCCCTTTGATAGACCGGGGGGTCTGGTCTCAAAAAAAGTTTTTTTTGGCCCTTCGGGCCTCAGTTTAGTCTAAAAATAAGAGGGGGGGGGGCCCTCGGGCCCCTCCTCTGTATCCGCCACTGCACAGTAGTATGAGAATAAACGCCTCCTATCTATTAAACGCTCATTCTTGGACCCCTAAGATTGAATATAAACTCCCCCTGCATCTGGATCATTTACGGTATATTTGCTCCAGGGGAGGAGGCACTCCCTTATTTTGCCTATACGGGTATGTGCCGCTGAACAGGGTATGGTTTTCGGGGTCTTGAGTCTTAAACAGGGTATATAATTTCATTATTTAGCGTCTTTAACAGGGTGTCTTTTTCGACCGGAAGCCGGGGATCATTTACGGTATATGAGACGTCTGCACGAAGGCAACTCTAGACAGATAAAATGATAGCAAAATTTGCATAGCGAAGCAAGAATTTGTCAAGTTCAGGCAGAAGGGAAAGGCAAGAGGTCTTCGCGAGAAAGGCTACAGAAAACGACCAAATTCAACAAAAGCACTCAGAGCACTTACCATTCAAGATGAAGAAATGAAAAAGGTAGGTAGTTTTCGGCGATATTAAATCACTTCTTTATACTCCCACACGCAAACATCAACAATCCACCACTTTCATGGCTGCTAAGTGACAATAATGTCTAATTACGGAGCTGGCGTTGGTGTTTTACAAAGAAAAAACTTGGCGAGTCAAAACTTCAGTACTTTTTGTATGTGAAGTCAATGCGTGATCTCTTACCACTGCAGTTACTGCAAAAACATTCAACCTTTTTTCATGTTGTTTGCTACATTTTCGACGCTTAATACAAGAAGCTGTCAATCATTTGCCAATTCTTGACGTAAAAAGATATTTTGAATGAAGCGCCACTTTGGTAAGAGTTTTTTCATTCAACTAGAACAAAATAAAGGTATCTTGAACGTTGCCGACAGTTTCTCGGCTTCTATGATTAATATATAATAGCATGAACTCTACGTGGTTCCATGCTTAGATTGCGTCAGCTGTTGCGTATATCTACGTACCACGTACACAACTAGACTCTCGCCCAGTCCCTTTTGGCTAAAAGAGTTTTTTGTCCATACGCACTCACTGTCCCCGAAAACTTGACGGATCTTAAAGAAAAGGCGGACTTCAAGCAGTCTACCTCTGAGAGGACCTTTTCTTAGTTGTGTTTATGAGTAATAAATGTTGTGTTACTTTATGAGTTATAAATTTATGTCCTGGTAAAAGCTCATGCTCGCTTTGTTTCGATCCTGCAAGAGAAATTTTCCCCCAGGGATTGTTTGTTTATAACGACAGTGCGTAGTTTTTCGCCATTAATTAACTTGATTTCAAAGGGCTAAGCAAACGTTAAAAAATTAGGACACTATATAATCGGATGTTCCCTGACTGATATGAGCTTGCGGTTTTTATTTCCAACTGAATGTCATTCTTTGAATGAGAATTTTTCGACAGGGCGTCTGGTAATTTGCTAACATTTCACCGCTTTTGCTGTTGGTTTGAGTGGCTAGAAGCTGTCAATTCCAAAAATCCTAGAAAGTTCTTTACTATTTTGTTCGATTACTTATAGACTTTGTTGAAAGTTAGAGGCGAAAATCAAAGTTTAATAAACACCATTAAACACGTCATCTTATATACGCACGTCCGTGCGCATGTAAGACCGTTATGACGACATCATAATGGGATTTTATGGCAAGGCATTTGATAATGGTTTGCAGGCTAAGGCGGCAGGTTCCAAGCCTATCTTATTTCCAGCCAATCAGAATTTAGGGCGTTCCGGACTATATCGTTCTTAGGCGCGCTTTTCCATGCGCTCGCCCCTTTCGATCGCTCACCATCACGTTGTTCACAACGCTTGTTTGAACTGATTTTTAGCATTTTCCACCACCTCCCCTTCCGCCTGCCTGCGAATTAATTCCTAGTGTGTTTCTCTTTCTTGTCTTAGTGGGTGGCAGTTTTTTCCCCCACCTTTGCTGGAGAGATATTTTGTTTATTATATATTGGCAGATATAAGTTCGTCACCTTTGGTGGCCAAATTTTATCCAACCAAATCCGACTCTGTGTTTATCTCCTCAGCAAACAAGTGCGCCGCCACGCAGAGCTCTTGGTCACGCAACGCAAAGTATTCAGCGTCCTTCTTACCCAAAAAATGGCTTGATATAAAAAGGAATTTTATCGAATCGACTCGAAAGGACGAAGATAGGGCAAGCACGCGCACCATGTTATAATTGGCATTAATACCGGCTTGTGATATGTCAAAATTGCCCAAAACACCACTTGCCGCTTCGCGGGTACTATTATTTTGGACAATTTTGAAATATCATTCGTAGTCATTGCCAAATACCACTAAAGCTTATGCTATTAACCGTACATATACAAATGAAGTCCCATAATTTCAACTTTTTTCAGTACTAGAATAGATTTTAAAATGTTATTTTTATAACACCGCCATTTCTGATATTACTTTTTTAAGTTTACACTGTCTCTTTCATAGAGCAGGTATGTGTACCACAAGACTTTTACTAAAACGGGGAAAGCGAATTGGGAAGTGAGTCACTGGGAACGGAAAAATGAAAAACGGGAATAAAACACAAAATTGTAAAAGAAGGAACTGATAGGGTAAGGGTTTGATGTAGATTTGTATTCAGTTTACTTAATACAGACTGCATGTATTTAGATCTTTTATATCTGATGCAAGACACTTGACCTCATTTGCGTACTCCATAAATTGGCGGATGTTAACGATGAACTTGAAATATTGTACACCATGACAATACTCTTAATGCAAAATAAAATAATCCGCGTGAATTTAGTCACTAAAAGAGTACTTAGTCTGGTTTTTACGGATGTTAAGTAAAAACGAAAAACCTAGAAAGGGGAATGGGAAGCGAAAAAAAGAAAAAAGTAGAGAAAATTAACTCGGTCATAATCGGCTGTTGAGTGTTATTCACTGAATTGCACCTATTCACAATGGAAACATTGTTGATGCAGACGCTGAAGTTCCTTTAGTTCAAGCTGGAGTTTCAGTGATAAAAGTCTGTTGGAGTAGACACCAGCTGCAGACATTTCGCTTTATCTTTTCAGGAACAAAATGTCCGGCTCATTATATAATAAAGGATAATAAAAAGTTTAAGCCATTCAAAAAATATACGCAGTCTGCATGCAACTCATAAACCGCAGTTATAAACAAGATACGATGAAGGTTTTGCCGTCATGTTGAATCAAGGAAATGTCACGTGGTCGCGTATAGACCAATCAGTCATTTTTCGCCAGCAGGGGCCCATGGGTTCCTATCGCCAGGAATGAAGCTAGGGACCACTTTCCCCGAGTACGCGCACTTACCACCTGTTGAACTAACGCTGACTGTAAAACCGCAGTCCGCTTCGTCTACGTCAGCCGGAAGCTTAGCGAACGTTTAACAAGCCTGACCACAGCTGAAAAGACTAAAGTGAAGAGAAAAGCCAGTTAACCGATTTTTCAAATAAGCTCACTGCAAACACCACTGGTTTCCTGTTGCTTGCAGTCGTCGACTTCGTACCCTTGATTGACCAAATTACGAAAAGTCAACATCACACCACCGTCAAATTTTTCCATTTCAAATTCTCCACTTGCTACTCTCAATCTGTTTTCCTGTGCTAGATTTATCTCTCTTCGTTTCTTCCATCGACAGGAATTAAAGAAAGGGCAAAGTAGCATAAGAAACCCTTTTCTATAATCCCGGTTTGTGGAGCAATAAATGACAGGATTGGTGCACGAGTTGAACATAGCAAGGACGATAGTGAAGTGATGGAAAGGCGACTCCAGTCTAACAAGGTCATAAGAAGACAGGGCATAATAGAGCTGATTTGGAAACCAGCATATTGTTAAAAGCAGGGCTACTATAATACACATGCGCAGAAGCTTAAACCGTGTGCGAGTGAAACGCGCATTATGTTTATTAATTGCTGGAGACGTCTTAAGCGCAAAAGAAATGTGAAGATAAGTAACCCAAGTAACTGTATTTGGAACAAAGAATGTCACGACGGTGTATGTCATTACTGTTAGTTTTTTGGGGAAATCGGATGTTATCCACACACATCGCAGGTTTTTTTCGTCAAGCGTGATTTCGAATAGTACAAATGAATGCAATAAAAGACAGGTTATCCACATGATCAAAAGATACACATAAACTCGTCGTCTTTTAAACTTGAGTCGATATTTGACAGGCTTAACCACAGAGTACCACCTTTCCACAGCAAGACACGTGACCGTGAGACAGGACACTTTACCAAGTAGAAACACGAAGTACTGGGAACCAATGACTTTGCAAAAAATTACCCCAGGTAATCCACCGGGAGCCTTATACGAGCTTAGGGAGACGAGGTAGTTTGGCGTCACAGCAATAAACACTCCTTGAAAATAAAGATGAGATAAGGAATGAGGTTGCTAGAATATCAACAAGTATATGTCTTACAGGTCGACATATCCTTATGCCAAACTAGACATGTTTTATCTTGTGTTTGAGAGTAATGATTTCACAGTTTACTAGTCCTTTCTCGTATCAAATAGATCTTACCGCTCATATTTTATATCATCCTTTCCGATCAAGAAAAGAGGGCAGTTGCGAGTCTTTAACATTTACAATTAGATGAAGTCATCAGTTGTTACAATGATCGGCATCGTCAATGTGATGTCTACTGCATGACTTTTTTAACACTTGTTATCTGATTTCCTCAATAAATTGTACTAGGTCCGCTTCAGACGCCGAACTTTTCATGAGCAGAACCTAATCATTGAAACATGAAAATTTCGGCGTCTGAATCAATAGGGAACGCCTGTTTCAATATTAAGGTGGGCGTCTGAATCAATTACGCCGGTCTAAATAATTTGACTCGGCTATGAAAAGTTCTGCGTCTGAACCGGGCCTTAGCGTCATATTTAATGTGGTTAACTCGATATCCTGCAAAATACGTCCAACTTTCTGTTGGCATAAGAAAGTCTGATGCTGCTAACCAAGATATTATGTGCAGTGCGTATCTTAAGAGTAGACACCCTCTTTCACACTCGTAAAAGTGTTACAATCGGTAATTTGTAGGTCTACATGTGTCCGATGGTTTCTTCGTCAATTACAAGGCAAAGAACCTGATTTCTAAAAACGTTCTACCTGTTAGCATGTCTGTCACAGCCAGACTGAATATCAGCAAGTTATATGCAGATCTAAGCATCCGATAATTCTTCAGTATAACAACGCAAAGAAGACCGTTGCCAATAAGAGCGATGGCAGCAATTAAACCAAAGGCAACTGGCAGCAGATAGGAGTAAGCACCATTTGTAGCGCGAGGTGTAGTCGGTGACGAGATATTTGATAGATAGGTTGATGTTCTTCTGTTTGACATCTAGAAACGGTACAGTAAAGTTAGAAAAGAAAAACTAATCAGTAGCAATCGTGAGGCGGAATAGTGAGGACAATAGGGCCATTTATAAGAGGAAAATCTGAGACGCGTCTTACATAAGACGCGTCTTAAATAAGACGCGAACTGTACCATTTATACGAGCGTATCTTATCTAAGATGAGAACAGCTCGTATAAATGGTTCGTGTCTTATTTCTGTTTTTGACTCGTTTTCATGTGAATGTTGCCCGTAGCAAGGGCAATCTAACGTGGCGCGCCAAAAATTGACGCATGCGTACTTTTCGTTCGCGTCTTATGTAAGACGCGAAGGTCATTTATACGAAGTTTTTCTCGTCTTAGCTAAGACGCGTCTTATCTAAGAACAGGCATTAGGGGCTGTTCTAAAATAAGACGCGTGTTAGCTAAGCCGCGTCTTATTTTAGACGAAATGTGCCGTTTATACGGAAAGTTCGCGTCTTATTTAAGACGCGTCCTATATAAGACGTGTCTTATTTTTCCTCGTATAAATGGCCCTATTGTGTTTGCATAGGAACTATATCTTTTTTAAGTCAGAGAGAAATTTATAATGATTATAGCGAATAAAAAAACTGATAGTAATAAGTAAACAATTCGCACAGTTTCCTCGCTCGAGTTCTTGTGTATGGAACTCTTGATCTCGGACTAACCTATGGTACTTGTCAAGTTAAATTGCTTATATGAGCACCAGAAAATGACCACGCGCTTAAAACTCACACTTGGCTTTAGTAGTCAGAATCCCATATACCCCCCTATTACAAAAAATGTTTTTGTTTCAGAAGGCGAAGACTTTGCAAAGAGCGTAGGGTGTTCGGATTGTTTTTGACTACGAACAACGCTCAAAATAAACACAATTAGAAATAGGATGCCTATTAAGGAAATTCTATTTTGTCTTATAATCCAAGGGAGCAAACTCACTGTTATCGGTGAGAATATATATCTGAATCCCTTGGAACTATCGCCACCTTGTACATCAAAGATTAGTCCCCCAAAAGTGAGGTTCAAGTACTGTTTGCAGTTCCTGCGAAGTACGGTTAAAAGTGAAGAACGATCGATCCAATTCGCAATTGAATCAGGTGCAATCAAATGTCATAGAAGAATGAACCACTGGTAGAGTAAAGCTTACAAACAAATGATATCTATGACTTACAATCTAATGAAACGGAGTTATGATCTGATGGAATGAAGGCTACGATCTAGTTGCATTTTCTTAACGGAATGCCTCTCCAAAGTTTCTTATTTCAAAGGCTTACACGCATTTTCTTCCTGCGTTATTGCCCAAATTACATTAGCTCTACTTCTGTGGGTATTTATTTAAACAGACTTGACTTAAAACGAACCTGCTGGTTCCTTACATTCACACTTTTTGTTATGCTAATTAAATGAACTAATGTATCAGGCTTGCCGATGACCAAAATTAGAATTTTTAATTCGAAGCCGAGATTTGCTTATTGTATCGATAAGGACTTGGAAGAGTGAATTAACCGATAAGTTTTCAAATATCAATCGTTGACTAAAATCCTTTTTTTTGTTTTAATTTACCAGCTAACCTTAAAATGATTCAATGATGGAATAAAGCGTTGTATATTCATAAACAATTTTCACCCTTTTGTTCGCACTGTTTAGGTCGCAGTGTGAGGATCAGACTTTTGGTGAAATATTAAGTGAAACCATTTTAATGGAGTATTTTGTATTACTACATTCATGTAGTGTGGTCGATTCTGAATATTATCTCCCCGCTGTTATTCAACCTGAGAGATTCTCGCAGCATTACTTCCCTTTGGATTTAATTCAACTCTTTTCGGTGCCTAATATAGATTTCAAAATGTTATTCTTATCAGTATTATTGCTATTTGTACTTGGAAAATTTAATATAACATTGTTTACGTTTACACTGTCTCTTTAGAGCAGGTGTGCGTTTCACAAAGAGTTTAGAAAGTCAACGGGAAGATATGATTAACTAACTAAATCAATGAAGACTTTTTTTCTATACAAAACGTTGCAGCATAAGGAATAATTTCTCGGGCTTTATAACCAAAGGAAAGTTCTGTGTTTTGCGAAAAAAAAAAACATTCATAACCCTTACACAGATTAATTTACTATCCAATTAGATCACTGTTGTGCTACAGTGTTCCAAGTTCATCATTAGCTTCCGCTGATTATGACGTACGTAAACAGCTCAATTTTGCCGGCATCAATTACGAATTTTCCAGATAACATGCCGAATACGCTACCGCGGGAAGTCATTGCTTTGTCTCTGCAATCTTAGTACAAGGTACAATGATATCTTCTTAGCTTGAATTACTAGGATATTCACAGCTAAATATCAGAATCCTGTTCATCATAATAGTTGATGAATGCCGTGGTAATGTCAAACATGATAAAAAAACTGAACTATAACTTGCGTCCGTTTGCACGGAGCTTAACACGCAATACACATGAATACTACATGACTGTGCGATTGTAGCTTTGTCATGCTGCGCTGGAATCAGTTCCAGTTTAAAAATTGACATTTGCCGACGATGAAGTACCTAAATTGGGACCTTACGATCCAACAACGGGGACGTTTATGAAAAAGTCGTTGAAAAATAGACTTTGCAACCTTTGGAACTTTTTCGGGAATATACCAAGTCGCCCAGTTATTTAAAAGAAGAAAATTTATGTTGCAGCTGAAGCGAAGGAACTGCGCCCGAGTTCAGACGGAGACGGTAGAACTTATCGCCTTGCCGTTCCCGTTCTCAAGTGAACCTAAAATTTGGCCATCTGATCTAGTAGTTGTACAGGGAGGGCAATGAAATTTACAAAAAATCGTGATGTGCGTGCAAGGTTGTTGTTTTTCTCATTAAAACTATCGCTTCTTTGACGTTTTTGTTATCATCGCGTCGTAGGTTTCAGTAACGTCCCTTAATCTGTCAAGAGGGCAAAAAAATCTAGATCAGCCTGTTCCAGGCATTCAGATAGTGAAGCGCGGACAAAAATTGACTATTTATTATTATTATTATTTTCCTGTAATCTGATTGGTCAACTATGTCTAGGTGGCCCCGGTTACAGTAGTCGCACTGTAAGGGCCCGTTTACATGGAGGTGGGGGACCAGATAGGTGAGATAACATGTGGCGAGTCACCCTACCTAACACGTAAACGTGATCAAATTAAAATGAGAGATTATATGGACAGGCGGGTCTGGGGACCCCAACCTCCATGTAAACAGGTGTTAAATGTCCCCAACAGTTCAGTTAATAAAAGAGACTTCAACATCGAAGGATCGTTTGAGAATCAACCATTTAAGCCAAGTTTTTAGTGATAAGAATCACAGGCGCAGCTTGTCCAGACCTTCAGATAATGGAGACGGTGCAAAGAAAAGTAAAACACTCTCCACTATCTAAAAACCTGGAACAGGTTATGACAGGCGGGGCATCCGTTCTAGTTGCTTTAGAATAAATCCGCTAGTATGTCGCTTGTAAAATAAGATGACTTTCTGGTTATTCTTATGAAGTATTTATTGGTATAGAATTGGAAATCCTGCTTTTAATCTTTGGTCGCGTATAAATGTTTATAGTTTAGTCGCATGTTCTAATTACAATCTCACAATTAGACGTTATAAAGGGGTTCCCATGCAGCATTAATTACTAACTTCGCAATGGTTCATTTTTATTGTTATCTTTGTCAAGATTATCAGCTAATTTATAAATATCTTGATCAGTACAAGAGAACTACTTATCTAAAGCGCCCGGGGCCTGCCATGATGTTGCTCGGTGAGGAAATACATTCATCGAAAGACTCCCATAATTAAGCATCTGTACTTTCTGTCTAACACAACATAAATCCAGGGATTAACAATGGAATTCGCCAGTGCAAGCGCCACAGTGAACTCACGAAAGGGGGTGCCAAAGTTTAGAACAGGAAATCCAAATTGGTTTATAACATAACAGACTTCTGTTGGAAACCAACACAGTGTTAGCATCAAAGATGCTATTGCACACATTTTTAGTAGCAGGTGTTTTTCTTTTCTCCCACGGTTTTCTTTCAGAGCCTGAGATTTGTATAATTTCACGTATGTGTGAAAAAAGGCAGCCCATGTGATGATCGTCGGAACGAAAAATGTTACTGAAACATAGACGATGACGACTGCGATTTCTACGTTCCTGTTTAATGATGAAAGTGGAATAAAGAAGCACGATCGATGCGAAAACCTCACGTAAAATAATTTGTAGCTTTGGGCAAGCATGGAAACCAGCCAAATAAACGTTATATATCTGTAAAGATTCCTTCTGGAGAAGGACGCTTGATATTTCCAACGACGTGTTAACGCGAACCAGCGTTCAACAGCCAGGCAGGTGATGGTCAAAACGGAAACCTTACCAAACGTAAAAATGAAAAATTTTGAAAAAATAAGGCGACAGAATATGTCTCCTGCAATACCGTCTGGGACTGAGTACGACGATAAGTTTATGACGTAGTTTGGGGTAATAACTATGAAAAGACCTGAAAAATAGAAAACAAGTAGCAAAACGTTAGTATCGACTACGGGTAAGATAGAGAAAAGTACAGGCGTTCCATATTGAAACATCTGTTCCCAAAGGTGATGTTACACGGGTCGATTCGTAACGATGATTCTTAGCGCAATATAGCGTTACAATATTGTTGCGACATGATTTCGAATAGTTGCAACTTTGTTCTAAACATTGCAACGCTGTGTTGCGCTAAAAATCGAATCGTCTTGCGTAACATTACCTTAGATTTACATTACCTTGAACTTCAGGTGCACGAAACAGACACACGAAATGTTTAATTAATAAAGAATTAATCATTTTTCATAATTAAAAGCTCTGCGTCATAAACTGACCAAACCTGTATTGTTTAATGTAAAACTATAAGAGTTCTTCGCCTTATCTTCAGCGCGGTTAAAAGGTGTGCAAGCCTATTCACTGGGAGGAATTCAATCTTCTGGCTTCCGGTGCTCTTTAATAAGCGTGTTTTGATGACAGTGGACACAATCTTTCTGGAAACATAAGCTCCCTGATATACAACACAGAACTTTAGGGTGTTTTGACGACAGTGGACGCAATCTTTCCGGAAACAAAACTTTTTAATTTTTTTTTTCTATTCATTTGGGGACTTTTGTTGCCAGGTTGCAATACAACGAACGTATGCTTAATATTTTCAACGCCAGAACAGTACTTCTTTGCTTTTCTAGCGTTAACTTATAGTACAATTTTATAATTATCAATTAGTGCTAAACAGAGCACATGCAAAACAATTCACTCCATTTTCTTGTGAAATCAGGTGTTGACGTACACATAAACGGCCCATATTTAATACGAACCAACGTCTACTAACCGCTACTTCTACATTCCATATAACCGCCACAGTTTTCATCCCAACGGATACATTCTCTGTTTGTACCTCGCCACACATATCGGCTATCTCACTTCAATGGCAAACTAAGGCTGGGGATGGCTTCCACTGTTTTCAAGTTAGATTATATATTCAATGCAATGACTACTTATTTAAAAAACTGAAGCAGAGGAAAATATCTCATCCAAACGGCCCTTGTAATTAATTGAAGGCGAAGGTAAAAGAATCTTACCTGTGAGAGCATCAGTAAACGCCAAGCTAAATATTAGAAAGTCGTGTGATGTCTTCAAGATCTTTCGTTTTTTAATCAATGCCAAACAAAGCAACAAATTACTGGTGAATGAAAGAAAAGCGATGACTCCATACATAGCATTGATGACTATTCCTCTTTCAGCAATTGTCTCGTGTTTGTTCTGAACAAAACACTCGTTTTCGTTGTAAGTCTTGTTATCCATATAAAAGGTAAAATGCGTTAATTATTTTTTTTATTCTATATTTAACTTCGGCGGGTTTTTATCTTTAGAAATCAACGTATTAGAATACTGTATCACCTTTTAGCAAATCAAGCGTAATCAAATAGGTACAGTCAAAACCAAATGTAAAATAATAAAATTTTCCACGTAGTCGAAACATTGCTTGCATCTATTAAAATTAAAAGGAAGTGAAGATCCCCTGGGGGCTTGCTTATACTCCCACCACCTCACTTGAAAACATCATCAGATATATGATTGCTTTCGATTCTATTTATTTACAAGTTGGCTATTTCAAGCTGGCTATTTCTAATTGCTTTCATCTTTTAAAGACGGAAGCTAAATTTGGCAGTCCTTGATAAGCTATTTTCAGCTGTTTTCGCACCGTTATTTTTAATACCCAACAGTCATTAGGAATACTTTAATGGTTGAAAGAAATAGATCGAAACATGCCACACAGGGTTCAATCTTCGCAAGATCAAGCACTGAGAAAAGAGTTGATTTAAACCCCTATTATGAGCAAAACAATTGGTACGGCACCCTAAATTGTTCGCACCGTACTGGCGACTTCGGTACACAAAATTTGGGGGTGCCGTGCAAGTTTTTTTTTGCTTGTGTAAATTAAGTTTTAGGCACGACGTGCAGCACAATATCTCTGACAAACTTCGAGAAGTTTGATAATGTGATGACATACTATGTTGAACTTTTGACGGAAAAAAGAGGAGTTTTCCGCGTAATTTTTAAACACAAATTGAACTTCACTCTCATTTGTAATTTAGAAGTTATCAATTAACTGTGTCACTCTGTTTTACCATGTGTTACCCTGTGTCCTCCTGTGTTAGCAGATGTTACCCTGTGTTATCCTGTGTTACCATCTGTGTTACCCTATGCCCCACTGTGTTACACCCTGTGTTATCCTGTGTTACCCTGTGTTAACCTGTGTTACTCTGTGTTACCCTATGTTCCCCTACGTTACCCTTTGTTGCCCTGTGTTACCATTTGTAATCCTCTTTTACCCTGTGTTACCCTTTGTTACTCTGTGTTACCCTTTGTGTTACTCTGTGTTACCTTGCGTTACCCTTTGTTTCTTGGTTACTCTGTGTTACCCTGTGTTTCCCTGTGTTCCCCTATGTTACCCTCTATTACCCTCTGTTGCCCTGGCTTACCCTTTGTTACCCTGTTACCCTTTGTTGCCCTGTTTTACCACTTGTTACCCTGTGTTACTCTGTGTTAAGCCGTCTTACCCGCTGTTAGCCTCTGTAACACTCTGTTACCATTTGTTACAATGTGTTCTCCTGCGTTAGGCTGCGTAACCGTGTGTTACACTGTGTTACCCCGTAATACCCTGTGTTACGCTTTCCTACCTGTAACATCCTTTGTTACTCAGTGTTACCCTGCGTTACCCTGGATTACCTTCTGTTACCCTCTGTTACCCTTTCTTATACTGTGTTTCCAATTGTTACCCTTGTTACCCCGTGTTACCCTTGTACCCGTTATTACCCTTGTTACCCCTTTTTACCAATTGTTACCCTTGTTACCCCTTGTTACCCCTTGTTACCCCTTATTACCCTTGTTACCCCTTGTTACCCTTGTTAACCTTGTTACCCCTTGTTGCCCCCTGTTACCCTTGTTACCCTTGTTACCCCTTGTTACCCCTTGTTACCCTTGTTACCCTTGTTACCCTTGTTACCCTTGTTACCCCTTGTTACCCTTGTTACCCTTGTTACCCCTTGTTACCCTTATTACCCTTGTTACCCCTTGTTACCCTTTGTTACCCTTGTTCCCCTTGTTACCCCTTGTTACCCTTGTTGCCCTTCTTACCCCTTGTTACCCTTGTTACTGCTCGTTACCCCTTGTTACTTCTTGTTACCCTTGTTACCCTTGTTGCCCTCGTTACCCCTTGTTACCCTTGTTACCCTTGTTACTGCTTGTTACCCCTTGTTACTTCTTGTTACCCTTGTTACCCCTTGTTAAACCTTGTTACCCCCTGTTACCACCTGTTACGCCTTTTTACCCTTGTTACCCTTGTTACCCTTGAGACCCCTTGTTACCCCCTGTTACCCTTCTTACCCTTATTACCCCTTGTTACCCTTGTTACCCCTTGTTACCCTTATAACCCTTGTTAACATTTGTTACCCCTTGTTACCCCTTGTTACCCTTGTTACCCCTTGTTACCCCTTTTTACCCTTCTTACCCCTCGTTACCCTTGTTACCGATTGTTACCCTTGTTACCCCTTGTTACCCTTGTTAACCCATTTTACCCTTGTTACCCCTGTTACCCCTTGTTACCCTTGTTACCCTTGTTACCCCTTGTTACCCTTGTCACCTCTTGTTACCCCTTTTTACACTTTGTTACCCTTGTTACCCCTTGTTACCCTTGTTACCCCTGTTACCCCTTGTTACCCTTGTTACCCTTGTTACTCCTTGTTACCCTTGTCACCTATCGTTACCCTTGTTACCCCTTGTTACCCTTGTTACCCCTTGTTACCCTTGTTACCCCTGTTACCCTTGTTCCCCCTGTTACCCCTTGTTACCCTTGTTACCCTTGTTACCTCTTTTTTCCCCTGTTACCCCTTTGTTCCCCTTGTTACCCTTGTTACCCCTTGTTACCCTTGTTACCCTTGTTACCCCTTTTTACCCCTTGTTACCCTTGTTACCCCTTGTTACCCTTGTTACCCCTTGTTACCCTTGTTACCCCTTGTTACCCTTGTTACCCCTTGTTACCCTTGTTACCCCTTGTTACCCTTGTTACCCCTTGTTACCCTTGTTACCGTTGTTGCCCCTGGTTACCTTTTTTTACCCTTTGTTACCCTTGTTACCCCTTGTTACCCTTTGTTACCCTTGTTACCCTTGTTACCCTTGTTACCCTTGTTACCCCTTGTTACCCCTTGTTACCCTTTGTTACCCTTGTTACCCTTGTTACCCCTTGTTACCCCTTGTTACCCTTGTTTGTTACCCTTGTTACCCTTGTTACCCCTTGTTACCCTTTGTTACCCGTTGTTACCCCTTGTTACCCTTGTTACCCTTGTTACCCCCTTGTTACTTTTTGTTACCCCTTGTTACCCTTGTTACCCCTTGTTACCCTTGTTACCCCTTGTTACCCCTTGTTACCCCTTGTTACCCTTGTTACCCTTTGTTACCCTTGTTACCCTTGTTACCCTTTGTTACCCTTGTTACCCCTTGTTACCCTTGTTACCCTTGTTACCCTTTGTTACCCCTTGTTACCCTTGTTACCCCTTGTTACCCTTGTTACCCTTGTTACCCTTGTTACCCTTTGTTACCCCTTGTTACCCCTTGTTACCCTTGTTACCCCTTGTTACTTGTTACCCTTGTTACCCTTGTTACCCCTTGTTACCCCTTGTTACCCTTGTTACCCCTTGTTACCCTTGTTACCCTTGTTACCCCTTGTTACCCTTGTTACCCCTTGTTACCCTTGTTACCCTTGTTACCCCCTGTTACCCTTGTTACCCTTGTTACCTTTGTTACCCCTTGTTACCCCTTGTTACCCTTGTTACCCCTTGTTACCCTTGTTACCCCCTTTTACCCTTTGTTACCCCTTGTTACCCCTTGTTCCCCTTGTTACCCTTGTTACCCTTGTTACCCCTTGTTACCCCTTGTTACCCTTGTTACCCTTGTTACCCTTTTTACCCCTTGTTACCCCTTTTACCCTTGTTACCCTTGTTACCCTTGTTACCCCTTGTTACCCTTTGTTACCCCTTGTTACCCTTGTTACCCTTGTTACCCCTTGTTACCCCCTTTTTGTTACCCTTTGTTACCCTTGTTTGTTTGTTACCCCTTGTTACCCTTGTTACCCCTTGTTACCCTTGTTACCCTTGTTACCCCTTGTTACCCTTTTGTTACCCCTTGTTACCCTTGTTACCCCTTGTTACCCTTGTTACCCTTGTTACCCTTTTTACCCCTTGTTACCCCTTGTTACCCTTGTTACCCCTTGTTACCCTTTGTTACCCTTGTTACCCCTTGTTACCCCTTGTTACCCCTTGTTACCCTTGTTACCCCTTGTTACCCTTGTTACCCTTGTTACCCCTTGTTACCCTTGTTACCCTTGTTACCCTTGTTACCCCTTTGTTACCCCTTGTTACCCTTGTTACCCCTTGTTACCCTTGTTACCCTTGTTACCCTTTGTTACCCTTGTTACCCTTGTTACCCCTTGTTACCCTTGTTACCCTTGTTACCCTTGTTACCCTTGTTACCCTTGTTACCCTTGTTACCCCTTGTTACCCCTTGTTACCCTTGTTACCCCTTTTACCCCTTGTTACCCCTTGTTACCCCTTGTTACCCTTTGTTACCCCTTTTTACCCTTGTTACCCTTGTTACCCCTTGTTACCCCTTGTTACCCCTGTTACCCCTTTTTACCCTTGTTACCCCTTGTTACCCTTGTTACCCCTGTTACCCTTGTTACCCCTTTTACCCCTTGTTACCCTTGTTACCCTTGTTACCTCTTTTTCCCGCTGTTACCCCTGTGTTACCCTTGTTTCCCTTGTTACCCCTTGTTACCCTTGTTACCGTTGTTACCCCTGTTACCCCTTGTTACCCTTGTTACCCTTGTTACCACTTGTTACCCCTTGTTACCCTTGTTACCCTTGTTACCCTTGTTACCCCTTGTTACCCTTGTTACCCTTGTTACCTCTTGTTACCCCTTGTTACCCTTGTTATCCTTGTTATCCTTGTTACCCTTGTTACCCCTTGTTACCCCTGTTACCCCTTGTTACCCTTTTTACCCCTTGTTATCCCTTGTTACCGTTGTTACTCCTTGGTACCTCTTGATACCTTTTTTTTTCCTTTTGTTACCCTGTGTTTTCCTTTGTTACCCTGTGTTACGCTATGTTACTCTTTGTTACCTTGTGTTACCCTGTGTTACCCTGTGTTACTCTGTGTTAGCCACTGTTTCCTTTTGTTACCCCGTATTTTTCTTTTTTACCTTTTGTTGCCCTTTGTTACCCTCTGTTTACTTTTGTTATCTGTTGTTACCCTCTCTTACCTTTTGTTACCCTCTGTTACCCTGTTACCCTGTGTTACGTTGTGTTACCCTGTGTTACCCGCTGTTCCTCTATGTTTCCGTTTGGTACCCTATGTTATCTTGTGTTACCGTGTTACAATGTGCTACCCTGTTTTACCCTGTGTTCTTCTGTGTTACGTTGTGTTACCCTCTGTTACCCTTTGTTATTTTGTGTTACTTTATGTTAACCTGTGTTATCCTGTGTTTTCCTGTGTTACTCTGTGTTACCTTGTTTTACCCCGTGTTCCCCAGTGGTACTCTGTGTTACCCTCTTTTTCACGGTGGGTTACCGTTTGTTAGACTGTGTTTTCTTGTGTTACCCTGTGTTTCCCTTTGTGTTACCCTGTGCTAGGGTTTGTTCCCTTGTGTTTCCCTTTTTACCCAGTATGTTAGGCTGTGTTCCCCTGTTTTACGCTGTGTTACCCTGTGTTTCCTTGTGTTACCCTGTGTTTCCCTGTGTTAATGCTAATTAAATTTCGTTAGTATTTAATTTTGCAGTGCTTTTAATATTAAGGGTCGTCGACGTTAGCAGTGGCCTTTGCTTTTACTCAGTAAATCCTATAGTACATTTCACTTCAGTATTCAGTAGAGAGCGAGGTCTATACTATTCACCCCTAATTTTCTGTAAAACAAATGTAATCTAGCACTAAAAATAACGTCGTTTTGTTATTGGTGCTTTCGGTTTACAGTTAACTCTTGCATTGCGGAAACCTTGCTATTCACGCGCGGACACGCGAATAATACAGGAAGCAGTTGAATCCCCGGTAAAACTTACAGACGTTTGTCTGAAACAAGCTCCCGGTATTCGGACTCTGAGTCTTGCTGTTACGAACATACGGACACTTCTTAAGCTACCGATAGCGCAATTTGAGCGTCATCTTTTAACATTCAGGCACCAATTCAAAAGATTTCATCTGTTTTTGCAGATGTGCATTTATCGAATACCCCTCCATTCTCATTCTATTTCTCAAGGAAGTTTGATTCTCGTCGCACCCCGATATTACGGACTATCGCTGGTGAGGGCACTAACTCAAGGTCTCAAGGTTGCCGCAATAACGGGGGTTGACTAGATAATAGAAACAAGCTGTCTCCAGTAACGTTTTAAAATATTGACAAATACACTTGATGAAGTGATACATGATCTACTCTTTGACTCTTACACTGATGAACGTTTGACATTAAGGACATGATATTTTAACACTACAGGTGCCATTCCAAGAGAGATATTATCTCTTTATCATTACCCTTCCTAATACTTTTCCCATTAAGGGTCTTTGAGTCCTTTTCTTAGAGGAGTGGGACGTTTTTGAAACCTATTAAGTAACCTTATTATTCATTAAAAATATTTCCCCAATTCTGATTGGCTAAAAGCACACGCATAATTCAACATAACCAGTTACTGATGACCAAATTTGGAAGAATTTTGACTTTAACGAGGAAATGACGTCAAAAATGGAGCGTTCTTACAGGTTGAGGCACCGTGGGAACGAGGCTGAGTTGTTTTGGTTGTGAAAATAAAAATGGCGGACACTTCACTCGTTTCAAGTGTAAAAACTACAGCTGGAACTAGGCGTAATAATAGCAAAAAATATAGCAAAAACAGCAAGAAGACAACTCGGAGGGTGACATCTGCTATTTGGATAATATCTGCGGAGCTGGACAAACCTAAACGTAAACTATCGAAGATAAACTTAACATCGATGCAGGTAAGATTGTTTTAGCTATGTTTTTAAACTAGGAATTATTTTGAATGAATAATAAAACAATTATTGAATTCGGCTTTGTTATCATATGAAGAATCATGGAGATCTCGGAGGGTGTTATCCGCTGATACTCAGCCTCATTCATTAATTGTTAATTATGAGTTACGACAACCTGCCTGAAAAGGAGTCTGTTTACAAGTGAACTGTTTTCAAGTGATTAAGCTCTTTTTTCATGGAAAGTTATGGGTTGAGATAGGTCTCTATGACTTAGTATCGTGGATGTTGGTCGTATCATTCAAACAGCCTTGATCTCATTGCAATCCGAGCAAGCTGCCATGTTGTTGTACGAAGCTACATGTGTCTTCATGGATTCGCGTGTTATAGCTCGCAAACTGAGCAGGCAAGGCCCCTCACTGACCAAAAAGCTGCTTGAACTTTTGCTGGAAGTGGAGACCGAATATGAACAATCTCGCCTTCTTCGCTTTTTAATCAAACCAAAGAACTTTATGTTGATCCTTGAGCTTTCCGTTTTCATGCAGCAGAGAAGTCGGATGAACTCTCTTCGGTACTCTCTGTTACTTAGACAATAAATCCATGGATTGAAGCAGGAGTTGGACATTGCGAGAATACTCGTGAATAAATAGAACTTAAAAGGCAATCTCAAAATTTCAAACTTATAAAGAATGAAAAAGGTTTCTGCTGGGAGCCAGGATATGGTCAGAAAAAAAGCTGCCAGTGCACACATGCGCAGTAGACGTTTAGTGGCTTTGTTGTTGTCCAGGTGACGGCGAATGTTTGGCTGTCGCATATGCATCCAGATATGTCCAAAGGTCATCCACGTGACAATACTAGGAATGTAAAACGTGATGATCACGTGAAACAGAATCAGAATGCGTTCAGCCTTTGCGCCATAAAATGGTGTGATAAAAGTGCACAGTCCGTCTTCCACTTTGGTGATGAACAGCTCATTGATCTGAGTAATGGCGGCAGAAGTCCAGATCAAGGTGATGTAGAGGTAAAGACGGCGTTTGCTGAAAGCAGTCTTGTAGCGTATCGGCTTAACGATGGAGTACCAACGATCGATTGCAAGGCACATTATGGTCGAGGTGGAAGCTTTTCCAAAAATATACAGAATGTATGTTGAGCCAATCAGACGACAGTAGATTTGGCCGGCCAAACCAGAGGGGTAGGGAAAGGTTTTTCTGTCAATCAAGTAGTCTGGTGTAACAACAAGGAATATTCCTGCAAAGAGGTCAGGAAAAACTTGCTTCATTAGCCTTTATAATATTTTTTTCAAGTACAAAAGTACAATTAATGTGAGTTTATTTTATTAACCTCGTCAAATCGCTCAAAATTCGAAAATGAGTCTTAAAATCTGACAGCAAAAACTGGAGACTAGAATACGCTATTTCTGATGTTTAGCATCTGATAGCATCTACCTTTTCATACGCTAAACGTCAGAAATAGCGTTAAAACGGCGACTGCAAATTAGAAGGATTTGTATGGGAAAAGCAACTTTATGTCCCAAGAGTGATAAACTTCAATTTTCTCCAAACGATATCAATACATAACCAAGAGAAAAGACAGGGGCACCCAACGACGGTTTTCCCCGTATAGCTAAATACAATAATAACACTCTTTTAGGCTTTTCAGTGTACTTTCAGATCTCTAGAAATGCATTCTAAGCGGCCCTATAAACTTTGTATGTGTTCTGTCATCCTAGGGGACCTCAGTCTTCCCGAAATTACAAGGGCTTCAGCATTATTCTCCCGAAAATAGTCCAGTGTCGAATTAAAAATTGCCGCTGAATATAAACATTAACGGCACATTCATACAGGGTTAGCCTCGACGTAAAGTAAAATATTCAGAAATTCTGGCAAGTAAGTGTTTGAAATTTGAATATACACAATAGACAGAGTAGTAAACAGGTCTTTTTCTCGTTGGAATTTGTGAATATATTACTTCAGAATGAGGCTAAGGCTGTAAAAAATGGGTCTATATGCAACTTGACGTATAATACGAAAGTGAAAATTTTTCATATTCCGTCCAATTTCTGAATCCGAAAATTTTGGGTCTCCTTTTCTCTGCAAAAAAAGCCTAACCTTCAGAAAACCGTAGCGAATTTATTGGATAAGCTTAGGAAATTGCACATAAAAAGAAAAAGAGAAATGATAAAATGAACACCAAAAGAAGAATGCTTTGATTTTTTAGCTAAATTCTCTTAACTTATTCTGTACGGAAATATTTAAAGTTCACTCTGGCGAATTTGTATGTAGATAGGGGGGCAAAAGATGCAGTCCACAACTTCTTATGGAACTGACCCTTCCATTGATGACGAGTACTCATTTGCAATTGCTTTCAGTAAATGATTTTTTCTGTAGGTAAATGTATTTCCTAGGAAGATGGTTTTTGGCTTCATATTATATTACAGCGTTACACATGTATAAATGAAAGGCTCTAGTAACTATCATATTATACAATTACTTGAACAATTTCTGCCCCAGGATCTGATTCACTCTATTCGGAAACATACCATTTCATTCAAATTTGTAATAGACGTGATTCAAAGCAAAACTGCAGCGTATAAAGTCATTGTTTTAACAAGATGAATACCGTGGTTTCTTCACCTGCACAGATGCATCGCTGAACAAACACGTTATCTGACAAAACTGACAAAGGCATGTCATGCTGTAAAACAGATTAAGATGAGGATACGCAGTAGTGTTCTTTGCATGATATAATTTGATAAGTTCTAAGCCCTTTTTTGCGAAAGGAGCGTCAGATGGCATTATTTTCAATAATCCTCGATGTGTCTTCTAATGAAGATATGAACTTACTGTTCCATGATGTACTGTGACATGGACCATTGAACTATATGTGTATCTTTTAGTTAGGCTGGGTGGTAAAAAGGCCGAAGATAGTTAAAGAGCGATTATCAAACTCGCATGCAGACAACAGCAAGGACTTTAACTTCCGTCTGTTTGTTGTATTTGCATACTTTTAATTTTTCCTTTCTTACTTCTAATAAATCTGTTTTTATTATTTGCATTTAATAAAACTTATCTTGTTGTACACCCTGCCCTCCACGAAATTAATTCTCTCTTCACGAGGGTACAACAGTGCATTGTTGAATTTATGACATAATTAAAGGAAAAGAAAAGAATGAAAATGCTTCATATACCGCGACCTACCTGTTAGCATATCAGTTACTGCTAAGCTGCAGATAAGAATATTGTATTGTTTTGCTAACATCGATCGTTTCATGAATATGACCAGGCATAGCAGCATGTTTCCAAAGAAAGAGAGAGTTGCGATAATCCCAAAGGTGGATTTCAACAACGTTCCATAGTCTCTGGCCTCGCCGGTTTCGTTTCTCGTCAGATTTTTAAATGTACTGTTCACTTTATAGTTTTCGAGTAAACTGAAAGTGCTCATGATTCTTAATATCACCACAGCCGAAACAAATGATAATGCAATTGTTATAAGGATATTCTGAAACAAACGTCACAGCTAAGATGAATAGCAAATAGGACTTCGATATCCTTTGTTTGCATAAGTGACAGCTATTTCTAGCCAATGTTTATGATTACACAGTGACAAAATGGTCTCTATAAAAACAATGGCAGATGTTATCTGCAGAAACTCACTTCCTCAGACACTGAAAAAAATGTCGGAAACCCCGGGGCAGACATCTCAATGAAACTCCTCACGATGTCACAGAAACGTTCTGTTTGTGCACTGATTTGAATGATAGAATCTGTTAATGAGGGGAACAGTCATGATTAAAGGGACAGGTTCACGGTTCAGCGCATGCTCATTTATCAAAATGCTGTTTTTCTGCTGGGACATACTGTATCGTCTATGCTAGCAATATGATCATGTCATAATGTTGTCAAAGGACCAATCTGCACACTCCCCTGGAAGTCACTTGCCTTTGATTAACTTATAACTTATAATATATTTGCAAATACCTGTAAATTAGTCAACCATGGAATAGTACAAGTACATCGTCAGTAAGAATTACGAAAGTTTGTCCAATAATTTTTAGAAATGCTATGAGGCTTCAAGGGACACAAGTCATAGATTAGATCATTTCACTCAGGCGCGTGGTGAGTAGCTATACAAATTTGGTAAGAAAGAGTTCAATCCCCACGGGATTTTGGGGGTACATCAATATAGCAGCCGTTTCGTTCGCCACTTTAGAAAGGAGGTTACTGGAAACGTGGCGGTCAGCTATTGGCCAATTTTTTCCCTGTCCTCAGTAACAGTCCCTGAAGTCTTTGCGAACGTTAACTCGTCCCAGTTTTCCTCTCGTTTCCAAACTGGCGAATTGATTTTGAATTCCAACATAGCGACCGTCGTGTTGTCATGTGAAAACGATCTATAAATATAATTTATGAATAATGCGAGTTATATTGATTGATTTTAGGCAAACAGTGGGTTTCCTTTCAGGTTTTACCCTCCCAAAGCTTTTATCAGTCCACAAAGTAAAACAAAAATAGCCATAAATCATTAAAATAGTAAATTACCGGATAGTCTTGGATTCCTAAAGACGGTCTAATCGTATGTTTCATTTAATTTTCACGATAAAAAAACCGCAACATTGTAATGGGCACCCTTCAGTTGACGCAGAACTTATCACAAATCCCTAACATTTTTAAAGGATTACCGACAGGACTGCAAAATTCTTAGCTTTTGTTGTAAGGTGGAGTTTTATCCACATAACTCAAGACATTTCTTTCTCTGTAAGCTTCAGGGGACTAAATGAGGACAAAATGAATCTGTTGGGGAGCCCTTCAGCTCATGCAGAATTAATTTATTAATTACAAAACACATAAGATTCTCGACATCAACAGGATTGCGAAATTCTTAGCTTTTGTTGTAAGGTGGTATGTTTTTTAATTATTCGCTTAACATTGTTTTCCCGTCCTCTCTGGGAGTCTATTAAAAAGAAGAAATCCAAGAAGGAGACGTCTAAGGCCAGGGTTTCAATGAAAAACGCCTTGCACTTAAATTTGGACTTTTTGTACAAGAAAATAAAGGATAATCCTTACAATATAAACTTGGGCTCTAGGCAAAGGAATATATGTTAAAATAAAATGTATTTACCTTGATTCAAAGAATCATCTACAACGTGCTAAATATAAGAGTCTCTTAAGGTTGTATGGTTTTTCTCTATTTCTCTTAAAACCGATTGTCAACATCTCAATTACATAGTGGAGAAAAATTCAACTTTATTCTCTTAGTGATGAAAGGGTTAACACAGGGGCACCCAGCGACTGTATTCTGTAAAATAACTGTTCGAAGGAGCAAATATTGCCTAGAAATTTGTAAAGCTTGAGAAAAGCTAAAAAAAACTTTTGGATAACCGTTCCACTTTGTCTCAAATATTCGGAGGTTTTGTAATAGCCTAACTACGATTTTCGGAGGTTGTGTTTTCACATTTTAATATCAAGATATTGCGATTATTGTTAAAAAAAATTTCTCCTAAAACTTTCGGTATAAAGACGAAATGTCCACTATAATTTTCAATGAAAGCAGCTACGTCATGTCCTCGAACGTTCGCCCGGACCCATGAGGGTAGCTAACACTTTCGGATGAGACGAAAAAGCCACCAAAAACTTTCGTGACGACCAAAGTTCCCCTAAGACATCCGAACAGATGAATAGTTTTTAGGGCAACTCCAAACTGACCAAACAGTCCACTAAAGAATAGAGAAACTTATGAGACACTTCTGGCGTATTTGGAAACATTCGGTCGTTAGGTGCACCTGTTAACAAAGTGTTGCATTCATAAATTATAAAGCCTAAGAATTTATTCCATAAGTTAAACGGAGAGGCTGCGTTTAAAACTTGGTTAAAATCAAACCAAACTAAAAAGATACTTTGCAATGCATGTACCCGAAGGAGAATTAAGCAATTAGTTATCAGTTATGATTGAAATCAGACTAAATTTGCAAAAACAAATTCAAACCTGTCAACATATCTGTGGCTGCAAGATTTAACATCAAAATGTTATATGGCCTGGAAAGGAGCTTTCGACGTCTGCAGATTATAAGGCATAGCAGAAGATTGCCCAGGAAGGAGAGTGCTGCGATGCTTCCAAATATGCTTCTATATAATATTGCCTCCAAATTGCTGTCAACTTTGTTTTGATGAAACGACGTTTCATTAGCTTTCGACGAGTTTCTCCAAGTCATATTTTTACTTGTATTTTTTCGACACCTTGATTGCCACCATTGAGAAGAAAAATGTACCTTAAACTTTGTTACTCTGTAAAAACGATGGCTTGACTTTTCTACACAGTCAGAGCTTAATAAGCTTTTTAAAAGACAGTGTTTACCTTTCGGTTAAGGGTGTGATTTAAACTGAAATGCTTTGGAAGGTTTTTTTTAGTTGAAGAGTTTATATTTATATGGTAATTTTTATCAGACAGCCTACTTCCTTCTGGGGAGCAAATTTTATTGTGTAAATGCTAAGATCTATTGCTTAATCGCGATTATTATTTATTTTTTCTTTGTTAAAACATAACATATGATTGCCGTAGTTAATGAATTTTGCCCGACAACATAACAACAGAAAAAATGCCCGATTCTCTTGTAACAAAGAAGCAAAAAACTGCACAAGATCGTATCAAGTTAAAAATGTTGAATTTTAAATTTATCAAGATATTAAGAGACCTTGAATAGTACCACACGAAATTTCTTCCTGTAAAGCAATAATTCTGTAAGAGTGCCGCCCACAGTTTTCATTGTGCAGCGTTCAAGACAGCGCCGCAGGACGTTCCGAAAACCAAAGTTGCATCCAGGCCACTGCATTAATCAAGCATTCAAAGATCTTATTGTACTGTGTACTGTGTGTTTGTGTGTTTTGCTGACTACTGATTAAAAACAATGCATTAACTCTCGAACGGAACTTCTCTTCTGACTGTCTCTTTTGAAATGCTTAACCGAAAGTTTAAGGCGCCATGCCTACTGAAAAGTTAAAAATAAAACAGCATATCTTCAAAAAGTACAAAATATCGTTTTCTTTTAATTATAAACTAAGATTAATTTTTTATTGAGTGCCGAATAAGATATTATTTGCATAAACAGCCCAATGGATATTCTTCATTTTTTAAATAAAATGTCAAAAGTCATTAGTAAAACTATCAAGAAATTTATACGATCGGGGCTTTTGGGATGTTTGCTCTCACCTTTGCTAGGATAACGTAATCTCATCTCCGGGTTTTGTGTGATTTGATATGGTATTATCAATAAACGGTCGTCAAATAACGGTGTTCTTTCAGTTCGCTCACTCTTAGCAATGCGCATTGTTCAGTACGTAGCTTTATTGGCAATCGAGCAAGGGGGCATAGATATTAATTATAAACGAAGATTAATTTTTTTATTGAGTACCGAATGAGGTGTTATTTGCATAAACAGCCCATATTCTTCATCTTTTAATAAAATATGTTAAAAATCACTATCAAGAAATTTATACGACTTAAAAGTGAACTAAAAAATGACACCAACTTCGATGCTGCCTGTTTATTTTATCCTTTAACTTGCGGAGACATAAAAATACAGTTCTCCGGGTGACGTTAACCTCTATGTCCAGAATCCCATTGTGCGACCATTATACCAGTTTTCTTTTTGGTGCTACTTTGCTGAATGCTTTTTGTATTTTCAATTTGTCTAACCTTGCTCCCAGGGAATGAGAAGGGTGGGAAAAAGCCCCGTCATCGGCCGGTCAAAAATAAATTTGGGATATTAGTGGCTGACATTTAGACAACCTGTGTGCTAGTCATCTTCAGAGTCAAAGTTTGCTGTGTATCATAAGTTGATGGTATCTCAAAGCTCTGGATATATTGTCTTTATTGGTCAATTACATCGAAATGTTATTGGTAGCCTGACAGTTAAGTTGTGGTGTCATTGTGCTCGTGTACAATGTAGTGGTGCGTTTCGATCTGTCGTTTGTAATTTGTCAATTGGTCGATTTATTTTTAGTCAATTGAAATTGTCAGTTTTTTGTTCAGTAAATCTATTCTTGCCAGTTTTACTTGATTTATTTATCTTAGGTGGACTTGAGTGTAAAATGGTAAAAAAACTCCAAGATATGAAACATTCTGCCTAGATTTTGGTATAACTTAAAAACCGCCAGAAATTTTACCAGTGTCTTATTGTCATTTTTTATGTCATGTTGATTCACAATACAAGGATGCCAGGCTCACTTGGGCTTTAATTCATAAATATTTTGTGTACCTCTCTGTTCCCAGCTACTATAGTCTCCTTTTTCGCGGATTCTAATCTGTTTTCAAGTATAGCGAATATATTTAAAAACCTGTCACTTTTTTTCTTCCTATGGATGCGCCGCTTTTAGGTTTGTCTCAAAATTTCTTGGCCAGGGGGGATCTAGAGGGAGGGTGCAGGGGGTGCACCCCCCCCCCGCCCCCCCCCCGAGATGACCTGCGGTTTTCTAATACAACTGGTATTCTGCAAAAAAAACTATGTGGTTTTTTGGTGTTGAAGTAGAGCAAGAGACCAGTGCACCCCCTCCTAAAAAATATCCTGGATCCGCGCCTGTTGGCTGAGTGTTCCAGTGCAACAGGAATAGATGTCATGCTCGAAGTTTGAAAGTCTACAGACTCTACGGTCAAACCAAAAGTATCTTCTTAATTTACAATAGAAAACATTTTTTAAGGCCAACAACTCCAGAAAATAATAACCCTCACAAGATGTAGCAGAAAGCATAATATAATAGCAGCAGCGGTTAAATTTTGCTGAGTTTTCTGTTCTTCGTAAACATCATAAACACGCCTGAGATACTGAAAAGCCGGAGAATAATGTTTAGCCAGTTCGCAATGGCCAGAACAGATATTTTGCTCCTACTAGTATTTCGAACGAAAAGATGTAATCTATACAGTAATTACCGCACGCAATAACACTAACCTAGTTTACTTTCTTACGGATAAAATAAAAACAAGCCAAAAAAGATACTTAGTCCAATCTTTTTAGATATGCATGAAACATGAAATAACTCATTGAAGACTTGAGATCCATGACATTCTTTAACGAGTTTACATTCAAATCTCGTCAAATTTCATTTAAGCAAATACAATGATACAATCATCTAATGAGCAGTTAATTTCTTTTTATCATAGTTTTGCATTTTCCCTTATTATATTTGTTCTTTTTCTGCTTCCTTTTTTCCTTTCTTTCTTTTGTATCATTATATTGTTTTCGCTTTCTCGATGATATTTAAAATAGCTTTTACAGCTACTCTGTAAATCCGAGGCTTAAATAAAGGGTGAATGATGTACGTATACCATAACGCATGTGCCAAAGGAGAAATAAGTTATGAGTTATGATTAAAATCTGACTACATTTGTTTGAAAAAAATTCAAACCTATCAACATATCCATGGCTGTGCGATTTATCATCAAAATGTTATACGGCTTGGAAAGGCGCTTTCGACGTCTGCAGATCACAAGACATAGCAGGAGATTGCCCAGGAAAGAGAGTACCGCAATGCTTCCAAATATGCTTGAAAACAACATCGCCTTCAAATTGCTGTCAACTATGTTTTTATGAAATGACGTTTCATTAGCTTTCGATAAGTTGTTCCAAG